CCCGTTTCCACGACTTCAGGAAAACTCTAGACGCGCGAATGAAGGAGCTAGCATCCCAAGGAATAGGAGTGTCTATAAAGCAAGCGGATCCGTTAACGCCGGAACAAGACGTCCTGTGGGAGAAAAAATTACTGGGATCGCATACTTCAAAGAGTTACATTAACACTGTATTTTATTACAACTGCAAACTTTTTGGACTCCGTGGACTAGATGAGCACCGAAAATTAGAGGTATGTCAAATCAAATGTGGCGATTCTGATGGCAAGGCAAACATTGAATTTTGTGGGCGCACGTCAAAGAATTTCTCCGGAGGATTACACCAGAGAAACATTCTTGCCAAGACGATACGCCACTACTCAGAATCCGGTACACTCCGCAGTTTGTTTGATGTTTATTCGTCCTACATTTCTCTGGTGGGGGAAGGATCATTCTATAGACGACCACTCCCGGGACCCGAACCACGTTTCGGAATCCAGCCTATAGGGGTCAACAAACAAGTTGGGTACCATTATCAAGACCATGTGTGCCGAGGCAGGGTTTGTGGGGAACTTTTCAAATCACTCGGGGAAACGGACCTGTGCAACGACATTGTTTCAGTCCGGTAAGCCAAGATTAAGTTAAATTGTCTTTAAAAAGGGGGAAATATTTTATGTTTGATGACGTAAAAGTATGCTAGTTATATCGTGTACGTGACTTGAATTAATAATTTCAATATTTACTTACACTAAAGGTTTTGAAGAGCAACAGATCATGGAGAGAACGGGGCACCGTAGTTCCGCAGTTAGAACCTACAAAAGGCAATCGGAGCAACAACTCCTTGAAGTAAGTCAAGCACTGGAGCCACACCAAAAAATCCCTGAAACAGTGTGACGACGTGGAGAAGGAAAATGCCATTATTCCAAAACCGGAGGATGACGGGAAGGAAAATTCTACTATTCTACCTAAACACCCTGAACAGGATGTGCGAATTCCTATGGGAGATAAAGTTATCCGCTTCGAGAATTGCTCCGTGTCAATGTCTTTTTTGTAAACAGTGATTTCAAACATTTGTGTGGAGAAGGAGAATGCCATTATTCGAAAACTGGAGGATGCCAGGGAGGAAAATTCCAATATTCTACCTAAACAGCTTGCACAGGATGTGCGAATTTATATAGGAGATAACGTTATCTGCTTCGAGAATCGCTCCGTGTCAATTTATTTTTTGTCAGTTTGTAATTTGTGCTTTGATTTAAACTATGTTTTCTGCTCCAGAAGAGCGGGAAATTGTCAATATTTTAGAAATGTCATCAGTTGTGTGAAATTTGCTATGTTTTGTGCTTTTTTCTTGTTTTAGTTAGTTCATTAAAATTTAGAAACGAATTTTTGTCTCATTTGCATAGCTCCTCCTACACCCTGTATCTAACAGTTGGATATCACTTACTTTATATCACACATGTGATATTTAATATATCACCACACTTATGTTGATATGAGATATACACCCTTGTAAAGATCAAAGGAAAATCTGTCGGTCATGGGATAATCTTTGAAATACACTACCCTTTCAGGGCACATCGACAGGAATTTGATTTAAGCCATACAGCTCAACTATAGTATATGTAGCTCATGTGAGCATTTGGGCCCAAGGGCCTCAATTGTTGTCGCCTTTTAATACAGAATCTAAAAGCTAGTTATTATTCCACGGGAGTCTTTGTTTTTCTTTATGAAGGGTATGCAGATTTTAAGGGTGATGATACATTTTGTTCAGACCCCGAGGCCCATTTTCGACTCCAAGATATTACTCGATAGGGGTTCTTATTTATCTATACAACGGCATTATTTAAAATCAACTCCAATACATGTAAGTACTTTCATTACTTTCATTATCTGTGGTTTAAAATACTTCAGATTTAATTAATTATATATCAATGCAATTTCGATGCAATCTTATGTTACCTTAATAAAAAAAATGACGATCATAAAAAAAAACGGGGTCTCTATAAGTGCATTAAACAGTGGTAGTGAATTTACATGTATAAAATGTTAGTTCCTCACAGCGTCTTAACATATTCTAATGGCGAAAACGAGGTTATTCTGAATTAATAACGAAATTTTCAGACAAATAAATAAACATGCTTCGCAGTGATAAAACCATCACTGTTAAGCTTTATTTAAGTGCCATAAATCCAATCACAATAAAAGTATGATTATAGGGAAAGTTGTATAACCTTTAAAATATGACCCATGAAGGGCTTTTCAGTTAAGCGTATCAATAAATGTTTAAAATCACTGAGAAAAAATTGATGGCAGAAAAGATCGTGTAATAGGATTAATGTTTTAATGTTGTATAATGGTAAACGTGTTTAGCGAATACCTTGTAAACATATTGTTTAGCCTTGAAAATAAATAGAATTTAGACATAGATACAAATAATAAGTAAACTCCTAAATATCCCGTGAATGACCCATATGAACTCTTTTGTTAAATTTCATTACATGCCGGGCTGGAGTAAATCGGGGTAAACACGTGGCTAGTAGTATTACACGTGACCAAACACGTGGAATTGGTTATAATGCTTTCAAATTAAATAGAAAAAAGAATCTAAACACATGAACAAACAGGGTCATATAAGCAAGCAGTTAGATTATTTTGGAGCTTCATAACTATCCATGATTATTGGGGAAGTTAAAGTCGACACTAACAAAGTTTGAGGCATGTAAGTACATATTTTAATCATAAAGTTACTATCTTGAGTAAAACAGACTTTAAATAAAGCACATCCTTACTGTATGTATGCGATTACATTAAAAGTACCATCTGCACTGTACATCTGACAGCATAGGACCTGGTCTGACAGAGGAGCACTTTTTTTCAAATCGGAAATAGCGGTTCATCAAAACTGTTGTAAGCTGTTGTCTTAATTGTTGCGTTTTCACTGTCATAGTGTTGTTGATTTTGTAGATACTGCCACCCAGTTAATTTAGAATTTACGATATGATTGTATGATCATCAGTATAGTGAAGGCTTTTTAAAAAAAATGGCCTTTTGAGAAAATAAATTAGCATGATTTGAATAAAATGTACACTATATGGAGATGCTTGCACTCTTCCAAAAAATTATGAAAGCCATGACTATCAGGCCCAGTGTGGTTATCCTGGTCATATTGCGACCGTGTCGACTTAGACGTTACCAAGGATTCGTCTGGAACTGCATCCGAGGTTCAGTCTGTTAATTTGCAGTTTGAACGGGGTGAAGGAGTGTTGGCGTAGAGGGTACGAGGTATAGGTACATGTAGAGGCGCTGTGTGATCGTAAGGTAAAAAACGAAGTATAGGTGTGCCGTTTTCCCTTTGGTTAACCAATATGCAATTCCAGAGATAAAATAAATGATGATGGTTTCTCTATTTATTAAACGAGTTTTAACGATGACAACAATTAACGTGAAACAACAAACAAACGTGATCGAGTCGAATCTGACCAAAATGGCCCCAGGACTCAGAGTCCTGGTGAGTAGGACGTGGCCGAGACTGGCCTTCGTATAATTGAAATTATACATGACTATCTATAAGAATCTACGCAATGACAGGTGTTGACATTAAGTAAAATAAGCGAAAGATTCACTGGTATTGAGTAATTAAATATACTTAATGACTCTGAAGTTTGGACATGAAAAACAGATTACACAATGTGGTTATAACAGATTAAATTGTTCTTGGGACATAGTACTCTGTCTCTTTGTAAAAACAGATCAAGTGTTCGAGAAGTGTCACTTGTAAATCTTTGTAAATCAAACAATTATCTTTGTAAAACACATTGTGAGAAATAGAATATGACATAAGCACGAAATTGAAAAAGTAAGGTCCAAAATATTTTTTTTTTTCTGAAACAGTGATTTTTAGACTGATAATAAGATAAAAAAAAAAATTAAATCACAATTGAAAAGTTTTATTTTCTCTTGGACACCAAGCAGACAAACTATTTGCATGAAAACGAGGGTAGGGTTGAAAAAATGTATATATATATATATATATATATATATATATATATATATATATATATATATATATATATAATCCTTAAGCCTTAACATTTGGCGAGAAAACTAACCATATAGATGCTGACAATAGGCAATAATGAGTCCTTTCCCAAACGCTTTTGATGCGAGTTATTACGCCTTCCGAAAAATATTTCCATTTCTATTTGTTTTCTCTGTGATAACTCTTTGAAAGTTAGGAGAGTTGATTTCTTAATCATTCTACCGGAATGCAAATTTCGCCAAGCGAAAGGTCAGGAGCTAAGAAGGCCTAATATGCATGTAATTCTCGTGCGGCTGTCTTTGTGTCCGACTCTAAGGAGGCCTAATATGCATGTAAATCTCGTGCGGCTGTCTTTGTGTCAGACTCTAAGGAGGCCTAATATGCATGTAACTCTCGTGCGGCTGTCTTTGTGTTTGACGTCAGTGGGCGGGGACTATTGAAATTGACATGAGAGGCCTCGTGTAATTTAAATCTATTAGTTTACATTTTTAAAATCTAAATTTACAATTTTATTTCACAATGAATTGGAAATATAAGAAATATAAGGCTTCGCCCGTTATGCAAATTATCCCACGTTTCCAACCATCGTTGATGCCCTGGCATACTCTACTAACTAAACAGTGATTCCTTAATTATATACTTGAAAAGAAAAAAAAATCTTTTTCACGTCTTCACGTTATTAAGGCCTTAGGCAACCTATAATCTGGAGAAAGTGGGATGTTTATCCATACATCCTGTATTTCTTTGTTTTTAGATTCAGTTAATTTGTTACATGAAACATGGTATTTATTAAAATTACACAAAATTCATATTTATTTTGGGAATTTTATTTTTTCATATTTCTGCACAGAATTTCAGTCTAGATACAAACATAAATTTGGGGAGAATAAAAAAAAGGCTAGTTTGCTAGGAAAATTTCGTGAGATTTGTTTTATCATTAATAAAGCCTTAATTATTTCTCATTTATTTTTTCTGTCTCAACAGCATGAAGACAAGATCTAACGACGCCATTTTGACCTTCACTGATATTTGTTTGACCTTGAAAGAAAAGACTATTCTAACAAACATAAATGGGAAAGCCAGAAGTGGGCAGATCTTGGCCATCATGGGCCCAACAGGTAAACTTTCAATATTTTCTTAATTATTTCGTAATCTACTGTCATTTTGTTTTAAATCTCTAAATGTGAAAAAAAAAAAAAACAATCAATGACATTATTTCTTGGCTAAAGAAAATCTGGACTAAAATGTGTCAAATATACAGTATTACGTTTTTGTTAAAGTTTGTTCACTTTACGACCTCTTAATAAGTATAAAGGTAAAAGAAATGATCAAAAAATTAAAATTATCGTAAAATGTTTATGTTTACAATGTATATACTTTATCATAAATAAGAAAGATACGATATGATTATTATCAAAAATGGTTTTACAAAATCGTATGCGAAATATCAAACATGTTGATTAACATCATTACATGTAGTCATTAGCTGAGTTTAGGGCTTTATAAATTCTATTTAAGATTCTTGTTTCATTAAAAGTTAAATAGTTCAAAAGCAATATAGTCAATATATATTTTCTCCAGTTATCAATTTGGCAAAATTTATATTACAGGGTCAGGAAAAACTTCTCTTCTTAACATTTTGGCGGGAAATCTTACACTGACGTCAGGAACGATAACTTACAATGGGAACCCCTTCACGAAACTTCAACGGCGGAAACTGGCGTATGTTCTACAGAGTGACATATTTCTTTCAAGACTCACGCTAAGGGAAACTCTCTATGTAAGCATTATATTTAATAAATCATACAGTTCCCGAAACTTTTTAATTTCCACGTAAACGGCGAGTAAAAGATAAGTGAAAAGTGGGCGAACGATGAACGAACGCAGAGCGAATGGTGAGTGAACGTTGAACGCAACTTAATGGGGTTAGTGAAAGGATCGAAACACGAGCGCAATTTGGTCGCCCGCGTGGCGCAGTGGTTAGAGCGTTCGCTCTAGAGTCGCGGAGTAAGGAGTTGATCCTTACGTCGCGGGTTCGAGCCCCACTGTGGGACGTGGAGACCGGTCCTTCGGATGAGACCGTATAAACGAAGGTCCCGTGTCGCAGTAGGTGCTGGCACGAAAAAGATCCCTCACTGCTCAATGGCCCTAAGTGCCGAGTATAGGTCAAAAATTTGCAGCTCTCCACCGGCAAGTGGTGGCGTCTCCATATGAGTGAAAGATTCTCGAGAGGGACGTTAAACAATAAACAAACAAATGAGCGCAATTTGAACGGGTGAACAAGCGGTGAACTCACTATGAATGCAAGATTGACGGATTGTCTTGGATATTTTTTTCTGGCATTGCATGTATTCCATAATCAGGCAAGAAAAAGGATAAATGAATGGTATGACGTCTCACAACAGCCCAGCTATGACGTCACAACGGACGCCATTACGTTACACCTAATAGGCAATAGGACAAAAGAAAAAAGGGAAATGTAATAAACAGTCAATTCATTGTTTTTTAGTTGCATATGGAATTTATTTCACTCGCGAGAAGGTTTTTTTTTTTTTTTTTTTTTTTTACTCTTGCTCTGTACTCGTGAATATATATATATATATATATATATATATATATATATATATATATATATATATATATATATATATATATATATATATATATATAAAGAACCCTGTCCCGGTCGTGAAATAAATTCCATATCCAACTACAAAGCATTAAATAAAAGACTGTATTTTCCTATGCTTAAAAAACCAAAAGACTGTGAATGCATATATTTTTTCCACATCAAAAACGTTTGAAAATTTTAGTTTACCGCCATGATACGACTTCCTGATCACGTGACAAAAGCAGATAAGATGGCGCGAATCGATGAAATTGTAGATGCACTTCACCTGCGCAAATGTTTGGACACTGGTAAGGGAACAGCATTCTTTAGTCAAACAATAATTCTATTAATTATCAGAAGTAACGTTAAATTCATTTTACACGATAGTACCTGTATTATTCATGTATATGACGTTTCCGGTTCATTCTCCCAAGTTTTTCTCTTTTCATGTATTTTAATAATTCGAATAAAAATTTAATGAAATAAACTATGATTAAAACATTTACAATTTCTACACTTAAGCTTAGCTCAAATGTAATTAATTTCAGTTTCCTGCATTTATAAATTATGACAGAATCAGTCAAAATTTCGAATGTCAGAGGATTGACCCTTCATTCTAAATGCAAAGTGTATAATAAATTATACAGAACGAATGAAAAAAAAAGATATCTCACACTAGCTCTAGCACTGCGCATGTGTTAATGCAGGAACTCTGGGACTTTGCTTCTCAATATAACAAGACTATACTGACCACTATCCATCAGCCTTCCAGTCAGATTTTTCACATTTTTTCGTCTCTACTATTGCTTGTTAACGGACGCGTGAGTTTACATACGTATAACAGAGTAGAGGGTCGTTCTCATGCACCTGTCACCTGGGTCTTCACATTTTTTTTTGTTTTACATTATATGTATTTAATAGACAGTCGTCATATTTTTTTTTACTTTTAAGGACAGATGATACAAACAAAGATTTCTTAAAAAACCATGAAAATAACAACTTTATAGATGTTTATACAAATAAGATAAATAGTTTAAACGCTTAGATTTTAATTTTTCATTCAACATTCCATAATAGTGTCATATAAAGTGATAAGAATTTTTATAGATTTAAAAGGAGGGCTGCAGAAAAACAGAAGTTTGAACATCATAGAAAGCTTACAATTTCTTAATATTTTATAAATTTGTTAAATTCACCATTTACAACCAAAATACATGTAGGTCCAAAAATATAAATTGCAATCCACGTATCCATTTTTTGCTTGTTTCATCTGTCCTTAAAACATGGGCTATAAATTGGCGGATATTTTCAAGCGTTTTAATGAACTTTGGTGTAAGAAAAATGAACATAAGAATAGCATTTAACTGGGTTCCAGAGCAACAAGCATTTTGTAGGACCCAAGAACTAAACTGTTTGCCGAAGGCAACACTTTGATTTGAGGGTTCGACAAAACGCTTTCTGTTAAACGTTCAAAAACGAAGACAAATAATGTTTTATAATATTTTTTACTTTCTATTGTGATGCACATTGGCGTCCATGTTTTCAATAAAGATGACAAAATTTTGTAAATTTCGTTTACGCACACTGAGGAATTAACTTGGTAAATTCCTTTCCGAACACCAGCGAATTCAAATTAGATAAAGCTGATCTACCCTGTGTTGAGAAAAAAGTATGGCATAAAAATGTCGCAGCGGTCCAACATCTCACTAAACGGTCCAACATTTTTTTTTGACAGTAAAATATTGGAAATGTTAGACTTCATTTCAGTAGAGGTTTATGTACGAAACAATTTTTAAGGCATAAAGAATATTTGTGCTTAATCCACATGTACATTTTCATCTCACACTGTCGTTATAATATTCAAAAGTTTTCTTCAAACGTAGGCAGCGTACTTTGGCGATGCCCACAAAGCACTCCCGTATTTCAGTGGACTGGGCCTAAGCTTTCCTGATCATTACAACCCATCTGATATTATGCGTAAGCATGAGTTTTATAAATAAAAAGATATCCCATATCTTATTTCCTTATATTTATTGCAAAAGACTACTTTTTTTCAATTCTAAGAGTAAAATTTATTTTTGTATTAATTATTAATTAATTTTTGTGATCATTTTTAGTGGAGCTGTTAACCACAAATAACGAAGTCGTAAATAAAATTCTTGAAGCATCAGAGAAAGCTAAGTGAGTACAATGTCGTAAAAATATTAAAATCAAATTTACATCATACACAAGCAAACGATGATATTTTAGTTCTAAACTTAACAATTCGACAGTTTAAAATTCATTAGATATTTTTTGTGTGTTTATAAATCTTCTACTAAGAGATTTTTTTTAGGAAATTTGGACAGATGAATACATTTGTGCGTATGTCTGTGCCTCAATGGCAAATTCATGAACATAACATAAGGAGTACCAATTACTTGTCAGTCTCAAACATTCAAAATTTCAAAAATACTACATGAGCACGCATGATTAGTCACATACAATATGGAAGAGACAGTCATTATAGATACTAATAGCGCTGCCAACAAATACATGCATCATTTATGAAATAACAAATGTAAAAATATGTATAAAATAATGCACCTATATAATACATGTAAATAATTTTGTGATATTAAGTAATACACCGTTTGAAACTGAGAATTATTTTTAGAAATTTTAGGGTGAAGGTCGAAAATGCAGAACTCGGTAATGGCAAGGAGTCGACCATTAATGGTGATGGCACATCAAAAATAGCACCATCACTCACAAACGGACACGCTAATGAACCAGCATCTAATGGTCATGTCATTCCTCTTTTATACCACAAAACGGGTGAATATTTGACCGAGTATACATGTATATTAAATAATTAACCTTTTAAATCTATGAATTATTTGAACGTATATTTTCAAGAACATCGCTCTTTTTGTATTGTTTTTTTTTTTTTTTTTCATTTCAGATCCTACAGAGATTGTGCTTAATGTTTCATCTCTTAAACACGTTTCAACAAGCAATCTAGAACGTCCACTCAACACAAAGTGGGCAGCCTCATTTTGGACACAATTTCGCATGTTGTCTTGGCGAAATGCAAAACAATCAAAATGGAGGATTTTTGACGAATGTAACCTTATTCACGCCCTGATTGTTGGCAGTATTTTTTGTGTTATTTATTATCAGATACCAAGTTCTAACGACACACTTCGAGACAGGATGGGAGCGGTGAGAAATCTCAGTTTCCTTCTTCTATGATTTCAGATTCATAGAAATTTGCTTTTATTAAAAACTACAATAAAACACTGCCGCTTATAATGAATTGACCCTTACAGCGAAGTGATGTTCATTCCCCGAGATTTTAAAATATAGTAAACTTAACGAATGTAACAAATTACTCTTATAACGAAGCAATATCATCCGTACCTGGCACTTCGTTATAAGCGTGCTTTACTGTATACGAATTTTTGACAGGTTTTCTTTCCTCTGGTATATTGGGGATTCGCAATGGTGACTGATGCTGTTACCAGTTGTAAGTTGTATTTTTTGCTTCTGCTTTGAACAGTCATTAAAATTCACTGTTCTTTTATTTTTCTTATTTATTCATCATATATTTTAATTTAGAGCTGCAACCTAAACACATACATGTATCCTATTTTATGTACTAAGAATTATTTAATTAAATTTTACTGAACTCATTGCAAATGTTTTTTGATGATTTTTTTTAATGTAAAAAGGAGGCAATAAAAGATCTTTTACTACAAAAATAAAATGTGTTTTCAAAAATGCTTAGTGGAAACATTACCGGTACTCAATATGTCAAATCTAAACTTCTTATGACACCACATTTAGTTTAGGACTTTCGAAATTAGAATTTCTTTTGATTTCATTCCCAAATTACTTCCGTAAATTTAATATCATAAATATATATATTATACATTTTACATTTTAAAGTTATTGGAGAACGAGAGGTTGTGAGGAAAGAGAGAAGAGCAGGTGCCTACCGCCTGTCTGCCTATTACACGGCTAAGATGGTCAGTGAACTTCCAATGATGATTGTGGTGCCTATTGCCCAGCTTTCGGCCATGTACTGGTTGGCAGGGATTGGGGGACCGGTGCAGTTTGCCATTTATTTAGGAATAAATCTTCTGAATTGTTTTACCACTCAGGTAAGAAATTGAGATTGGGTATTGAATTTCTCAACATTTCTTTAATACTTGAAGACCTAAGGACAAGGTACATGTATGGTAATGGCCAAATTTTGTCCCTTTTTTGATAAAAATATATAAACACGGTTAAAATTGTAATAGATTGCAATTGAGACTTTAAATTATGTTTGTTTTAAAACCAGAAATAATTTTAACCATACATAATAACCATACACAGAAGCAACAAGAGGATGACAAAATAGCATACTTTACAAAGAACTACGAACTCTAAATCTCGATTCCCGCTTACATTTTACACCCATTTAATTCAACATTAAGGGCAATTTGGCCATTAAAACTTTTTTTGGAATTTTATCACCACTGTCAAATAGTTAATTTCTTTTAATTACAGCTCGACCGTCACGGTAGCTCAGTCGGTAGAGCGCTCGCTCCTGATCGGAAGGTCGCGTGTTCGAATCACGGCCGCGACTGACCTAAGTCGATAAAAAATAGGTAGCAACTGTTCCATCGCCAAGCGCTTGGCACTTTGAAGTGAAAGTTGCGGGTCCTTCGGATGAGACCTTAAAAAACGAGGCCCTGTGTCACGGTAGGCGTTGACACGATAAAGAAACCTCACTGCTCAATGGCCCTGAGTGCCTAGTAAAGGTCTAAATTTGAAGCCCTTCACCGGTATATGGTGACATCTCTATATGAGTGAAAAATTCTCTAACGGAACGTAAAACAGCATACAATCAATCAATCATTCATTAATTACAGTTCTTTTTAAAAGGAGTGTGTGTTGAAAATGTTGTCCGTTGAAATTAGGTTTTAAAACATCACCAGATTTTGAAATACTAATTGATTTCTGGACAAACGATCCTTAAATCTTTCCGAATCTTTAATTATGTAAAAGTAAGCATCTAAATTTAATAAACTAAAATTTTTCATGTGTAATTTCATTTAAAATATGTAAAAAATGACAATTTTTGTTGTTGTTTTTTTTGTCTGTAAACATATGTTCCCCAGTGAAACAACAAACGCTTTGGTATGAATTTGTTAGATGATAATTTATGATACCTGTGAAAGTGAATGTTTTTGTTTCGCCAGAGGGGGGATATATTTTTGAAAATATTTTTCGTTTTCCATTGATTCCTATAGTAGAAAATACAGTCAAGGTTTACCAAAATTATAGCTTAATAGACACCCAAACCAGGGGCCAAAAAGGGGTCTGAGCCTATCTTGTCCTTTAATTCAATTATAAGCATCTTTATACATAGTTAACTGAAGTCTGCTTAAGTCTATTCCCAAGCCTGGGTCAGGATGTAGATATGTTCTGGGTGTCTGCGAATTTCAATTCATATTAAATTAACAGAAATGTTCTTATGGAACAGGAAGAATATACATATTGAATGAATGTTCAACCATCCTCACTTTAGATTGATTCAGGTAACCTGTAATTTAAATAAAAAATCTTGGCTCCGGGACCGTAAAACTTAGATGACCTCTCTCTTGATCTTATTCTCACTTTTCCACTATCATGACTATATTCCTTTTGTAAGGCGAGATTAAGATCAAAAGTGAGCTCATCTAAGTTTTATGGCGCCGGCGCCTGATTTAGGGATCTATTAAGAATTGGGCTAAGAAGTAGCAATAAACGGGAACAATTCTTTTTTCTGGGTTAATCAAAATAGATTAGAAATTCACAATTCAATTCACAGAGTATTTTATCGTTAAATGCGGTGTGCTAAATAATATTTTATTTACAGAGCATAGGGTACATCATTGGAGCCTGTGTCCGCACATTTAAGTACAGCATTACAGCCGTCAACACTGTGATGGTGGTATTCCTTATATTAGGTAAGACATATATTGAGGTCATGACTTCAACTCTGAACTGACCCAAGGTCATGACTTCAACTCTGACCTGGACCAACCTTACACTTGATTGTTCCTTTGCAAAACACTAGATATCAAGAAGTGAATGTCACGTGACTTTCAGATAAGACGTTAAGAAGGCACGACTTGATAAAGATTCATCTATTTAATATATAATTGTTCTGTGGCATATATATCTGAAATTTTGCATATCATTTATAACTAGTGGTCTCTTAGAATTTTTTCAAGAGAGAAAAAAATCAGTCAAGACCAACCTTACCTGTACAATACATCCAGGTCGGCATTCTTATTTGAATTATATTTGATGGAGGACATTTTAACGGATATTAAATTTTGTTACATACTGGAAAATGCGTTTTTGACTTTGAGAAAATTACATCGGTTAAACTTAAAGGTGAAAACATTGAGTTGGTCTATTTCATGGTTTGAAACTCTTCGGTGTGGTGCGTATAGAAGGTCCTGAATAAATAAATCAATTTTTTCATTTAACCAAAAAAATTCTTCCAGCTCTTAGATAACATTTGTTAAAATTAGGGATGGCAACGAATATTCGAATATTCATTCCATGAGTTGATATTCGAATATGAATTTAAGATTCGAATATTCGATGTTTTTCAGATTTCATAAAAAGAAGTACTATGATTAATAAATTTTGATAAGAACAGTGCTGGGATTATCCCTATTTAATTTACTAGCGATCAATTTCGATTGCCTGATTTCTTTCACTACTTTCTTATCTTATAGATTTACTACATTACATGTATTTTGTTTTGAGTAAGGTGTTAAAGAATTGTACAATAATGCTTTATGTATAATACGAAACGTACTTTCATAGCTTTCTAAGTTAGATATGATCGGATCTATAATCGAGGACAACAAAATGAAATCTTAGAATGTCTAAAAGGCGTGAAGATATAAATTCATTGATCATTGAATGGATGTCCGATAGAATTAGTCTGTAATTAATATTGTAAAGAGCTTAATTTCAGAATAAATGTGTAAATTACTTGGTTATTTCGGGTTGTACATACTCCTGAATTTTATATTCATTATCGGGAAATTAGTTAATTACCTAGGAAAATTGTCTATGGAAATATTTGTTTACATTGTATCAAAGATTATAATCATATCTCTTATTAGGCAGATAATTGTAATTCATTACACGTATTGAAATCTGAACAGTATACCGTTGCCTTTAGTAAGACGACTGGTTCCTCAGATGGAGCTACTATAAATACACATGTTTCATTTATTGAAATTATACTTTTCTACATTTAAATCAATTATTTATTTCAAACATTGACAAATATTAAATGAAATTTCTTATTGTACACCTACAAAAGTCTTCATACAATTTTACTTCCAATGCAAGTATACCTACGCTTAAACTTTCATGATGCATATTTAAGATAAAACAGATTTTATTTATTTTATCGAATATTCGAATATATTCGAATACTTTCATTGAATATTCGAATATGAATTATAGACTAAATTGACATTCCTAGTTAAAATTGTGAATTCATTCTTTGATGTCCTCTGTTTTATTTTACAGGTGGATTTTTTAACACGTCTTTCCCCACATGGTTTACTTGGGCTAAGTATACTTCATTCCTGCACTATCCCTTTGCTGCCATTGTGACTGTTTTATTCGGAGATATAGAACCATTCAGGTATGGACTTTTTACATTACAAATCCGTGATGTACGTGTATTTTGCGGCATACCAATATTGTTTTAAGTCATTTGATTATGATAGGGACAATTGAGGTTGAACACAAAATAATTTCAGTAAATGTTGAACCAAGTCTGTATTATTTTCTTTTTGATTTGCTTTATTTATAATATGAAGTGTTAAACAAAGGAAATAGATCTCAAGATAGATTCAACTTGATTTATTATTTGAAATGTAACAGAAAGATCTTTGATATCAGAATAAATTACAAGACTAAATTCTTTAAAGCATTTCCTTTATACTCTTTCCATTAAACTGTGTTAAATGTAAATTACTGAGGATTTTCATTTAGTTATCCGATTTGTAACTTAATCTTTAGAAGACCATGCTGTAAGCAACAACCAGTATGTAAACGTAAAACAAAAGAACCTCTGCACTGATAATCTAAAAAAAATCATCTGATTGCTGATTTGCATTAAAATACCAATCTTTTGTTTTTAGGTGCGGAAACCCTCAAATATTCAAGAAGTGCCAAAATGAAAAAGAGCTTATCACAGGAAGTGACGTGTTACACAGTGTAGGAATTGATCTCCCTGTTTATTGTTGTGTAGGAACGATGGTGGTCTTGATTATTTTGTTACGTATTCTTGGATATTATGCCATTAAATACAGGTTGTAGACATATTAAATAAATATAAGAATTATTGTCGATGAGCGTTATACATATTACAATTGGTTGGGAATGACAGAGAAGGCCATGTGATTATGCCCTCACATTTAATTCACAAAACGATATTATAATGACATTCAGAAAATTCCAGCGAGCCATGCATTACATTTCTTCAAGTTATGTATTCAGATCCTAAAATGTTAATATGAAATATGATGGTAATGAACAGCAATCAAGCTCAAAAGTCAATATTTGGGGCAGAGCAAACATGGACCTCTAAAAACATTTGAGGTGGGATCAGGTGCCATGGGGAGTAAGCATTCCCGGTCGACTGGTCACACAAGCCGTATGCTCCTTGTCATATTTGAGACATAAACTCCATATACAGGTAACAATGGTTTATTGCTACATAAATAAGAGAAGTTGATGATGGAAAAGTTGAAGTCATCACGTTTAACAAAGCGTTTTGTTGTTAGGTTACCATTAACGTCTTTTCTAGTAAAATATAGTTTTTGACCGGATAAGGTTCTATCCATCGGGTATAATAAACCGCAATGATAGCAACATACTTGTTACCCTTCTCGGTCCTTGGTAAAGGACCAAGGATGTCAATGGCAACTCGTTCCAGTGGTTCTCCATCTAGATACTGACCCAGTTTTCCTCTGGCTGCCCTTGATGGATTCTTCCTTGCTTCACGCACAGCCTCTGATTTGTTTCTTAACATTGCCTTTTAAAATGTCCAGTAGAACCTTTCTCTTATTTTTTCGGTGCTTTGGGAAATTCCTAAATGTATAATTATGTGTACCAACAGTAAGTATCTCTTTAATACATGCTTTTAGCACCGCTATCTGCTAATAGGTTTATTCAGTTTCTTCCCAAGTCCTGTTCTCATTTCGTAACATCAGTCGGTTCCATTGTAACCAATCCGTCTTAAGCTCTGCTGGTTCCTTTGCTATCATCTGCCAAGTTGGTCAGTTATCCATCGTCTTCCACTAAATTATTTTGACTAATATTGGATCTGCATTCTGCTCCTTTTGTAGGTCTTCTTGTGTCGTTGTCATTGTACCAATTTTGGATTTTGGATTGGTCTTCTGTTAACTTTAATACATGATTATTGTCCTCTTCTTTGTCACAGCAGTTAATAAGTGCACATGGTCGACGTCTTAGCCCATCACTATTACCATATTGTTTTCCTGGTCGATGTATAATTTTAAGTCATAAGTCTGTAGAACCTCAAGCCAACGGGCTACTTGTCCCTCTGCAGTCAAACTGTTGGCATGATTGTAATAAGCATTGAGCCCTCTACCACGATTATGAAATCCATGGCCCCAGACTCAGGGGTTCTGGTGCTAGGACGGGGCTCTGTTGAATATAGAGTGAATATTCATTATTTCTTAAAAATCTTCTCCTCTGCTCCTGAGTATTAAGCAAACAAACCAAATGCATAGCTATGATGAGGAAGTGTGCCTCCTCCAAAATTATGAATTTCATGGTCCCTGGGTCAAAGTTTCTGGTGTAAGGTCTGGGCTCTAATGATTATGTAGTGAAAATTCTTTAATTCTTTGAAAATCTCCTCCTCTGCTCCTGGACATTAAGCCGATGGACTCGGTACATGGTAATGATGATGATGAAGGATGCTTCTTCCACAATTGTGAATTTCATGGCCCCTGGGTCAGGGTATTTCTGTGTAAGGGCGGGGTCAGGGGTACTGGTGTTAGGACAGGGCGCTTATAATTACATTACTCTTATGAAAATTCTTTAATTCTTTGAAAATCTCCTCTGCTCCTTGGTATTAAATAAACTAACTAAGAATATAGTTATGATGAGCAAGAGTGCCTCTTCCAAAATTGTGAATTTCATGGCCCCTGGGTCAGGGGTTCTGGTGTTTGGGCGGGGCTCTATTGAAAATAGAGTGAAAATGCATTAATACTTTGAAAATCTTCTCCTCTACCCCTCCTTAAATAGTGTTAAGGTTTTGTCAAAGGTCAACATGTCCAAAAATTTATTTTTACAATAGCTCCAAAACTATGTGGTTTATAAAGTTAAAACTTTTACAGTTTATAAATATATCATTGATTACCAGATAGAAAGTATCACTTGATAACAAATACTTAAAAAAAATATTTATCGAGAAAAATTCTTTTTAAAAAAATGCATGTATTTTTAAAAAATACACCTAATTAATTCCGTACTTTTAGTGAAAGCCATCATTGCAGAAACAATATATGTTTATCAATGAAGGGCAAGTTAGACTTCGATAGCCTCTGGAAAGTTGTTTTCTTTATTTTGTCTAAATGTTAAGATTTGAAACCGAAAGTACATTGCAAATGGCGGATTTTATAGGGGTCTTGTCTTTATACATGTCATGCTTTCAATAACAGCTTTTCAGAGACCATTCATGTCCAACTTGCCCTTCATTGATAAACATATATTATTTCTGCAATGATGGTTTTCACTAAAAGTGCAGAATTAAGCAGGTATATTTCTTTTAAAATATGCAAAATTTTTGAATTTTTTTCTCTCAAAATATATAAATTTTTAAATATTTGTTTTCAAGTGATACTTTCTATCTGTTAATCAATGATATATCTATAAACTGTGAAAGTTTTAACTTTATACCTCACATAGTTTTTGAGCTACTGTAAAAATAAATTTTTGGACATCTTGACCTTTGACAAAACCTTAAGCAAACAATCTTAATACAATAATATAAATGTATAAATATATTTATAGATGCCTTTTCTCTACTTCTGTATATATCTAGGAGGCTTACAACGTACAAAATTCTAAAAAGTGAAGCAAATGAGAGTTACTCCCATTTGCTTTATTGTGTTAATCAAGAAATCCTTGTTTAAAATTTGATTCAAGTCAGATTCTTGTCTGGAAAGCTATATAAAAGATTGACATATAGATTATTTATGTAGCAAAAGGGACAATAGTTATTATCATGTAAGGTCATTGAGATCACAGTTTTGTTGGAAAGAGACTGCACAAAGTTGTTTAATACTTTATCAAAGTGAACAAGTGATCATAGAGAGCCAGAGTGACTATGAGACATGTTGTAGGTTGTGACAAGTGGCAAATAGCCACGTCGTATAGCCAAGTCTCTCTTTTTGTACTTAATCGTAGCATTAGGCAAGTGACAAAAACATAACTTTATATGTTGAATACCTTACACACCAGGCAAGTGTCCATTGTATTTGTATATTTTGCATTCATTATCATCCCTATAAGATTTGGGAAAAACAAGTACGATCTCAAGGAGATCACTTGGGTCTCGCACGTTACAATATGCAAAGGTATTTTTACCAGTTTTTTGAAATACTTGAGCAACATAGCTTCATCTTTCAGTTAATTTAGTTTTATACTTCTATGGATCCTTTACAGTGTTGTATTATACTACGGTGACCGTTAAGGCCCTTTGGCCTCTTGTTGAAGTTTAGGGGCCATGTTAATGCCCCTTGATCAGCTCTTATTAAAAAGCTTTTTCCATAAAGGTAATGGTGAAAATGCCTGATTGAACTCACAACGACCATGTCTGTTACTCATTAGTTCTTTTCTGGTTTACTGATCGCCTTGCTAAAGTACGCACTAGGTCTTTCTATGCCATCATCCATCTGGGAAAAAACTCCACCCATGGCGAACGCATTAGCGTCTGTGTCCAATACAAAAGGTAAGCTCAGGTCTTGGTACAGTAAGATAGGTGCTGAAAAAAGTGCTGTTTTAAGCTCACCTGAGCTGATCGAAAGCTCAAGCGAGCTTTTCTATTCACCCGTTTTCCCTCGTCCGTCCGTCCATCTGTAAACTTTTCATATTTTCAACTTCTTCTCAAGAGCCACGGCCAATTTTAACCAAAGTTGATACAAAGCATTCTTGGGTAAAGAGGAATTTAAATGGTTAAAATGGGGACCAGAAAAAACTTAAACTTATGTGGAAGCTTCCTGAAGTAGTGTAAATTCTAAACAGAGCAAATCATGCCCCCCCCCCTCCCCCCGTGGATAGGGTGAGATCACAATAAGGAATCAAAGTTTTACATTGAAATATATAGGAAAAATCTAAAGAATCTTCTTCTCAAGAACCACTGGGCAAGAAAAGCTGAAACTTATGTGGTTGTCTCCTGCGGAAGTGTAGACTATAAATTGTTCAAATCATGGTTCCCAGGCGTAGGGTGGGACCACAATAGGGAAGCAAAGTTTTACATTGAAAGATATAGGGAAAATCTTTTAAAAAAACCTTCTTTTCAAGAACCACTGGGCCAGAAAAGCTTAAACTTATGTGGAAGTCTTCTGAGGTAGTGTACATTCTAAATTGTTCTTGGGTGAAACCTTTAATCCAGCATTCTGTAATCGTTGTAGCACTGCGTCTAGATGGTTAACATGACTGTTAAAAATTTTGGAGTATACAATGTTTTCGTCTATGTACAAAAAGCAAATTTCAAAGTTGAGACCCTCTAAAATATTTTCCATCTGTTTCTCGAATGTACGAGGGTTGTTCGGAAAGTTCGTGGATTACCGTCGTAACTTTTTTACTTAACGTCATATTATATCCAAATTTGGAAGAGATATTTCTACCTTAAATTCAAATGATGTGTATTAATTTTTTTTTAAATATCGTGGTTTATTTCAAACGTATTTAGACTTGATAAATGCGAAAATCGGACCCCGGAGCAGGTCAAAATTTTGTAATTTACAATCAAGACACTAAATAATGTCTGAAGTCATATCTTCTGTAAAATGACACAAAAACGGGAAATTCAACACGTTCAAATTAAGAATTGTTTCATCGTTTCTGATGCCAAATTATGACATAATATTTTGCTTCGTTGAAAAGAAATCAGTTTCAGAAGATAGGTAGTCCTCATTGAAAAAGGCAAAAAAGATGACGTCGTAGAACGTCACGGCGCAGCAGTTAACCATACAATCTTGTGTTGTACTTTGGAAAACTCCAGGAAAAACTCTGAAAATGCCGGAGGAAGTAGGAAATATGTCAAAAGCGAGCCCTGTATGTGTGTGTACATGGTACAAGCGGTATTTGAGTGATAGACTACTCTGCTTAGACGATGGTGATCTGTGAGAAAACGGATTATCTGTAAAAATCTTATCAAAAACATTGAAAAGTTAATAACGTCACGGTCAGAGTTTGGCGCTTCACTGATTCTGATCTTGTGAAAGCACACTTTTGCAGTGAAAAAAAAATATAACATTGACAAACAAAATGATGCTATGGAGCAATTGTTAGTAAAACAGATTTCAAGTGATAGAGAAATGTTCTTAATGAGTGTACTGATATTGGGCAATACTGTGTGGAATGTATAGGGATAGTATTTTTAGAACCTCATGTCTGTACATTTTTGACGTTACAGTGTTGTTGAGTTTGCTCCGTGGTTACAAAACGTGTTGATTTTAAAATTAAATATCATGAATTCTATTAAAGCAAGTGAAGTGAAACTTTATACATCAACAAAATAAATATTTTTACATATGGTAATGTGCTCATTTTAAATTTCTTGAAGATAGTGTAACGAAGATTGGCATAGTCCACGAACTTTCCGAACAACCCTCGTAGCGACTGCGTTGCATAGGCCAAATGGCATGACCTTAAATTGGTAGAATTCATGCGTCGAAACGAATGCCGTTTTGTTTTAATCTGCAGGGTCCATCATAACCTGCTAGTAACCGCTAGCCAGGTCTAGGCAACTGAACCATTTCGATGTTTTCATAGGCGTCTAAAGAGTCGTCTATTCTTGGTAGAGGGTATGAGTCTTTATGCGATACCTCATTTAATCTGCCGTAGTCAATACATAATGGAATGCTACCATTTTATTTTTTTTTTTTGGGGGGGGGGGGGGGTTACCTAAATACGAATAGAATATAGAAAGTATTTACGACATTCCTTTGAAATTCAATGATTCGGACAGGTTTCTTATTTTTTCTCTGTATTACAATTTCGGGCAGCAAACAATTTTAATTGTGTGTACATTTATGTTAATTTCTAGTTAAGTGTCTACACTTGATACGGGGAAGTTTTGATTATCAGAGAAGACACAGCATGGCTATATTGGGTTATCAAACGGAAATAAATATGTTTAAAGGTTATATAACCATTCTTTATATATATATATATATATATATATATATATATATATATATATATATATATATATATATATATATATATATATATATATATATATATATATATATATATATATATATATATGATGTTTAGTTTAGCAAACATCCATTTTCCCGTTCTACCATTGATCCTGTTCAGAAACAAGTAAACAAACCGGTCTTTAAAAGAGCATTTCTCTGAGTTAAAAACCAATTATTCAGTCTACAGTCTTTCTCTTTCATCTAAGACCAATGTTCTTTTTTTTTATTTAAGAAAAAGAAATATGCCATGGAAATGGAGGGATGTTGGGTTACAAATGTCAAAATGCATGTTGTGTTAGCTTAGTCATAATCGGGCAAACGGAAAAATCCGTAATGCCAGTGTGAAAATAATGGCCTAACAATTTGACATGTATGAAAAACGTTAGTCAAGATTAGACTAGACAATAGACTGTATTTGCTTTCAAGGTCATTGTGTCGACTATAGAATTTGCTAAATGTTGACTTTAAGTGAGACTGTTAATATCCTTCTATCCTCAACTTATCTGTCAATAGCTTACCTCGTTTGAGAAACTGTTCGTACGTAAAACATTCTGTTGCTATCAAATCAACTGGGAGATATAAACTCCATATGCAAGTGATAATGGGATATTGCTGCTTAAAAATGGGAATTTGATGATAGAAAAGTAGAAGTCGTCACGTTTATATCAGTTTTGATGGAAGACTTTATCTTCAAAAACCTACATAGATATTGTCAATCAGAAACTTAAGCATCTTTTTACCAACCAACTTTGGGATACTTTTGTTTGCATTCAGAATGATGTTTAACATTTTAAAGACGTTATCAATATTCAATTTCATCTTCAACAGCAAAACTTCATTATAAACGTGGTTACTTAAACTTTTCTATCGTCAATATCCCTTATTTTTGTTGCAATATACCTTTATCACCTGAATATGGAGTTTGTCTTCCAATTGATTCGATACGCAAGAGTATGTTCTACGTACAATTTTAAATGTTGACTGATTTTTTTTTTTCATTCGAATTGTAAGCCATTATTTTCACATTGAATTTGCTACTGATTTTTCTCTATTTGCCCAATCATGACAATGAGCACGTGTCAGGTTTGACCGGTCGACAGGGGATGCGTACTCCTCCATGGCACTTGATCCAAATTCTGATGTTTTTGGTATTGCTTCAGTGGACTTTTGAGCTTGGTTACTGGTCATTATCTTCATATTTCATTCTTGTACACTCTACATTGGAGGATCGCGAATTCTTGCTCACTAGTCTACGACACACCTTAAATGATATGTGCACTTAAGGTTTATTCTTCGGGAAATTTGTGATAAAGGAGTAAAAAAAATGCACTTGCAAGATTGTCCTTACATTGAAAAATCAAAGGAGGAAGAAAATGCATGCATAGAAATCGAAGTAAGCATAACCTGCACAACTAAAATTGTTTTTCCTGAAAGAAAAAAAAACAATGCAATATTTAACTGAAAGCTATTTCTGGAGATGAATATAAATAGGTGTATCTTAAACTTCTTTGGTTCATTCGAGACTCATATCTCACCTTTAGAAGAACGAAAACAACGATTTTGTTTGAGATCTAGAGGGTTCAAGGCGAGTATTCTTTATTCTTTTTTCTGTAATATCAAATTCCTCTGTCATTTTCTGCTTTCTGGTGGTATGAGGCCACAATTTGGTAATTAAGTATTGTTCTTTTTTTTAAAGTTTGCAACATTTTAGCCTGAATTTAGCAAATGATTTTATCGACAACTGAAAATGTTGTTTTTTTTGTTTTGTTTTTTTTTTTTTTTTTTTTTTTTTTTTGTTTTTTTTTTGTTTTTTTTTTTTTTTTGGTTTGTTTGTTTGTTTGTTTTTTTTTTTTTGTTTTTTTTTTGTTTTTTTTTTTTTTTTTTTTTTGTATTTGAGCATCAAAATTGATCTTATTATCACAAATAGGTAAAGAAATAAAATAATTAAACAAAACATGAAATTGATAATGAATAAATAAAATATGTTTATTATAGATTAGATAGATAAATCAAATTACTGGCACCTTCCAATGAAAGACTCATTTATTATTAATTTACAAATTTAAAAAAAGTGACAAAATATAAACTATACATCACGAGAAATAGGATTCCAATGCACAGAGTATCAAATATATATCGTTAAATAAATATCATACTTAAGTTTCCACTGGATATGTCACTTCTTTCTACAAGGAAGGCTATAATCATCTGGTTCACTGATAAAAACTAATATAAGTCAAAGAAAGTATTATTTTGTTCATTTGGAGAAATCTGAGATAGTAGTTATGGATGATTTTATCTCAATTTGAAATGAAGACGTAAGAAACGTTTATGCTTACTAAAAATAAAAATAGGCAAATATACGGATGGATGAATTCTTTTTGATTGGATCTATTTAAAAAGACTAATTATTGTTTGTATCATAATATAACCCTAGCCATACATTTAACAATACGCATAAGTGTTAATACCTCTTGCTAATATCAAACTTGTAATGACAAGTCTAGACAAGTTAACAACATTAAATTGTTACGAGTGCAAGAGTCAGTTTCCGTTCATCATATAGTTTTGTAAGAGAGAAAGATGACACCAATCATTTACAAGTGTTTTGTTTAGGTTTGGAGAGTGTGTATGGATAAATAAAACTTTCAAAAGCTCTCCAAAACTCCCTAGTTGTAACTTAATGGGATGATTACCACTGCATTTCTGAAAAGAACGTTTTCAGTATTCTTTTGAATGTAAGCGATAATTTTCAACCACAATTAGTTTTTTTTCTTATGTATCGACTACAAAATCCTAAAGTGTTTATATATTTCTGGTCGAGATTTTTTTTTTTTTCATTATAAAATGCAATCAGGGAATTACTCTTGAAATGATTCTCTCCAACATCTTCGTTGTGATGGTAGGTCCGCTTCAGAGAAATCTGAACAATTGAGACCAAACTTTCAACTTGCGTGTACCCTTTATCATCTAATGCAGGGAATTTTGCATTTAGATTTACATAGAGAAATTGCAAAAATACGAAAGCCCATTTTGGAACTATCGAAAGATATATTCTTGAATTCGATATAACGAATTGTCGAATTTGTTAAAACAAATTTAATCCGTTATAACATTTTTAAAATTATTTTAACGAATTAAATCTGTTCAAACAAATTTGTTGAATTCATAATAATGAGTAAAATTCGATTAAACGAATCTTAAAATTTATAATTTTCAGTTATATTCGTTGAATGAATTCTGAAATTTATCAAAACGAATTGGAGATTTAGGGCCTTTAGAAAAATATTTATAAATTTAATATAACAAATTGTGGAAAACGTTTAAACAAATTTTAATCGTTAAAACTAATTTAAGAATTCGTTTAAACGACTTTAAATCGTTTTATCAGAATTCCTTATAACTAATTTAACAAATTCGTGAAAAAGATTTTAATAAAAATATTGATATTACGAATTAAATTCATTGAACAAATTTAACAATTCGTCATATCGAATTCAAAAATATTTTTAATAGGCTCTAAATGGGCTTCCGTACAGAAATGATAATAAGCAATGTTTTCTTCCGTATATTATAACATACTCATGATACTGACACAGAGTATATTCTTTTACAGATGTGTACTCCAGGAGAATCTAACAGATTTGATGACTTGGAGGAGGACGGTCTAATTGCTAATTTAGCATCCATAAAATGTTCTCCTCTGGTTTGTAATTATTTTTTTTTAAAAAAATCTCATATATTTATTATTTTTAGTTTTTTATGTCCCCGGCATAAAATGGCTGGGGCATATGGTATTATCCATTTCCATGCATCGCTCATTCCATCATTGTCATTCCGTTAGTTTTCGGACTTTTCTTTGCTATGCTTAAAGATGATGAGCTGTGTCTTTTTATAAAGAACTTAAGACCAATTTCGAATTTTATGTCAATTGACCCATTTTCACCAAAGTCATTGCGCTTAATTTGTCTTTGATTATTTATAATAAATCACTGTTTTTCGGACCTTTTTTGTTGTGCATGAAGATAATTAGTTAACTTTCAGTGAAAGCGGGGGATATCACTTTTGGTCTGTTCGTTTGTCTTTCTCTCTGTCTGTCTGTCTATCTGTCATTTTGTCTGAGTGTGACACTTTAATTTTTTTAAACAAAATCTCAAAAGCCATTGAACTTTTGCAATGAAATTTAATATTACAACTCCCTATATATGGACTGTAGAAGATCCCTATTTATTTTGGCGTCAAATGTAGAAAGTCAAGGTCATATATTCTGTCATGTGTAACACTTTTGTTTCGGGGCAAAATCTTAAAAAGCCTTTAAACTGTTTTCTCACAAATCGTCATTCATTAAAATGCCGCCTGTATCATTTGTACACACAGGCACGTCTCGCATTTTGTATAATTATTTCCTGCTTCCTCCAGCATTATTTTTAGAGTTTATTCTGGAGTTTCCAGAGTACAATTCAAAATCTTGTTGTTAACTGCTGCTCCCTGATATTCTACGACGCCATTTTTTTTTTTTTTTTTTTTTTTTTTTTTTTTTACCTTTTTCAATGACGACTATAGATCTATCATATGAAATTGATTTCTTTTCAATGAAGCAAAATATTGTCAGAATTTGGAATATGAAATTATGCAACAATGCCGCCTGTATCATTTGTACACACAGGCACGTCTCGCATTTTGTATAATTATTTCCTGCTTCCTCCAGCATTATTTTTAGAGTTTATTCTGGAGTTTCCAGAGTACAATTCAAAATCTTGTTGTTAACTGCTGCTCCCTGATATTCTACGACGCCATCCTTTTTTTTTTTACCTTTTTTCAATGACGACTATAGATCTATCATATGAAATTGATTTCTTTTCAATGAAGCAAAATATTGTCAGAATTTGGAATATGAAATTATGCAACAATTTTAATGTCTATTTTTCATTTGCTTTTGTGCCATTTTACAGAGAATATGACTACATAAATTATTTAGTGTATTGTTTGTAAATTCCTAAATTTGACTTGCTCCGCGATCCGAATTTCGCAGTTTTTTTTTTAACTCTGAATAAGTCTTATTAAGATATTTTTCTTATTTCAATACACATCATTGGGATTTAATGTTAAAACATTTCTACCAAATCTGTGTATAATTTGACGTTAAGTAAAAAAGTTATGACAGAAGTCCGCGAACTTTCTGAACAACTCTAGTTCTTTAATGAATTATAGAACAAGTTTCATATGTCGATTGAACCATTTTCACCCTTAGCTTTTGAATTTTCTAATTATTTGCTGTTGACTTCTTGACTTTTTAATACTGCGTTGTCGCCCGCGTGGCGCAGTGGTTAGAGGTTTGCTCGGTGTAAGGAGTTGATCCTTACATCGCAGGTTCGAATCCCACTGCGGGACGTGGAGACCGGTCCTTCCGATGAGACCGTATAAACCGAGGTCCCGTGTCGCAGTAGATGCTGGTACGAAAAAGATCCCTCACTGCTCAGTGGCCCTGAGTGCCGAATATAGGTCAAAATTCGCAGCCTTCCAGCGGCATGGTGGCGTCTCCATATTAGTGAAAAATTCTCGAGAGGGACGTTAAACAACATACAAACAAACAGCAAAAAATAAAATAAAACTGCGTTTGGTTTCACGCAGCTAAGTAAGTTGTGTATCGACAAATGTTTAAAGAAAACAAAATTAGCAATATATTTTTTGTGAAATCTTTTCTGAATGATTTTAATTTCTTCATTTAGAAAAATATTAGATTGAACATTTAAGAAAACCAAAAGAGGAGTTTCCATGGAAATTTTTGTGATTATTATTTCTGCAGTTAGAGATGTAATAAATATATTCAATCTCCAAATAAGGGGGCCTATCTAAAACTGTGTTTCAGTGTTAATCCCCACAGTATTAGAAAATGATGATACAGTCCAAATCATCGTACAGCGCTCATAAACTTGTAAATTGTATTTTGATGCATTTAAATATTCAGAAGTTTCTGATCAGACTTAAGCTCTTTTAATTTGAACTTATAACATTGTATAAGAAAAGTTGCACTTGAACATACAACTTTTCTGTTTTGAGATGAACATTTGCAGAATTACGTATTCTGGTGTTCTTCAGACTTGTAACAATACTAAGTCAGTCCTTAACAGTGGGGGTAGCATTTTGAAAGACTTTTACAAATTACAGATGTATTCTACTTTCAGTAGCCATGTTAATACTCTATCACAACGTAATAATTGAAATTATGCATCTTGATATATTCTACTTGTGTGACAAGTTTTATTAAAATTAGATCAGAACTGTAAAGGGAATATTAGTAGCAATTCAAAAATTATTTATGGAGAAACAGATGGACGGACAACGGATACTTATTTTAGGTATAATTTCTATGTAGTTAAAAGTTTTAAAAAAGTAGTCAAAAAGTTTTTTTTTTTTAAATTGACCGCTAGTAACAAACATATGATTTTTTCCACTTTAGAACTCAGAATTTTTAGATGTCCACTGTTATTTTAGAGTTTTGTATAACATCAAGTTGCTATTCTTTTCTACATGTATAAACAAATATTTTTTAACAGATTGTGACATATGATTTAAAGTACCTTATGAAAGTGGACATAAAGCAAAGGGATGCCTCTTGACCTTGCACAAATCTTTAAATTCTTTCACTTCTCATGTAAGATAATAAGATGTAATGCTCTACTGTTGTTAGAATCAATGACTTTTAGAATAATCTTACCCATAGTACTGACATGTACCATCTACGGATTTATTTCACAAACTGTAAAAATAAATCTTGAAATTTAACGTAACTGATATCTGTTCAAATTATTGTTACCTGAATATGCATATACATGTTATAGGTTCCATGCTGAAAGTAAACAAGATCGAAATAGGACAAAAATTATGTGTCTGTATTTTACCTCCGATGGAGAATCGATAAAAGGATTTCACTCTAATGATTAACATATTAAGGCTTTTCTGGACGTTATGGATGGAACAAGGCATCGAAAGCAACATTAGATTTCTATTTTCTAAACATTTTTATACGTATACATTTGAGGGCTAATTGATTTCTTGATACTGACCGAAGAAAGACTGTGTCAGTTTATACACATTATTATCCGAAGTGTATCCATTTATCCTATAAATAGGAAGTTTTTGCTTAAAGTTGGCATTTGAACACTGTCTTATGTCAAGTTAAAAAATACACAAATATATGTGTATGCATTTTTTATCACAGAAAATTAAAGCAAATTAATCATTTCATTAAAGCTTTACACGCTATAATTTGCGTCAGTTAAAAAAAAGTTGGAAATTTATTTATTTTGTTTATCAAATAAAGTAAAGAAAATTCTCTAAATTACACAGTTGAAATCCAACGCGTTATAAAGATGCCAAATTATTATTATTTATTTTCCTACTAGGATAGTACTGCCTCTATTTGAATTAATGTGGCACGTGACACCATTGCCACGATTGATAAACAAAAAGTAGCTTCGAGAAAACGAGGTAGGCTGTAAAAAAATATCAGAGGTTGGATCTGGTACCATGGAGGAGTAAGCATCCCCTGTCGATCGGTCACACCAGACTTGTGCTCCTTGTCATGATCGGGTGAACGGAAAAATCCGTACGTAATTCAATGTGAAAATAATGGCCTACAATTGTATGAAAAACTTCAGTCAACATTTGACTTGATGATAAATTGTATTTGCTTACAAGGTCGTTGTATCGACCGTAGAATTGCAAAATGTTGACTTTAAACGAGACTGTTTATATCCTCATTTCATCAACTTATTTGTCAATACATGTAGCTTACCTCGTTTTTGAAATTGTGCGTACATAGAGCATGCTCTTGCGTATTGAATTAACTGGAAGATATTTAACTTGATTAACAATAATCATATATTTGATAAAGTATACATGTATATAATGTTTTTTTTATTATTACAGAAAAGTCCTCCGTCAACTGATGTCGCATACAATTCTTCATCAACTGATGTCACAGAAAGGCTTTCATCAGCTGACGTTACAAACAGTCCTAATACCCCAAAACAGAACGACGTTGATGAAAAAGTGATAAAATCTCTCCGGCGAGTTGACACTCAGATAAGTGATGAGGTGAAAGATCCCCATCAAACAAAACATATAGGTCTATCTCCACTAAACAAAAGATAAACAGAATGAAATCATGAAAATAAACATTCCAAAAACTGTAATTCTTCTCAGCCCATCTTAAAAAATAAGTGGAATGGTAGGAACTTTGTTTTTGCGTGAAATAACGTTTTATACCCGAGGCGTGTTCAACAACACTCACAACTGCTCGTCAAATTCGTCAAATGGTGTTTATAATAATTATTACTAGAACTTTCATTTAAATTCATTTAAATTATAAGCAAGATGAAGTGGGGACAAAACTTGGTTATGTCACTTTATTTTGGAAGACATAATCATTCAAACATAAAAAATTACTTTGATGATTATCATCTCACGGTAAAAAAAAAAAAAGAAGAGTTAAATCCTTAATTAGATCTATAAAATCTGTAAATCTTTTTAAATCGTTGTTACTATAGAATGTTGCAATCTGAGAACTGGGAAATCTTTTACTGATAAGATCTTGCTATATTTCTCACTGAATCATATGAGAACTCGTTAAAGTGTCAACATTTAATACACCTACAGCTGGACACGAAGCCTACATCTGAAATCTTTGTGAGACACCAATGGGAGGATACAATTCAGGGAGACGGACTTGGAGGATTTCTTTGTTCAACTACCCTGAAAGACGGGACAAATCTTCATGCATTTTGTTCCCTAGACGCTAATGGTATTCTAGCAAAATCTCTTCATGTGAAGTACGTCTTCGATTACTAACCATATTCCTTATCCTTATTAACCATATTTGTTTTAATGCTTTTAATGATAATTGATTTTCTTGTATACGTATTATTTTATTTCAGTATCTCATGAGTAGGTCATAATGTAGTCTTTTGATTTATATGAAGGGTAGTTAAAAAACATTCATGAGCATTAATGAACGAGAAAATCCCTTGACTGGACGAAGGCCAGAGCATATGTATTGAACATGTAAAAAGACTTCATGTTTGGGAAAAATTATTACAAACTAAAAAAGATTTTTAAAAAGTTCTTAGTACCGTAAAATAAATATGTAAAAGTAAGATTATAAATTCTTTATTTTTATGGGTTTTTTTATCTTTTATAGAGAAAAAGACATTCTTGTAAGTCTAAATTCTGCACAACTTTTGGATCCCCCATCTATTAGTACAGAGGATGTTCTGGAACTATTTAGGACATTGCCAATAGGAGAACCAATCAATATGGTATCATTTTTAAATTTTAGAATGAAATAGAGCATAAAATGATACAAATGATACAAATTATTTTTTTTTTCTTTTCACAAACTTGCTGAAAGTAATGCGAAAGATTGCATAAACGTCAAGGTAAATAAAACTTGAAATGAAAAATCTTTGAATTCTTACATTAGGTCGTATTTTGACTATTTCAATAGGCCAATTGTTAGGCCTTTGTTTTTATACTAAATTTTACTACGGATTATTTCGTATAACTGAACAAAAGATAGGGCTCATGGTGGGTGTGACTATTTGACAGGGGATGCCTTCTCCTGATTTTACCTCTGGGATTTCCAGGGGTTCCTTGTTTTATGTCCTGTTCATATAATTGTATTGTTTGTAGTTTTTTTATCGATCACCGTTCGTTTTCTTCACCTATTTCATAAGAGGTATCACAGCGGTATTTTATTTACCATAGATGATGCAAAACGATACTTTATCAGCGAAACATATACAGTTTTCAAAGTAGATGGTTCCCTATAGCTGGTCAAAAATCAGAAAATCAGCACAACATATAATAACATTCTTCATTTATTTCTTCAGGTAATCTATAGCAGGAAAACAAAACTCTTTACATTTATTGATTTTCAACTGGAAGCCATCAAAAAAGGTAAGTTAAAACACACTTTTTTCCAGGGAAATTTACCGAAACATTTGTTCAAACTCAAACTCTCAAAAAAGTGGAAAAAAGGACATTCAAACATCTACTTCTATACTAATTTCTTTCCTATGAAATATATGGAGATAACGAACAGTATTCAAGCTCAAAAGTCCATTATACAATACAAAATAGGAGCAGAGCAAACAAGGACCTCCAAACATCAGAGGTGGGATCAGGTGCCATGGAGGAGTGAGCATCCCCTGCCGACCCGTCACACCCGCCGTGTGCTCCTTGTCATGATCGGGAAATAACGGAAAAATCCGTGGACAATTCAGTGTGTAAATAATGGCCTAACAATTAGTATGAAAAACGTCAGTCAGCATTTGACTCAATGATAAATTGTATTTGCTGACAAGGTCATTGTATCGACCATAGAACTTACGAAATGATGACTTTAAACGAGACAGCTGATATTCTTGTTTCATCAACTTATTTGTCAATAATTTACCTCGTTTTGAAATTGTACATACGTAGAGCATGCTCTTGCGTATCGAATCAACTGAGAGATATAAACCCCGTATGCAGGTGATGAAGGTATATTGCTGCATAAGTAAGGGAAGTTGACGATTGAAAAGTTAAAGTCATCACGTTTATCATAAAGCTTGGTTGTTAGATTACCATTAACGTCTTTTTCAAGTAAAATATCCAAATATGAAACAGATGTGTCAGACTCTGTGGTATCTTTTTTGAATTTCAGGGAAAATTCAATGTGTTAAATTATTTCAACTATTAAATTAACGAATGTACTTTAAAAATAAACGAAATGGAAATTACCTTTAAAAACATAATATTTTTTAGACGAAGTAGCAGAAGATAGTAAGTATAAAATGTCTTTTTTAGATTTAGATTGAAATTAAAGAACACATGTATCAAACATTTTCACCCTTCATGTGACACACAATTTCATGTCCTTTTGATTTTGAATTTTGTGTTGTGTTTTCATTTAACAATAAAAACGCATAAAGAATTACTACTTTTCCTCTTTAATATCATGTGATGCATGGTAAAAATATTTAAAATTACGGATCATATCATGCAAATTATCAACAGATTGTCGGAATTTTGATGCAAGAAATAGATAATGAAATATAAACTAATAAATTTGTATGAACATCTAGATGTAATTATTAACACGAACGGTATCATATAGTGAGACTTCCCCCATTGAGACACCCCCCCCCCCACACACACACACAGAGAGAGAGAACTGGATATATACCGAGTCTTCTGCATAGGGGAGAAGAATGACAATATATATAGCCCGGGGAAGTTTCACTATGTAGTCAGTCTTCCAGGGGAAGTTTCAAAATATAGCCAAGCTTTCGAGGGAAAGACTCACTATATAGCCAGTCTTTCGGGGGAAGTCTCATTATGGGAAAGTCTTGCTATAAAACACCGGTTCTTTTCTGCTATTGTTTGTACACTGTTTTTTTTTATATATATTTTAGTTATGCTGAAGACAGCGTATGTGAAGTTGACGTCATCAGGACATTTTCCCCCTACTGTTAAAGCTCTGCGGATACCAAACCAACCGAAGTTTCTGGTGTTTGACGAAGGACGTCTCCAATGCAGTCAAATAAATGACTTTTTAAGAGACTGTAGATGTAAGACCGTTTGTAATTAAAAATTCAATACATGATATATAAGAATTTTTGTATCACTTAAGGTTTAGCCAAAGGCCAAGATGTCCAAAAATTTATTTTTACAATAGCTCCAAAACTATGTGAGGTATAACGTTAAAACTTTTACAGTTTATAAATATATCATTGATTAACAGATAGAAAGTATCACTTGAAAACAAATATTTAAAAAAAAAATTGAGAAAAAAAAAATCAAAACATTTGCATATTTTAAAAAAAATGCACCTCCTTAATTCTGTACTTTGAGTGAAAACCATCATTGCAGAAATAATATATGTTTATCAATGAAGGGCAAGTTGGACGTGAATGGTCTCTGAAAGGCTGTCATTGAAAGCATGACATGTATAAAGACAAGACCCCTATAAAATCCGCCATTTGCAATGTACTTTCGGTTTCAAATCTTAACATTTGGACAAAATAAACAGGGAAAACAACTTTTCAGAGGCTATCGAAGTCCAACTTGCCCTTTATTGATAAACATATATTGTTTCTGCAATGATGGCTTTCACTAAAAGTACGGAATTAATTAGGTGTATTTTTTAAAAATATATGCATTTTTTTATAAAGAATTTTTCTCGATAAATATTTTTTAGAAGTTTTTGTAATCAAGTGATACTTTCTATCTGTTCATCAATGATATATTTATTTACTGTAAAAGTTTTAACTTTATAAATCACATAGTTTTGGAGCTATTGTAAAAATAAATTTTTGGACATGTTGACCTTTGGTAAAACCTTAAGGATTTGTCTATATAAGAGATGTCTTGTGTAAACATTGTGGAATACGAAGATAACGAACGGTAATTAAGTTCAAAAGTCCATTGGAAGCATACAAATCGAGAGCATAGTAAACACGAACCATTAAAACATCAGGGATGGAACCAGGTGCCAAATAGGATTAAACATCCTCTTCTACCGCCACACCGCCATTTGCTCCTTGTCGTGATTGGGCAAACGGAAAATTCCATAGACAATTTAGTGTGTAAATAATGGCCTAACAATTTACATGTATTTTAAAAAACGTCAGTCGACATTCGACCTATAATTTATTATAGATTGTATTTGCTAACAAGGTCATTGTATCGATCATAGAATTTGAGAAATGTTGACTTGAAAGAGACTGTTGATATCCTTGTTTCATCAACTTATTTGTCAATAGCTTGCCTCGTTTTAGAATTTATATGTACGAAGAAGATGCTTTTGTTCATCGAATCAACTTGGGAGACAAACTTCATATGTAGGTGATAATGGTATATCTATACTTATACATTAATAAAGTTTGCAAATAAACTCCGAAACGGGTGCACCAGAGTTCTTACTTACTCTTCTAACAATACACTAGATACAAGATGATGTCCGTAAACTATATTTAGATTTCACTCGCATAGTAAGTATCGTACATTAAATTAAAAGTCTACTTTCATTTTCTCTAAACAGCCATGAAATAGCTAGAACGTGAGTACGGTGGCGTTTCCGGTTGGCGGATCTAAGTTACTGGCAATTTTTAATGAAACTGACAACAAGCAATCGTTTATTTATTACATAAAACGTCATCACTGAATTATTCAATCAAAACTCGATTTAAATGATATAAAAGAAATAAGTTCTGATAACCGATTAAAAAGGGAAATGTGCAAAATATTTTCGTCATTCACCGATCTTTATATTGACGGAAGCTTCTAGAACATCATATAGCATCGAGCCCGATGTTAAGAAAAAACGAGGCGATTATAGCTACATGACCATAAAAAAAGCTTTTGTGTAAATGGTCATAATTGAAATAATGGTAAATCACTGATAACACTATAAATTGTGATTATAATTATATATATATCGAAAGACTATTACATATACATGTATGTAGTAGATTTTCCTAATAAATTTATCGGTAAAATTTGTATAACGTTATATTCCTTACTTAGAGCATCGTGGCAACGAACCCGAAGTACAATTTGTACTTCGTAATAAACTTGCTTACATGAAAAGAGAAAATTAATGAATAAGGTATTGATCAAATACAATTAAAGATGTAAAATTTTGCGCTTTAATCAATGCACAGTTAATTTCTGAATACAATCTTTCATAGCTGCAATAATGTAGCCCTCTCCTTTTTTGAAGGGGGGGGGGGCAGAGAGAGAGGCCAGAAAATATCAGATGAAAAAAAAAAACGGAGAGGGCTACATTATTGCAGCTTAGTCTTTTGTATCAAATACTCAGCCTATTCATAGGGCGTTAAAAGCTGATTTTTACACAGGTACTTGGTTCTTGGTTTATAAATATGTATGTACCTTATTGATACGTAAAAAAGTAAAGTACATTTTTACATATCAATAAGGTACAAACATATTCATAAACCAAGACCCAAGTACCTGTGAATTTTTAACCCCCCTCCCCCAATCAATTTATTAGTAAAATGTGCATATTCGTTGCTTTTATCCTTGACGGAAATGAAATAAGAGCATCTGGAGTACAATATCCATAACATAGTATAACAGGTCTCACAATAAACGTCAATTGATGAAATTGCTATTTTTCAAGTTTAAAAAAACAAAACAAAAAAAAACAAAAAAGAAAAAAAAGTAAATAAATAAATAAAACAAACACAAAAACGGGGGGGGGGGGTGGATAGGTACATTTCTAAATCTACTTCATGCGGGATTTTGAACAAAGTATTTGTTCCTGCTATAAGCCTGTAGGCTGTCAGTAGAGAACTACAATATATTTTCTGTCGATAGTAGTATAAATTCAATTCCCGCGCTTGCGCGGGATTTCATCTAGTTGCTTCATAAATAAGGGCAGATGACGATAGAAAAGACGTCACGTTTATCATGAAGTGTTGTGTTGTTAGTTTGCCATTTATGTCTTTCTCTAGTAAAATATCCAAATATGAAATAGGTGTGTCAGATCTTTGGTGTCTTCTATTTCTAGGTCAAAGTGATATATTGATACATAGGAATGAAAATGAATATTGTTAATTGATAAAACTTCGTTGACGTATCTAAATGTCGAAATGAAGGCCAGAGCAAGAATTCCTCTTTTCATGTAGCAGTTTTAAAATAAATTCTGCTTCATATGCATACAAAAATCAAGCATAAAAGAGCATTACTTTGTCGTAAACAACAGCACACTAGTGACATCTCTAACATTTGCAAAATAATATGCAATGTGATCAAACGTGTAAATTAGTATAACTGAATTTTCAATCAATATTCTTGTATGCAAAACTTATTTTTAATTTTTAATTCGATTTTCAAACATAAGGCTTATTATTTTTTTAATATTGTTTTTCATGCGTATATATGATTAGGTCATTTCATCGTAAAGAAGTCCCTAAATGAAGACACCTGGCGTTTTGAATACAGATACCAAGTACAAAAAGATACATCAAAATATCTCGGCATAAAAGGAAATACACTGGACCTGATGGTAAACATCATTCATTAAATATTAATCGATAACAGATACATGTAATAGAAATTATCTCATATTTAAATACTCTTACACTTTTGACTTAATATTAAATTATGAAGATTACATTATTTGTTCCTATGAAAAAAAATATTAAACGATAACAAAGTAGTACATGTAAATTCATTGCAAACGTTACTTTGAAAGTATCTACTAATAATCATTAAATCATTTTCATTTCTTTGCAAACGGAAAGAGGATTTTTCTTCTATGTTACTTTAATACACGTTTTTTTACATTCATTGTGATGTAACAAAACACTGTTGGATTTATTAAAGGACGAATCAGACAAAGAATTAACACTGTTTCAACAGGAGGAAAGAAACGGCCTCGTCCTATTAAAACTTTCTAGGCGAAACGGTAGGAAAACACATTGGTTCTGATTTTATATATATATTACTGGTTTTCCTTATATGACTTTAGTCGCCCGCGTGGCGCTGTGGTTAGAGCGTCTGCTCTAGAGTCGCGAAGTAAGGAGTTGATCCTTACGTCGCGGGTTCAAATCCCACTGTGGGACGTGAAGACCGGTCCTTCGGATGAGACCGTATAAACCGAGGTCCCGTGTCGCAGTAGGTGCTGGCACGAAGAAGATCCCTCACTGCTCAATGGCCGTAAGTGCCGAGTATAGGACAAAATTTGTAGCTCTCCACCGGCAAGTGGTGGCGTCTCCATATGAGTGAAAAATTCTCGAGAGGGACGTTAAACAACATACAAACAATTATATGATTTTATAAATATGTATTGCACATGCATTGCAACGCAAACCATACATGTAGTGAAATGCCTGTAATCGTATTTTTTAAAAATGTGTAAAGATGCCAAATTGTTGTTCAGATACACAATTTTTTTTTATCTTATTTTATTTTTTTTAACTATTTTTTATTTTATTTTATTTCATTTTATTTTATGAGATAAACGTCAATGTCTTGAAATTTAAATAATGTGTATTTACATAGCAATTCATATAAGATTACACAGCGAATGGGGAATGGGATTTCAAATGCATGGAGGACCTTATATGAATTGCTATCTAAAATTGCTATCAAATTTAAGAAAATCTTTTTCAGATATGACAGTTAGTTTTAATGAAGATCGTGGTGTCTATGAAGTTCGCCCTCATTGCTTTGATCTCAAACCAGAACACGGAATAAATATGGTGCGCACAAACTGTCCAGTGTAGAAATTCATCCAGCTGTTAATCGATGATATTTGTAAACTTCCGAAAAACAAGATATCACAATTGTATTGTATTGAAGTAACTCTAGAAATTATAAATTATTTTTGATGTGCTTTTTGAATTAAAGCTGCACAATTTGTAGTTGTTAATTTGTCTTCGTCGTCTATAGTCAGTAAAATGTCTAAATAAAACATATGTGGCAGACTCTGGGGTGTCTTTTATTTCAAGTTCACTGGGATATATCGAGTCGACATACGAATAAAAATAAGTATAGTTAATTGATAAAACATCGTCGATATATCTGAATGTCTAATTGAAGTGTTTTCCTCTTCTCACGTAGAAGTTTTGGAGTAAATTCTGCTTCATAGGAATATAAAAGCAGGTCAGCTAACAAAGGAGCACAATTAGTGCCCAACGGAATTCCAACAGTTTGTTGTAAGACTTGGTCTCCGAAAACTACATAAACGTTGTTAATGAAGCACTTCAGCATCCTTTTAATATCAACTTCAGAGTACTTGTGTGTACAACAAGAGTGGTTTTTAACGAAGTACTTTTGCTGATAACCAATCACAAGGTGTGAAAAATTCCGAGTTCCGTTTTTATTTAAAAAGCAGTTGTCTAGGATATCAAAAGCCTATTTTTTAATTTATCCTGAGGAATTGTTGTATAAAGTGTAGAAAAGTCCACGTTTTGATGTTATTGACTTGAAAAATTTGGCGATTTTAAAGTTTCTAAAAGTTCTTTCGAGTTTTTGAGGATCCACATATTTGATTTACACCACTTCTAGAATAAGCTGTAGCACAGTAGTCTGAAGTTTCTCCTTTACAGTAGTTAATATTTTTGTAAGGAGTAATGAGTCCATTCAAAAGCGTGTGTTATCATGCGCTTATTAGACTCCTACCGAAAAAGCCTTGGAAACCATCCTAGAAAGTCAATCTGATAGACTCAAAAATCTGCTTGAAATTTTTCAACGAGATGTAAGTCCATCCCATCGACTCCACTGCCTTCTTCCTAATGCTCGGGGATATTTGAGAATTTGAGAAACTCCTAAAATAAATCTTGTCGCCAGCGTGGCGCAGTGGTTAGAGCGTTCGCTCTAGAGTCGCGAAGTAAGGAGTTGATCCTTACGTCGCGGGTTCAAATCCCACTGTAGGAGATCGGTCCTTCGGATGAGACCGTAGAAACCGAGGTCCCGTGTCGCAGTTGGTGCTGGCACGAAAAAGATCCCTCACTGCTCAATTGCCCTGAGTGCCGAGCATAGGTCAAAATTTGTAGCTCTCCACCGGCAGGTGGTGGCGTCTCCATATGAGTGAAAAATTCTCGAGAGGGACGTTAAACAATAAACAAAGAAACAAATATAAATCTTACCAAAATTCAAAACATAATTGGTTTACTAAACCATACAAAAACACACAAGTAATTTAGAAGCTAGTCAGTGGACTGAACACCCTTTATTTTTTTTTTATATCAACTTTGATTAAAATTGTTTGTACATTATGTATATTCATTTCAATTTATTTATATCTCCTAATATTTTTATTACATTTTATTGCTTTAAAAAATCGTTTGTACTGCGTTTGTACATTATCACTTTTATATGTTGCTTATACACGTATTCTTAAGTTTTTTATGTCTAAATCGATCATTGTACTTCCAACTTTTAAGGTTGTCAACGAATAAATATCTGTCTATCATGTTCTTTACAATTGTAATTCATGTTTTTCTAGCTACATAATTTTAGATTATTTTATGATAAGAATTATTCGAGTCCAGTGAAAATTAAAATGTACAGAAATGAAAATTTTAGTCTTTTTTTCAAAAACATAGTGCAGAGCCAAGATTCAATAGCTTATCATTACTCACTTGTAATAAAAGACATTCTAATAGCTTAAAAATAAATAAGAAAGTTTATTAATTTATCATTTCACAGATAGAAAGCGCAAATACATATATTTATTGTCATAAAAACACATTTACATTAAAGAAGCAAAATTAATTCACATAGACAAAAATGATTGTGTTGTATTTGTGTAATTACAGTACATTTGTTTATTATTTTATTTAGATATTTGATTAAATAAAAGATGTCCTTGATGAGACTGTAGCTCCACTGGTTTGTTTTTATAATCTTGGAGGAGAAAAGGTTACATCAGCTGGTCTATCGAAACATTTTAAATTCTAAATTTACTGATCCTGATGTTTCCTTAACTTTTATAAACTTTATTGAAATCAAATCAAAATTGTATATGTGTGTATCTTTTAGAACAGTTTTCATAATTATTCTTTTTTCTTAGCCATCTTAACATGTTTTTGCAGACATTCACCATAAGGGAGAAGAATTTCTTTAAACATAAGGAACTGCAAACTATTTTTTTTAAATCAATCCTTACATTACCCTTAAAAATCAATTAATTGTTTAATATATCACATTTAAAAAGTGAAGATGACGAATTGAAGAGTGATCAATTTCATAAACCTAGTAAACAATTTGTTAGTGGCCTGCCTTGTTTTGAAAATTGATCGTACTCAGGGCATGCTCTTGCGTATCGAATACGATGGGAGATGTTAACACCATAAACAGGTGATAGCAGAATATTACTACACAAATCAGGAAAGTTGACGATGGAAAATCTGGTCATTTCGTGTGTCTTATAGTTTAGTTTTTAGTTCACCTTTATCGTCAGTAAAACATCCAAATATGAAAGAAATGTGGCAGACTCTGTAACGGCTTTAATTTCGAGTTCACTGGGATGTATCGAGTCGACATAGGAATGAAAGTAACAACTATTTGTTAATTGACAATTGTCGTCGATATATGTACATGTAAATGTCGAGTTGTAGGGCACAGCAAGAGCATTCTTTTCAAGTAGAAGTTTTTTTAAATAAATTCCACTTCATAGGAATATACAAACAGGTCGGCTAATAAAGAGGCACAATTAGTGCCCATCGAAATTCTAACAGCTTTTGGTGGAAGGCCTGGCCTCCTAAGACTATGTATATATAGTGTCAAGGAGGAATTCCAGCACTACAAAGTACTTGATTGTAGAATCAGAATGGTTTATAACAAAGTAATTTGTAGATGACCAATCACAAGATCTGAAAGTTCCATTTTTATTGAGGAAGCAGTTGTCAATGATCTTTAAAAAAAAACCCTGCTCTTTAATTTATGCATTGAGAAAGTACTAATGTTTAAAATCCACTAATGATTTAAAGTAGGTATTAGTGGTTGACGTTGCATTAATTAATGATATAACTATGTAATTTGTATCATTAGTTGACGTTGTAATTGTCGAATAATGGTGCATTTATATCATTAATAAATGTAAAGTCATTCACTATTTCTGTTAAATTGCATCATTCGTAAATTTAGTATTCTCAGTGGTTGCTACGGTGCAACAATTGCCTCATGTGGAATTCAAGCTTTTAAGAATGTTTTCTGCTGTCATAATCATGAATGGAGCTTGTCAGTCTAAGATATCTGATTAAATTTAAATCATTTGTTTGTGTTTTAAGAACAGTTTTTTTTCTGATACAGGATTTTCATTCAAATTAAATTCACATTTGATCTATCAAAGTATATTAGTTTAAACGTCTATTCATGGTATTTAAAAAGAAAAAAGAGATGAAAAAGCAAGTATCTTGGAAAATACAATGCATATTAGTTCATTAATTAAACGACAAATAAGCTCGTTGACACACCTTATACCAAATATACATCGGCCGATCCAGACTTCTTATTTATATGATGTTATTGATATATGTACAGAGAGTACTCTAAGATTTAGACAGTATTCTAGAATTCACAAATGCAAACAAGACAAAACTTATTATAAATATTTTAGAAGTTTTGTCTCGTTTATATTTGTGAATACTTGAATATTTTCATCAATTTTTAAATGACTGCATAATTATTTCATTAGATTTGATAAAACTATTGTCAGCTGTACTTGCAGATTTCTATTAATTTCTAATAGGATTATTTCAATGATTTGTTAAGGACAATATTGTCAAAGGCCAGAAAGAATCAACCTTTGTTTGCAGTTGTCAACAGGCGATAAGAAAGATTTTTATAGTTAAAAATAAAATCACTGCTCCTGATTCTGCTCTAGATTGAGAACTTTGAGTTCCCAAACAGGTTGTGGTTCCATTATTTTCAATGCCAGCACCTGTAAAAAAAACCTGAATGATAAAGGTCAGACAGTTACAATCCATTGAATATTCATTCATTTAATTTTCTTATATAAAAAAGGGGGTTTGTGCAGATATATTTCATCACATTTTATCCTCATATGAAAATGATGATAAGAATATTGAGTTCATATTTAATGTTTGCACCTTCTACAATTAATGAATATATTACAAGAACTTGATTTTTATTTATTGTGTGAAATGCTACGTTGAAAGTGAGAGTTTATGCATAGTTTCTATTGTTCAATTGAGATTTTCTCTAACATGAACATCGGTATAATTTAAACGCAGCTTCATTCAATGGACATGATGGAATGTACAAATATATCATAACAAATGATATTCACTATTCAGTACTTGAATACTGATTACCAAGAAGCCAATAGGGTTTTTTTGCAAATGTAAGAACGGTATACAACCTTTATATACATGCATTATTTTTTAAGTTACTATTTAGCCTGACCTGGTGCAAAATTTACAGAAGTAAAAGGAATACGTCATGTCCATGTTAATAGCAATTGTCTTATTCTTTCCTCAGGGAAATTCATTGAAAACTGTTTAATTTTTTCCAGAGGAAAAACGACAAAATACATTTTCAGGATTTTAGCTGAATCCACTTGAAAAACAAATATATTTTCTTCATATCTGATATAGCACTAGCCAATCCTAAAAAAAAAAACCAGGGTGAAATTTCATTTCTGTCCCAAGATTCTGAGGATGCATATTATGACCCGCTTTATTTCTTAATAAATAGCTCTTCATTTGCACTACATGTGTATATATTTTCAGTTTCGATCATCAAAATCTGCTAAAAAGAAATATCTATTAATAATGTAACAATATCGATTTCTTTCTATTTCACTTACAAGGACACACATTGCACATGGTAGGACAATCTTCCGGTACGTTTGTAAATAAGTCACAGTGACGAGGAAATACCTGCTTCCCACATACTAGAGGGTTGTCTGTGTGCTTCGTACAGTTCACTAAAATTGTAAAAAATAATAAAATTATCTTTAAATATCAGTTTTATAAAAGAATAATATCTCTATCTAAATATGACTGACATATGTCTTATACTCTTACACTGACAGGTGTCTCCGATGTAAGTACTAGACGCCATTTTGCACGTGCATGTGCAAGTGTTGGAGTCCAGTATTCCTCCATTTTCACAAACTTTGCCACTACAGTCTATAAAATATAAATGTTATCAATATAAATGTTGAAAATTTCAATATATATATATATATATATATATATATATATATATATATATATATATATATATATATATATATATATATATATATATATATATATATATATATTCCTCATTTAGTGTGTTTTTGATCATAATCTATAGTTCATGATTTGACAAAAGGTAAATAATAAGTAGGTCAATCGTCAAACTTCACGTTCACACTCGTCCGAAAATTGTCATATTTCAAAGAATTCAAGCATCCTTATATCTGTCAAAAAATATGATAAGTAGAGCTGTTGATTAATTAGATTTATTTATCCATTGTTGTCATTTTCTTTTAGCGTATATTCCAGGCTTACCGCATAAGTTCCCACTGCATTTGTTTCCACAATTGTTACAAGACGGACCTGATATATATGGATTGTTATAGTCCATGTTTCCGCTACAATTTTAAACATTATTTTGATATCAGTCTCTACAATTCAACATGCAATATGCAATGAATATCTAAATTTTGATCCAGTATTTTGAATTTACATTGGATTTTTTTGAGGTTGAAAAAAAAAACAAGAGAGGACATGTGAACAACAAATACCAATACGAGGAACAGTAAAAGCTATACCATAATACACGGCCCGTTATAAAGGGGCGTATAATTAGTCATTTATAGGGTAAACGGGGTATATAATTAGTCATTAATAGGCAGAAGGGATGTATAATTAGTCATTTATAAGGTAAACAGGGTATATAATTAGTCATTAATAGGCAGAAGGGATGTATCATTAGTCATTTATAGGTCAAAAGGGGTGTATAATCAGTCATAAATAGCGCAGAAGGGGTGTGTAATTAGTCATTAATAGGGTACCCACAGACCTTTATCTTATAATTATGTATATTAATTGGGATGACAGTCTCTTTCATTTCAATCCCATCTATAGAAGCTCTTCATACTTATTTTAGTTCTTAATGAGTATTTATTAGTACTATTTTTAGTATTTTATATAAAATGTAAAGAAACGAATAGTGATTATGCTCAAAAGTCCATTTAAACAAAACAAATTCTGAGCTGAGCCAACATAAAGCTCTTAAAACATGTTGAATCAGGTGTTATGGAAGAGTAAGAATTATCCCCTGTCGACTGATCATACCCGCCATCTTTCGAATTTTCTAATAAAATATCCAAATATGAAATAGATGTGCCATGCTCTGTAATGTCTAATTCGAATTCATTTCGCATTCAAAGGAATATATCAACGTAAAAATGAAAATGAATATTGCTTATTGACAAAACGCCGTCGATATATCTAAATGTCGAATTGAAGGCCACAGCAAGAGACTTCTTCTTTTCAAGTTTTTGAATAAAATCTGTTTCATATGAATACAAAAACAGGCTTGGTAATGACTGGGTACAATAGTACCAATGTGAATTCCGATCGTTTGAAGACTTAGTCTCCAAAAACCATATACTGTCAATGAGATACTCAAGCATCTTTCATCTCAACCTGGGAGTACTTTTGCAGATGACCAACATTTTAGTTTACTATCTCGCAACCACGCATGAAAGAAGAATTCTTCACCAATATTTCCTAATTGATTGATATTAAATAAAATTAAAACCATGATTTCTTCAATTTAAAACCAAACTGCTTCATTTAAGAAATGAGAGCAGTGCTTTACATTCTACTCATGTACACCTACGCTGGTCCGTAGTTGCATACATAATTTCTAGTTGTCCCACAGAGTGCAAAGCCACAGCCAATCAGGACTGAGTTTGCGGATACAACCTGGAATAGAAATAAGATATCAGCATAAAAAACACTGTCTATATATGTTTCAAAGAATGTGTCGAAATATATTTTCTTCAAATACATACTGTGAACAAATTAAACAGCAGACATTAAATCAAGCAGTATCGTGCAATGACTCGGGAATTGCTACAGTATCTGTATAGTATACATAAAAGCTTAACTTTTCTCATTGTGTAATTTACACAAAAGCTTAATTTTTCTCATGTAATTTAACAAAACCTTAATTTTCCTCATTGTTTAATTAACACAAAAGCATGAATTTTCTAATTTTCCCTTTGAAATGCACGCACTTTATTAAAACCAGTATGTGTATTGTCTGGGTGGTGAAAAGGTTCACTTGGTCCATATTTTATTAATTGGAAATCTGGCCATGAAAAGTTTCGCTTAAGAACTACTTTTATTATTTTATGAATAATTGACATATCTGTCACGTCACAGCAGATATAACTATGCTTTGTTGAAAAGGATCATTTTGTGTTCTTATTCACGATTCCATTTAAATTGATGTAGACATCTTAAAATTTTTCAGACTAAATCATCTCTTTTTTGCAATTAGTTAAATTTGTTAATTAATAAGAATATCTGTTTGAACATTTCTTTAATTATAAAGATATTTAACAAGTTTGTCTGTCTTGCATGGAGCCATTATTTACACATTGAATTGTCTACGGATTTGTCCGTTTTTCCCGATCATGACAAGGAGCACAGGGCGGGTGTGACGGTCGGCAGGGGATGTTCACTCATCCATGGCACCTGATCCAACTTCTGATGTTTGAGAGGTCCGCGGTTGCTCTGCTCCTGATTTGTATTGTTTGAATAAACTTTTGAGCTTGAATACTGTTCTTATCTCTATATTTCATCAACTGTTAAAATCTTAATTTAATCTTTTATAAGTGAAATATGTGGAGATAACGAACAGTATTCGAGCTCAAAAGTCCATTAAACATTACAAAATAGGTGCAGAGCAAACATGGACCTCTAAGACATCAGAGGTGGGATCAGGAGCCATGAAGGAGTTAGAATCCCCTGCCGACCGGTCACACCCGCCGTGTGCTCCTTGTCATGATCGGGAAAAAACGGAAAAATCAGTGTGTTACCCCTGGTAATAATGGCCTAACAATTATTATGAAAAAGTCAGTCAGCATTTGACTTAGTGAAAGATTGTATTTGCTGACAAGGTCATTGTATATAAGTCTAAGTTAAAATTAAAAACTTTAACGTAACATCTGTTTGCAGGACATTTCGAAGAGTTCGAAGAGATTTCAATATAACTCAGGGGTCAAGAAAGTAATACAAATAATTAATTTTTTAGGAAGATGAGTAATAATTTGAACTGCTTGACTTTATTCCACTTTTTCCATCAGGATAGTTTACACTACAACACAACAGCGGTCAAGTCTTCTCGAATCGGTTTTTTTTTCTAATTGGGCAAAGGACCATTTTTTACATTGGATATATTTTTCACATGATATTTGTGCTTTGATTAAACCTTCTGCGTTCTTAAAGCAGTTACCTCGCAAAACGAATTCAAATACTTACCCGTACATTCTTTTAACTTATAGGAAGCAGTAGTTTTTCATGCATTAAAATTCAATTAAATAAACTATACACTGTAATTATAAGGTTTTTCTTTTGGAAAATTCATGATTTCTACTATCCATTATACGTCATGATCAGAAAAACATAGTAAAAGGCATAGTCAGAAAATTTGAATTTACTGGTAAGGGTGTTTATAACACCCCTAACAAAAATACTATACTTTACTATAGTTTACTATAGTATCAAAGTTTTTACTAATACAATCAAAGTACGAGTATTTTTACTATGGCTTTCAGATTGTTATATTTGTTTGTTCTTCAATACATACATGCACATTTTTATATTAAATGGAACTATTATTTGTATATTCACAAATTATTTCCAAATTTTACTTCACTATTATCAAATTTAAGAGGTTTTAAGCTTTGAAATCTCAAAAAAAGTTCCAGAGTAAAGTTTCAGAGTAAATCAAAGTATCAAAGTTTTTACTATACGAGGGGCATTTCAAAAGTTATGGCAACTGGTGTGCGGTAAATTAATGAGCGTCATTATCATAAATTAAATCATATCAATCCCTCAAAATAGTCTCCGTTGACCTGGACACACTTTTTCAGTCTTGAAATCCACGTGGAAAATGCTGCCCTATAGTCCTCTTTCGGTATACGCGTCATACACTGGAATACGGCACTTCCGACTGCACGATGACTTTCAAATCGCCGTCCTCGGACGGCTTCTTTGATAACGACATTCAACCAAAAATCGCATGGAGCTAGGTCAGGACTGTAGGGTGGATGTGGTAAAACGGCAATACCATTTTCCTTTAAATATTTGGTTACTACCTCTGATCTATGGGCAGGTGCGTTGTCATGGAGGAGCTTTATTCCTCTAGTACTGGTTGTTGGTCGGGTCGTTTTATAGTGCTCTACAACCTGAGACAAGACATTCTCTGCATAAAATTGACCAGTAACACTGCTGTGTTCTGGAACCGGAACTTGAGCAACAGGGCCTTTAGAATCAAAAAATAAAGCGTACATTACTCTCCGGACAGACCGGTTTTTGCGTGCAATTTGAGGCCTTGTATCATTTTCACCGATCCAAACTTTATTATTGAGCTTAGTTTCCGGTTCAAAAAAATATATCCATGTTTCATCACCAGTTACAATCTCATTTATTCGCCTTTGGTCACAATCTTCATAAATTGTTAGTAACTGTGAAGCCATTTCTACCCGGATGCGCTTTTGCTCTTGCGAGAGAAGATGCGGCACCCATCTAGCACAGACTTTCCTAAGCTTTAAGTTTTCCTTTAAAATACGAAAAACTGCTGACAAATTAATGTTAGTTAAGTCTGCTATTTCCTTAACTGTATATCTAGCATCATCAGCTATCGTATTTTGAACAGCGACGATTTCTTTTTCGCCATATGCACAAACTGGACGCCCCGAACGGGGGTCATCTTCAATTGATTTTCTACCCTCTTTAAATTGAACTACCCATCTTGCCATTGCTCGATATGAAAGAGCATGCTCTCTATATATTACATCTAAATCGGCTTTTATTTCTGTTGCCGTAAAGCCAAGCAATGAGCGAATTTTGCAATACGCTCTTTGCTCAACAAAAAAAATTGTTCTCTATATCAGTCATTTTTACTCCAAGTATACAGAGTATACCTAATTATGACGTCATTTTAGCAGGCCTATACGTCATTTTGAATGTAAAATGACGTCACTACTAATGCATATTTGCCTAAGCTTTACAGTGGTATCAGAGTCATTTTAATCCGTAACGTAGTTAAAATTTTATATACCAGTTGCCAGAACTTTTGAAATAGTAAATTTTTCGTAGGGATAGATCAGACAGACGGACGGACAAACAGACGATCAACATAATTTATTTAATCAGTTAATTGCACCTTCGTCTCGTGCCAAATAAAAGGTAATAAAATATTTCGAGTTTTCAAGACTTCAACAAAAATAGTAAATCAGTCTGAAGAAATCAGAATACCTGTGTATAATGTCCGACAGCAGTGAGAGAATTGGTTCCATTCAGTATGAAATTCTTAACTTCGTCATACCAGAGTTTCACCACAGCTTCCCATGTCAAGTCCATATCGGCTACTGCTAAATTTTGACCCAGAGAAAAACGACCTAAAATATATCCATATCGAATACGGCTTAATTCTGACCCGGGGAAAAATGACCTTAAATATGCCCCTATCAAATACTGCTTAATTCTGACACAGAGAAAAACGACCTCAAATATGCTTATATCGGCTACTGCTTAATTCTGACCCAGGGAAAAACGACCTAAACTATGCCCTTATCGGCTACTGCTAAATTCTGGCCAAGGGAAAAACGACCTAAAATATGCCCCTGTCGAATACTGCTTAATTCTGACAAAGAGAAAAACGACCTCAAATATGCCCATAACGACTATTACTAGATTCTGACCCGGAGAAAAACGACCTCAAATATGCCCACATCGGCTACTGCTTAATTCTGACCCAGGGAAAAACGACCTTAATATGCCTTTATTGACAACTGATAAATTCTTAAAAAGGAAAAAAATGACTTAAAAGATGTCCATATTATTCACTGATATTAAATTCTGATCAAGGAAAAAACGACCTCAAATATGCCCATTTCGGCTACTGCTTAATTCTGACCCAAAGAAAAACGATCTCAAATATGCCCATATCGAATACTGCTAATTCTGACGCAGAGAAAAACGGCCTCAAATATGCCCATATCGGCTACTGCTTAATTTTGACCCAAGGAAAAACGACCTAAAAATGCTCATTTTTGCTATTGCTAAATTCTGCCCCAAGGAAAAACGACCTCAATATGCCTTTATTGACAACTGATAAATTCTTAACAAGGAAAAAATGACTTAAAAGATGTCCATATTATTCACTGATAAATTCTAACCCCTTGAAAAACGACATGACATATGCTGACCTTAACTGCAAAAGAATATTTATAATGATCAAAATATCTTAGAGGACATTTTGGAATCATCTTGAAATATATGCAACTCAAACGGATTTATGAATTTTTAGTGAGAGATAAATAATCGAATTCCTTGTGATATGGACTTAAAGTTCAGAGAAAGTAGATATAAATTTAAAATTCCGAAATCCTCTTTCAACCTAAGTGCAATTGTTATGAAAGTTTTTTTTTCTTTCGATTTTATATATTAAGTTCAATTTTTTTTAAAAATGAAAAAGAATTAAGAATATTGTTGATTTAACAATATATGCAAAAAAAATCACGCCACACATATTTTCTCTGCATTTAAAAATATTTTTATCCACTTTGGCCTCCAAAACTACAAATTCAAGAGATGGCTTCTCTCTTATGTGCAATTTATCTCTGTTATTGAATTCAATATAATTTACGGATATTCATAAGAAAGGTTTTGGTGTGTTTTCGGATGAAATAAAAGCTCACCTTTCTGTCAATAATTACACATTGAATCAATAATCTATTCGAAGAGTGATTTTCTGAGTGCGTTCGAAGATTGGATACTAATTGAGTTCATGGCGTACAATGTCGTTAGATGCCAGGAGTTTTTTTTTTTCGATTTAGGAAGTTACAATGTATATTGAAGATGTTAATAGTGACATTTTCCTACATTTCATTAAACTTACAGTTACATCGCCAGGTCGCGATTGCTTTCTCAATTTTGCAGCATACATTTAAAAAAAAAAGTTATTTATCAGATTATGATGTAACATTCATGATATAATGAATATCACACTGTGAGGCCACGTATACTGACTGAAAAAGTGTATTTCTATAACCAAATGAAAAATAAATTCTGAAAAAAGTTAACCTTCACTACAAAGACCCCACTACAGCATTTCTTCGTCTATTCGCTCACCTGGAATTCCGCGCTGTCGTCCCCCATCGTGTACCAGCCCTTTACAAGCATCAGCATACCTCTGGGCTATCATCGCTATCTCAGCGTCCCAGTACTGGTATAACATATTTGATTATTTTCATGTACATCAAGATCGAAATCCGTGCTAATTTACATTTATTACTCTTTTCTAGCCCTGTGTTACTCAGTTTGTAAACAGTCTTCATATCGCAAACTTATAACAAACTTTTCATTTTAATAAAGAAATTGTTTACATGGAATTCTTAGGTCAAAATACATGTAAATACTTGACAACTGTCTGATTTTAACAAAGAAATTCTTTTTTTTAAAATAATATTACGTTTGTTGTATGATACTACATTCAAAATAAGCAGGAATTGAGATCAACTAAAAGAAAAAATACAAGAATACACATGGGTTTCCAATAATCCTACCCCAGAGGTGACGACGTACCATTTTTGCCATTTCCACAGCCGTCGGGCTAACTCCAGCACGATACACATTGTGTTTATCTACGATGGCTGTTTTATCTGGTCCAGACACACCTGATTTGAATTAAACATATAAGTAAAACGGTAACGATATAGGTAGGTAGGTATATAAATGATTTATTATAGTGACGTGCAATCCAATAACGAATATTTAATACAAATTAAATATTAAAACACCCGGTCCATCGGGCTATATCTCATTCAAGTTTTAGCATTTTTCTTAATTCATAATTCAAAAGTGAAAAATGAATTAGACAGACTACATGATCAGTATGTACTGGTCCCAGCTGACAAAGCAGGTAACAATATTGTCTTTGTTTGTAAGGCTCATTATTTTAATTGTATTTTAGAAGAACTGGGATTTAATTCTACAAGTGGAAATCCAACTTACACCCATAACTCCCTTTCTAAGGAGGAAATTCTTCAAAAAAATATGTCAGTTTTCAGTAGTTTTAATATTCCCAACAACCAAAATGAATCTGAAATACCATATTTATACTGGATTCCGAAACTTCATAAAAATCCTTACAGACAAATATACATAGCGGGTTCCAGTAAGTGTTCTACCAAGCCTCTTTCTTTACTCCTTAGAAAAATATCAACAATAGTGAAGGAGAAACTTTGGGAGTATTGTGCAACAATATATTCGAGAAGTGGTGTAAATCAGATGTGGATGCTTAAATATTCCAAGGAACTTTTGGAAAATTTGAAATCGAAAAATTTTACCAAAATCAATAACATAAAAACTTACGACTTTTCAACTCTGTATACAACCACTCCAGGCTTTTTGACATCATTGACAGCTGCTTTTTCAATAAAAATGGAACTCGTATATTTACTTACCTTGTCATTGGTCATTTGCAAAATTATTTTGTTAAAATACATTCTGATTGTACACACAAGTACTCTGAAGTTGACATTAAAAAGATGCTCGAGTTTCTGATTGACAATATCTATGTTATTTTTGCAGACAAGATCTTCCAACAATCTGTTGGAATTTCCATGGGTTTCAATTGCGCCCCGTTGTTAGCAGAATTATTTTTCTGTTCATGTGAAGCAGAATTTATTCAAAATCTTATACTTGAGAAAAAGAAATCTCTAGCTGTGTCCTTACACTCGACATTTATATATACCGACGATGTATTATCAATTAACAATAATTATTTCCATTCATATGTCGACACGATATATCCCAGTGAGCTTGAAATAAAAGATACCACAGAGTGAGACATCTGTTTCATATCTAGATATATTACTAGAAAAAGACGTTAATGGAAAACTAACAATCAAGCTTTATGATAAATCTGATGACTCTAACTTTTCAATCGTCAGCTACTTATACAGCAATACACCTTCATCACCTGCATATGGGGTGTATATCTCTCAGTTGATTCGATACATGCTCTACGTATGAACAATTTCTAAAACGAGGTAAGATATTGACAAACAAGAGGCCCAGGGGCCACATAGCTCACCTGAGCACTGTGGCTAGGAAAAAAGCAAAAATCAGTTTAGTATCGTAATGCTTAAACGCATAAGTGGTCCTGACCTACCCCTAAAAGGGAGGGGGTATGATTTGAACAAAATTGAATCTACACTAACTAAGGATGCTTACGTATTTTTTTTTTTACTGTGACTTTTTTCCTACAAGTTTAAACTTTCATTGTGGCCCCTACCTACCCCTGAGGGTCATGATTTGATCAAATTTGAATCTACACTATCTGAGAATGCTTCCATAAAAATATGACCAATCATGACTTTGCTGTTCTTGAGAAGACGATTTTTTTAAGATTTCTCCTGTATATTCCTTGGAAAAACTTTGATCGTCCATTGTGGCCCCTACCTACCCCGGGGGTCATGATTTGATCAAATTTGAATCTACAGCATGCGCACCTGAGAATGCTTCCATATAAATATGACCAATTCATAGCTTTGCTGTCCTTGAGAAGAAGATTTTTGAATATTTTCCCTATATATATATTCCTATGTAAAACTTCGATCGCCCACTGTGACCCCACCCTACCCCAGGGGTCATGATTTGAACAAACTTGAATCTACACTACCTGAGGATGCTTCCATATAAATATGACAAATCATGGTTTTTTTTTTGTTCTTGAGAAGAAGGTTTTTAAAGATGCTCCCTTTGTATTCCTATGTAAAACTTTGATCGCCCACTGTGGCCCCACCCTACCCCCGGGGGTCATGATTTGAACAAATTTGAATCTACACTACCTGAGGATACTTCAACATAAGTTTCATATTTTCTAACACAGTGGTTCTTGAGAAGAAGATTTTTGAAAGATGCCATAAATTTTTCATGAATTCGCAATTATCTCCCCTTGGAAGAAGGCGTGGCCCTTCATTTGAACAAACTTGAATCCCCTTCACCCAAGGATACTCTGTGCCAGAAAAGCTCACTTGAGCCTTTGCCTCAGGTGAGCTAACAAGTTGATGAAACAAGAATATCAACAATCTCGTTTAAAGTCATCATTTCGTAAGTTCTATGGTCGATACAATGAACTTGTCAGCAAATATAATCTATCATTAAGTCATATGCTGACTGACGTTTTTTCATACTTCTTGTTAGGCCATTATTTACACACTGAATTGTCGACGGATTTTTCCGTTTTTTCCCGATCATAACAAGGAGCACACGGCGGGTGTGACCGGTCGGCAGGGGATGCTCACTCCTCCATGGCACCTGATCCCACCTCTGGTTTTGGAGGTCCGTGTTTGCTCCGCTCCCGATTTGTATTGTTTTAATGGACTTTGAGATTGAATATTGTTCGTTATCTTCTATGTCACTGGTATTGTCAACCCACCTAGTTTCATTTGGTCCATAAGCCATATCCGTGATTCAATAGAGCATTATATATTGATAAACTCAAATCTATTCAATGATTTATACACAATTCAGGGGGGAAAATACTAACAGAAGTCTTCTAAATTTGTAAAATACTAGTTTTGTAAATATTTATGTGAATTTTGATCTTTAATCTATGAATGAGATAAAATTTAAACCTCATTTTAGCAAAAACTACCATAGTAAATTATAGTTTACAATAATTAAGGATAGTTTACTATAAAAATAAAGTTAACTATGGTAAATCAAAGCATTTTATCTATGAATTTCAACATTTATAGACAATAAAGGCAAATAGGTTCAGCATGATGAAAAGTTTCAAAGCAAATACGCATATCATTGATGGAAGCAAATGCATCCTCCAAAGATACATTCTTTTATACAAGTGGATTTTATAAAATTATTTGTGCAGTGCCTTTTAATTTGACAAAAATATCGTTTGTTCTAACTACCTTGTTTGCAATTGCAACCTAACGTAGATTCGTATTTTGATATTTTTCATACCAAATGTTAGGCCATTGGTTTTCTCAGTTTACCTGATCAATATGGGTGTGACTTGTCGACAGGGAATGCTTACTCCTTCAAGGCACCTGATCCTACCTTTGAAATTCTGAGGAGTCCGTACATTTGGTCTGTTCCATTCTTTAATGGATTTATGATATTGATGAGAAAGAACCAGTATATTGTTTAGCTCTATTGTTGATTTGCCTGAGTAAATACCTGATTTTGAGACTTCTGCTGCCCTTGATAAACAAGCAGAATGATTAGGAATGACTTGAAATTTTGCAGCACAGTTGACCTGGAAAAAAATTGCTTTCTGTGAAGTCTTCAATCCAAATGCATTTTAAATATGCTCGTCATTGTTACTTATTTTTATGAACAGTAGTTTCTCAAAACTCTTAATACGATCATGATAATGCAGTTTTTACTTGAATCATTATTTTTATCAAACTTAAAAATCACTTGTTCATTTTCATTACTTACTGATCTTTTACTTCGGTGATCAGCTCCAACAATGGACAAAAATCCTAAAGTAAACAAAATTTTCATTCTGTAAACGAATCTGGATATTATGAAAAGTTCGTATTTATTTTGAAAATACTGAATGTAACTTTAATTTTCGTGATGCTAGCTTCGTTATCTCTTTCCAATAATTGAGACCGAGTTAGCTCAGAAATATATATGTAATTAATCGATTGGGCAAGATGTTGGTAAGTCTTTAATTTTTAAGACATTTTCCGTTCCTCGGATTTTTTTTTTTTTTTTATTGAATTTTACAAATGAACTTTGAATACCATCATCATCTTCCAAATTCTTTTTCATCGCCCATTTTGAAATGTTTAACGAAAAGAAAATGTTTTCTTTATTCACCGTACAAGTACGGGCTAATAGCAGTGGTTTAGTATAATTATCTATTTGTAACTGTCGTGTTCATGCCTTACAAAGACAAGATAATAAATCAAATTCCAGTGTAACTGGGTATCTAATAAGCTTACTTGTCAGTTAAGAATTTTATATATTATAATATATAATCAAATTTTTCAATGCAATTTCTTTTTATTTTGACAGGTTAGTTGGCTTTTATTTATCATCAATATTTATCTGTTACCTATTATCCTAAAGGTCGACTATATACATATTAAATAAAGAAAAATGATGACATATTTAATTTATTTTTATTGCAAAGAACTTCGCCTGATCCTTAATCCAACATTTTAATCTATCAAATACATTGCTCTTTTCCTACAAGAAGAGTACGGATGTCATTTTTATTTGGTACTGTATTATTATAGTTTCATGGCCCGTAACTTTGCCTATATATTATTAAATGAAAGTGTTACTTGTCACAGGAATTTTTTTCCCCTCTCTAAGTTTTCATAATTCTGAAGTAACAAATTTAAAATTATAAAACCTCAAAATAATTGGAAAGAAGGAAGTCACGTGATTAAAATAATTCTGTCATCTACAGAATCAAGCATGAGCTTGAGTTTAATATTTTTTACGAATTTATGGGAAAATAGGTTTCGGATAACAAACACAAATGATTGTACAACATTTCTCTTCTGAAAAACAGCTTCACATATTTTCATACATCTCTATAATATATACCTAAGCAATATTTTACCAAAATACCTGTGTAACCTGTGTATTGTATGACTTCATGATGAAAATGTAGAAAATAATAAGAATTTCATTTTTTCTTTCATGCGTTACTTTTTTGCCTTAACTTGTATTATATTATCAAAAATAAGCAAAATTATGGACCATATTTTTCTCAAAACTTAAGATTTTCTGATCTGTTTCCAGGATTTCCAGAATTAATAATATCAGGTATATATCTACCAGAGGAAATAAATTTTCAAGTCGACATACAGACAGATGTTTGGACTTCGTTGAGTGCAAATTAAGCACGTAGTAGATGCTATAATTCAACATCGATTATTCAATGATATATTTTTAATCAAAGTTAGTAAGTTAATTTGCATATAGATGACACCAGTTTAAATCGAAATCAGAAAACAAGTGAAATAAGTGAACAAGGCAATTTTTGTGGTGAGTGCATCCACGGAAGAAAAAAAATCTCATTAAAATAGGTAATTAAATATTCATTCATCAAAATATGTTGTCAACTCAGCGAGATTCCAGCCAATAGAGGTTTATAATAATCAATCCCTATGTAAAAGCCAACCACCGACTCTTTTGTATTATAAAACCAACGAGAAAATTCTCAAAATTGGAATTAAAATTCATAATCTGATTAAGAAATTTTAATTTTACATATGACACGTGTTAATCAATCACAGGCTTTTCTTCAGCATAGGAATTTCGGTGTGAATGGATGTTTTTAAACTTTCTGTACTTGAAAATATTCCCCAGTTCATCTTTTTACGATGATTTGGAAATAAATCAAGTAGGAAACGTAAAGTGACCGCTACTGTGCATTTAGTATAACATTTCTGCACTCACCCCCCCCCCCCCCCTTATATTTTTACCTGAATGAAACATGGCACAAAATACGGTTATTCTATGTAAAATAGATACATTTTATTTGTAAAAAAAGAAAGGTTCCAAATTATCCTGTACATTTATTTACTATTTTTGCACTCATATATGGACACTTATTGTAGCCTTTTATTAGCTGATCTGTTTTCATATTCTTATGAAGCAGAATTTATTCAAAAATTTCTACATGGGAGTAGAAGTGAACTCTTGCTGTGGCCCTTGATTCGATGTTTAGATATATGTATATCAACGTTTTATAAATTTACAACAGTTATTTTAATTCATAAAGTTGACTCGAACTGGAAAATCTGTTTCATATGTGGATGTCTTACGAAATAAAGACGTTTAAATACCCAACTAAAAACTAAATTAAAACTTTATGATAAACGAGATGACTTCAGTTCTTCTATCTTCAACTTCCCTTACTTATGAAGGATATTCCACTATCACTTGGATATGGTGTTTACTCTGTGAGCAAGAGCATGCTCCGAGTACGATCAATCTTAAAACCGAGGCAGGTTACCGACAAGAAAAGAAAATCAATGATTTTTAGATTTTTGAAAACTACACGTACATATAATTTGTTAGATTTTAGGTTATTAAAATTGGAGTTATGTGCTACGTGTTCGAAAAATATGACGATATTTCATATTTTATCTAATTTGTAATACGGAACCAAAAAAAACTATCTCACTGTTCAATATAACTCAAAGAGTAGTCTGCAGTGAATTCTAGGTAGCCAAAAAGTGATGTGAAAATATGTTGACCATTTTCTTCTAATAAACCTTCTACCACCAAAATAGTTCCTATATTTTAATTCTTTTTTAATAGAGGTCTGGATCTGGATGTAATTAAACTTTACTCTCTTTTAATTATATAAATAAAAGTATCATGCAAGTAGTGTAAGCAAATGGATCTGTAAAAAGGTATCAATGAATTAATTTGACGATTGTATCTTGGAAAAGATTTACTTCATGTCCTTAAAACATTCCAGACAAATGCAATATTTTTTTACCACTTGCTCAATAATAGAATATTAAAAAGGAAAATATTAAAAATAACTTCCCTTACGAGTCATATTAATTCGGGTGAAAACTCTCTGTCAACGATGAAATAATTCTGCCATACTCACCAAAGTTTATTATCAGGAACAAACTGTGGTACCAATCCATGCTTGAATGTTTTCACAAAGGAATGTGTTGTATTTTGTACATGAACCTTAATCTTGTTAGTTTCTCTTTTTAATTACTTCCCGACGTACATGTCAGCATATCTATTGCTGAACCGAATAGAGCTTAAAATTGATTTGCTGACCGAAAAAAAGTTGATCTGCCTCGTTTTAAACTATAAAAAAAATTACTAAAATTTGAGGTATTGCGCTGTTAAAATCTATTCACAGGATTGGTTGCAGATTTAATCTATTTTATGGATAGTTAGCAGAAAAAATTAAACCTTTAGTTTACAAATCTAGCGACGAATTATAGCTAACATTTAATATAAACATAGGTAATCAGAGATTACAGAGCTCACCTCAACGAATGTTGTCTTGAAGTGAGGCAAAGTCCCACTAAACTAATAATCTAGTAGTGTGCATCCTTAGATGCAATATTTATGCAAGTTTGTTCTTATATAGTTATATTATAGTTTCTTATATAGTTATATTATAGTTTCTTGGCAATGGACCTGCTCCAAAAACTTTAACCTGGTCACTCATCCGGAAAATATAGGTCAGATCCAGCATCCGAAGCAAGTCCAGTAGTGTGCATTCTTAGATTATCATCCATGCAAGTTTGGTCAACATAGGACTTATAGTTACTTGAAAATGAGATCTGCTCCAAAATCTTTAACCTGGTCACTCATCCGTAAATGTAGGTCAGATCTAGCAGCCGAAGCAAGCCTGGTAGTGTGCATTCTAAGATGTATCATCCATGCAAGTTTGGTCAATATAGGACTTATAATTACTTGGAAATGAGACCTGCTCCAAAAACTTTAACCTGCTCCAGAAACATTAAACTGGTCATTCTTTAGCTGCAATTGCAGCATCGGAAACCTTGACTGGTACAATGAAACATACTAGAAGCATCCTCCATGCATCTCTGATTGATATAGTGCATAGAAGTACTTAATAAAAAGAAAACTGCTCCAAAAACTTTAACCTGGGACGCCGACGCCGAGGGTATTACATAAGCTCCCCAACTTCGTTGAGGTGAGCTAATAAAAACTACATATAGTTTTTTTTTTAAGTTCTTAATTTCGTTTCATATTCATCGTTTGATAATTTCCCAATGTAATGAAAAACAATTTTTATTAAAATTAGATGTCTATGACATTTTGACGCAAATTTATAAAGATAAGTTTGAGTGAAGGAGAAGGGGGGTTATTTGCTATAGGTGTAACGATCTGAAATCCATAGTAAAAATACTTTGATTTACTATAGTGAAAAAACTTCGATACTATAGTAAACTATAGTTAACTATAGTACTTTTTTGTTAGGGAAGTGCAAGGTCAGGTCAAAGTCATCAACATTTTCCTCGACATCAAGAATAAAAAATTACTTTTGCCAATTACTTGATGCCTTCATTTATGTTAAGAGATTAAATGTTTTTTTCTTTTTGCATAAAAAGATTTCACCATATAAGGTCTATCAGATGAAACAACCAAATGAAGATAAAAAAAAAAAAATAAATAACTAAAATAGGTATTGGCTTATCCGAATTTCCTCCATTTTAATTAATTTTTTATGGAATAGTAATTATTTTGATATACTTCATATATTTTTATTTTTTTCTTATTTTCACATATGGTAAAGTAGTCATATCATGCAAGTTACAAAGTGATACAAAAACAAAAAGTTTTCATCGTTTAGTATGAGAGAAAAAACACTTTTTACTGATTTTGTCGGAAGCTTTCAAAAGCTAATAAGACTGTAAGTTTGTTCAGAAAAATGAATATATTTTATAAACTTTAAAACATTAGTCCATAGTAATTAACTTTAGTCACTTCAGAAAAAGTCATTTAGTCTTTAATTGTTTTAAAAAATCAATCATATTCAATGTTTTGTAGTAATTTTAAGATGCGGGATAGGAGATATTTTCATACGCCGCTATTCCACCAAAAATATAGTCCCTGCTAGATATCAAACTCAGCCTACCATTTGTATTTAAAGTTGTACAATTTAGAGAAGGAAAGAAAAATATAATCTTTTAAATCCTTCACATCTATATATATATATATATATATATATATATATATATATATATATATATATATATATATATATATATATATATATATATATATATATATATATATATATACGAAATATGGGCAAATACACACTGAATATTTCATTTAGTCAGAAACCAGACAAGAATCCCTCCTTAAGGGTTAAAATAAATGGGTACACATTATCATTTTGAAGATATTCATATCTGTTATAATACAATAACTTGGTAAGGATCCGACCATACTGCAACGAAAGTAGCAATTTACTGACAGTATCATTCAAAATCTACAGCAAGGGACCTTTTCAAAAAATTGGACCTCCCTTTCCCCACGGTACCAGTTACAGGTCTGGACATCATAATTTCTTGGATAGATGATTCATCATTATTGTTGCAGGAAGGACCAGATTTCTACACTGTGTTGTCAAAATAGTCAACACAGTCTGAAAGCAATATGCAGTCCACCTGGATGTAATTTCCGCATCATCTGAAATTTGTTTGTTTTACGTCCCTTCTCGTGCGAGGCGCAGTGGTTAGAGCGTCTGCTCTAGAGTCTCGGAGTAAGGTCGAGCTGATCCTTACGTCGCGGGTTCGAATCCACTGTGGGACGTGGAGACCGGTCCTTCGGATGAGACCGTATCGAGGTCCCGTGTCGCAGTAGGCGTAGGCACGAAAAAGATCCCTCACTGCTCAATGGCCCTGAGTGCCGAGTATAACTATAAATTTGCAGCCCTCCACCGGCAAGTGGTGGCGTCTCCATACGAGTGAGAAATTCTCTAGAGGAACGTTAAAAACACACAAACAAACAAAACGTCCCTTCGATAATACTTAGTATTTAACTCTTGTTGGGATACGACCAATTGCTAAAGGAAGGCTACAAAAATAGAACCAATACTTGGCATTTATGGCCTTTGAACAGTGAGGGGTGTTTTTAAGCCCCCCCCCCCAAAAAAAAAATTCTAACCAGAATCACTTCTTACTTCGTGACTCTAGAACATAGTGAAATACTTCACACATGTGGGTGACTCAGAAATATTTTGTATAATAGATGCATTCATTTGAATGGAATATGGAAATAACGAACAATATTCAAGCTCAAAGTCCATTTAAACAAATACAAATCGGAGGCAGAGCAAACACGGACCTCCAAAAACATCAGAGGTGGGATCAGATGCCATGGAGGAGTGAACATTGCCTGACGACCGGTCACACCCGCCATGTGCTCCTTATCATGATCGGGAAAAATCCGTAGGCAATTCAGTGTGTAAATAATGGCCTAACAATTGGTATGAAAAACGCCAGTCAGCATTTGACTTAATGATAGGTTGTAATTGCAGACAAGGTCATTGTATCGACCATAAAACTTGCGAAATGATAACTTCAAACGAGACTGTTGATATCCTTATTTCATCAACTTGTTTGTCAATAGCTTGCCTCGTTTTAGAAATTGTTCATACGTAGACCATGCTCTTGCATATCAAATCAACTGGGAGACAAAAACCCCATATGCAGGTGGTAAAGGTACATTGCTACATAAGTAAGGGAAGTTTACTATTGAAAAATTGAAGTCATCACGTTTATCATAAAGCTTGAAGTAATGAAATACCTTGTAATTTAGCTTGCAAGTTAAAGGATAACATTGTGCTAATTTATATGAAACTTTTGATGGTCAGAGGTTTCGGTTTTTTCTAATATTCCCCTGTGGTGACGTAATTTTGATTTTTTTTTTTACATGCTGACTCCTGTAAATACACCTCAATTAACAAAGTTTGATGATTCTACAATTTATAGTAGAGAATACATAAAACACAGATAAACAGAAAGGATTTAGATCACCATTCCACAAATCGGAATAACTACATTTAGAAACCACGTGATTCTTCATGATGGCTGTTGTTGTTACTACACGGCTCCAGTAGATGTTCTTTCTTAAGATACATATAATATAGAAAGAGAATTAATATTTTCATAGCACTCTTTTATTGACTGAGTAATGAAAGACAGGAACAAGTTTATAATCCTCTCATATTACGTAAATGTTTTGAAAGTTTACATTTGTTTTCACTGCCATCAAACAGTGTATCTCATGAATTGTCTTACTTTGGTTAAAATCATTTCTATTCTAAAAATATTTTCTCATGTACAATTAAATGCTGCAGGAGTAAAGCAAAAATGTGGAATAAGGAATAGTTCTAACATCTCTACACAAAGTACAGTTCATTTTTTTTTTTCGTTCATTGAGAATTTTTTCTTTAAAAAAAGCTGAGACAAGCATTCAATTGTCAATTACTTCAACAAAGCACATGACTTATCATGGAAATACAAAACAATTTTCATGTATTACAAATATAATATACTGTATTAACTACTAGCAGAAATCATGTTCACATGAAGTTTTGATTTCATAAATAGTAAAATATCTTTATATCAAATGTAAAATAGGAGAAACAGCATCCATTCAATAACAGGTTCCCCTTACCTGGCCACATGCTTTATCAAAGCATGTTAGTAAGAGTGCTACAAGACATTCAGTTATACAATTAATTATATCACTGCTGTATTCCACATAAATGTTGTTGCAGTGAATCCATTGACTTTTGCACCAACTATAATAAAAGCATTTAAACCTATATTGGGGAAAAAATAAGTCAACATCAGTTTGCATGAAAACCACTATGTTCCTTCATCAAATTATCCTGGAACATTTGAACACAATTTTTAATAAATAGTCTTTAATCCTTTCATGACTGTTTCTCCTGCTTTTTGTCAACTTCATCCTTTTCCTTGCTAGAGTTATCATTCTTAGTTTGGAACTCTTCAGTCTTTAGAGTCTTTGCTTTGTCTTTTAGTGTTTCCTTTTCCTCTTGAAGCAACTCCTTTTTCACGAGCCTCGTCACCTCTGAAACTTGTGAGGGGTTCAATTTCACATTGTCCTTTCCAAGTAACTCTATCACCTAAACAATAATTGAATGGTTAATTATAAATCTCATACAATATGTACATCAAAAGAGTACAGTCTTAAAACTGTAAAAAGCAATTTCAACTAGACACTATATTAATGTTAGGTAGCCCATATATCAGGGGCACATAATAGTTATGCAGCAAAAACTGTATTCAGGCATTTCACTAAGTTTTCTTAATTATAATTGCTGGTAAGTTTAATCTGTGTTTGAAAATAAATTATATGTACTTTAAAAAAGGCCTAATGAGCAAGCCAGCTAGTTTGTAAATCCTTGTATAATTAGCAAGAATTGGGAATCTCCTATCGTAAAAAGACACCCCCCCCCCAAAAAAAAACTCTAAAATCCCTTAAAAATCTTTAATTTTGAACAATTATGGGAACACTAATTTATAATACAATTAAAATATCACAACATCATGCTTTATAAATTGTATTGCCAGTATCCAGCCCTAATTAAAGTAATACAGACACCTTTAACAGTCAAAACTTAATAACTTATCCAAATTTAAAAACAGTAACATCTTTACCTTGAGTGCATGAACAAGCTCAATCCTTCCATCTCTGTCCTCGTCCAGCACCTGTAGAATTTTCTGTAGCCTCACATCATCCGGAATCTTCTTAATTCTCTTCAGAGCCAGTAACATCTCATTTATACTGATCACAGATTTCCTACAGATACAGACAAATTAACATCAGACCCAGTAACAACTCATTTATACTGATCACAGATTTCCTACAGATACAGACAAATTAACATCAGACCCAGTAACATCTCATTTATACTGATCACAGATTTCCTACAGATACAGACAAATTAACATCAGACCCAGTAACAACTCATTTATACTGATCACATATTTCCTACAGATAGACAAATTAACATCAGACCCAGTAACATTGATCACAGATTTCCTACAGATACAAACAAATTAACATCAGACCCAGTAACAACTCATTTATACTGATCACAGATTTCCTACAGATACAGACAAATTAACATCAGACCCAGTAACATCTCATTTATACTGATCACAGATTTCCTACAGATACAGACAAATTAACATCAGACCCAGTAACAACTCATTTATACTGATTACAGATTTCCTACAGATACAGACAAATTAACATCAGACCCAGTAACATCTCATTTATACTGATCAAAGATTTCCTACAGATACAGACAAATTAACATCAGACCCAGTAACATCTCATTTATACTGATTACAGATTTCCTACAGATACAGACAAATTAACATCAGACCCAGTAACAACTCATTTATACTGATCACAGATTTCCTACAGATACAGACAAATTAACATCAGACCCAGTAACAACTCATTTATACTGATCACAGATTTCCTACAGATAGACAAATTAACATCAGACCCAGTAACATTGATCACAGATTTCCTACAGATACAGACAAATTAACATCAGACCCAGTAACAACTCATTTATACTGATCACAGATTTCCTACAGATACAGACAAATTAACATCAGACCCAGTAACAACTCATTTATACTGATCACAGATTTCCTACAGATACAGACAAATTAACATCAGACCCAGTAACAACTCATTTATACTGATCACAGATTTCCTACAGATATAGACAAATTAACATCAGACCCAGTAACAACTCATTTATACTGATCACAGATTTCCTACAGATATAGACAAATTAACATCAGACCCAGTAACATCTCATTTATACTGATCACAGATTTCCTACAGATACAGACAAATTAACATCAGACCCAGTAACATTGATCACAGATTTCCTACAGATACAGACAAATTAACATCAGACCCAGTAACATCTCATTTATACTGATCACAGATTTCCTACAGATACAAACAAATTAACATCAGACCCAGTAACAACTCATTTATACTGATCACAGATTTCCTACAGATATAGACAAATTAACATCAGACCCAGTAACATCTCATTTATACTGATCACAGATTTCCTACAGATACAGACAAATTAACATCAGACCCAGTAACATTGATCACAGATTTCCTTCAGATACAGACAAATTAACATCAGACCCAGTAACATCTCATTTATACTGATCACAGATTTCCTACAGATACAGACAAATTAACATCAGACCCAGTAACATCTCATTTATACTGATCACAGATTTCCTACAGATACAGACAAATTAACATCAGACCCAGTAACAAGTCATTTATACTGATTACAGATTTCCTACAGATACAGACAAATTAACATCAGACCCAGAAACAACTCATTTATATTGATCACAGATTTCCTTCAGATACAGACAAATTAACATCAGACCCAGAAACAACTCATTTATACTGATCACAGATTTCCTACAGATACAGACAAATTAACATCAGACCCAGTAACATCTCATTTATACTGATTACAGATTTCCTACAGATACAGACAAATTAACATCAGACCTAGTAACATTGATCACAGATTTCCTACAGATACAGACAAATTAACATCAGACACAGTAACATCTCATTTATACTGATCACAGATTCATTTATACTGATCACAGATTTCCTACAGATACAGAAAAATTAACATCAGACCCAGTAACAACTCATTTATACTGATCACAGATTTCCTACAGATACAGACAAATTAACATCAGACCTAGTAACATCTCATTTATACTGATCACAGATTTCCTACAGATACAGACAAATTAACATCAGACCCAGTAACAACTCATTTATACTGATCACAGATTTCCTACAGATAGACAAATTAACATCAGACCCAGTAACATTGATCACAGATTTCCTACAGACACAGACAAATTAACATCAGACACAGTAACATCTCATTTATACTGATCACAGATTCATTTATACTGATCACAGATTTCCTACAGATACAGACAAATTAACATCAGACCCAGTAACAACTCATTTATACTGATCACAGATTTCCTACAGATACAGACAAATTAACATCAGACCCAGTAACATCTCATTTATACTGATCACAGATTTCCTACAGATACAGACAAATTAACATCAGACCCAGTAACATCTCATTTATACTGATCACAGATTTCCTACAGATACAGACAAATTAACATCAGACCCAGTAACAACTCATTTATACTGATCACAGATTTCCTACAGATACAGACATATTAACATCAGACCCAGTAACATTTCATTTATACTGATTACAGATTTCCTACAGATACAGACAAATTAACATCAGACCCAGTAACATCTCATTTATACTGATCACAGATTTCCTACAGATACAGACAAATTAACATCAGACCCAGTAACAACTCATTTATACTGATCACAGATTTCCTACAGATACAGACAAATTAACATCAGACCCAGTAACAACTCATTTATACTGATCACAGATTTCCTACAGATACAAACAAATTAACATCAGACCCAGTAACAACTCATTTATACTGATCACAGATTTCCTACAGATACAGACAAATTAACATCAGACCCAGTAACATCTCATTTATACTGATCACAGATTTCCTACAGATACAGACAAATTAACATCAGACCCAGTAACATCTCATTTATACTGATCACAGATTTCCTACAGATACAGACAAATTAACATCAGACCCAGTAACAAGTCATTTATACTGATTACAGATTTCCTACAGATACAGACAAATTAACATCAGACCCAGAAACAACTCATTTATACTGATCACAGATTTCCTTCAGATACAGACAAATTAACATCAGACCCAGAAACAACTCATTTATACTGATCACAGATTTCCTACAGATACAGACAAATTAACATCAGACCCAGTAACATCTCATTTATACTGATTACAGATTTCCTACAGATACAGACAAATTAACATCAGACCCAGTAACATTGATCACAGATTTCCTACAGATACAGACAAATTAACATCAGACCCACTAACATCTCATTTATACTGATCACATATTTCCTACAGATACAGACAAATTAACATCAGACCCAGTAACAACTCATTTATACTGATCACAGATTTCCTACAGACAGACAAATTAACATCAGACCCAGTAACAACTCATTTATACTGATCACAGATTTCCTACAGATAGACAAATTAACGTCAGAGCCAGTAACATTGATCACAGATTTCCTACAGATACAAACAAATTAACATCAGACCCAGTAACAACTCATTTATACTGATCACAGATTTCCTACAGATATAGACAAATTAACATCAGACCCAGTAACATCTCATTTATACTGATCACAGATTTCCTACAGATACAGACAAATTAACATCAGACCCAGTAACATCTCATTTATACTGATCACAGATTTCCTACAAATACAGACAAATTAACATCAGACCTAGTAACATTGATCACAGATTTCCTACAGATACAGACAAATTAACATCAGACACAGTAACATCTCATTTATACTGATCACAGATTCATTTATACTGATCACAGATTTCCTACAGATACAGACAAATTAACATCAGACCCAGTAACATCTCATTTATACTGATCACAGATTTCCTACAGATACAGACAAATTAACATCAGACCTAGTAACATCTCATTTATACTGATCACAGATTTCCTACAGATACAGACATATTAACATCAGACCCAGTAACAACTCATTTATACTGATCACAGATTTCCTACAGATACAGACAAATTAACATCAGACCCAGTAACAACTCATTTATACTGATTACAGATTTCCTACAGATACAGACAAATTAACATCAGACCCAGTAACAACTCATTTATACTGATCACAGATTTCCTACAGATAGACAAATTAACATCAGACCCAGTAACAACTCATTTATACTGATCACAGATTTCCTACAGATACAGACAAATTAACATCAGACCCAGTAACATCTCATTTATACTGATCACAGATTTCCTACAGATACAGACAAATTAACATCAGACCTAGTAACATCTCATTTATACTGATCACAGATTTCCTACAGATACAGACAAATTAACATCAGACCCAGTAACAACTCATTTATACTGATCACAGATTTCCTACAGATACAGACATATTAACATCAGACCCAGTAACAACTCATTTATACTGATCACAGATTTCCTACAGATACAGACAAATTAACATCAGACCCAGTAACAACTCATTTATACTGATTACAGATTTCCTACAGATACAGACAAATTAACATCAGACCCAGTAACATCTCATTTATACTGATCACAGATTTCCTACAGATACAGACAAATTAACATCAGACCCAGTAACAACTCATTTATACTGATCACAGATTTCCTACAGATAGACAAATTAACATCAGACCCAGTAACAACTCATTTATACTGATCACAGATTTCCTACAGATACAGACAAATTAACATCAGACCCAGTAACAAGTCATTTATACTGATCACAGATTTCCTACAAATACAGACAAATTAACATCAGACCTAGTAACATTGATCACAGATTTCCTACAGATACAGACAAATTAACATCAGACCTAGTAACAACTCATTTCTGATCACAGATTCCCTATAAAGAATAGAGTTAACACCTTATCTACTTAATGTTGCGGAAAGCACACATGATACATGTACATCCTTTAATTTGTTTTGACCTCAAATTTAAAACCAAGATACATAGAAACTTTATTCCCTTATTTTCTCTTTTTTTTACTGCAAATTGAGACTCTGAAACAAAGACACTATGACCCTTACTTTTACATTTAACTACAATTGGTGACTAAATTCACAGACATTATGTGCCTTACTTTCTCTTTTTAAGTTCTGAGAGAATCTCCTCCCTCTTTTCTAGATTTGTTTGTAACTCAGGACTTTTCTTAAGTCGGACTTCCCGAGTGTCAATCTCCACCTGAATTTCGTCCTTTTGGTCGTGGAAGTCGTCTATTTGTTTGTCCAGTTTGTCCACAGCACGATTGACCATCTTCCAGAGTTTGCTGGCATTCTTAGAATCCACATCCCCTTCCTTGAGGACAACTGCTTTTAATTCATCTACATCCTACAAAAGAATAGAAGGATCAACTTTTACAAATCTCAGCATGTTTCACATGTATTCAATTTGAACCCTTTCCTTGTATGATTGTACACAGCTGCAGGTTATACATACATCATAATTCAGCAATGCTTATTTTTCTCATTTTTCTTAACCTATTGTGCTTACTAAAAAGATTTACTGCATACTTTTGACAACCTCTCCTCTATATCTGAACACTTTATTCCCACTCACAACCTTACATCATCCATCCTGCTGGGGATAGACTTTGACTTTCAAATGCAAAACCTGGCAGCCCAAAATTAAGAAAGAAAAAATAACTTTGGAATGCTGCAATTACCCTCTGTTTCCTTCACAATAAAATTCACATTTTTTAAATTATTTTCAATAGGATCTTTTTGTGAATTTTGATTTTCAGAGATATCCACTTTACAGAGAAGCATATTGACTGAGCAACGAATTGTGAACAACTCTAAGGAAGATAGTTGCTGCGAAACATGCATATTTTAATGTATGTGATCAAGTGTTCAATTTATTGTTTTATTTATAAACCAATGTAAGCTAGATAATAATACATGTATACATTTTTATCAGAAAAATTCACCTGCCCCGAACGCACAAGTACGTTGAAAGTATCACTTGCCTGAACTGAGAATTTTCTTGCCCAATTGGACAACCTTTAATGTTGATCCCTGCTCCTACCACAATGAATCAACCCCTCACCACAGTGGATCATCCACTTCCTGCAACAGATCTTCCACCTACTACAGTGGATCATCCATCTACTGCACTGGATCATCCACCTGCTACACTGGATCATCCACCTACTACAGTGGATCATCCACCTACCTCTTCACAATCCTCCAGCTCCTCCTCCCTTCCTTCCTTCTCAAGATCCACAGATTTCTCCTTTGCTGCCTCAATCAGTGCGTCTTCTAAATCTTCCAGGTCTTCTGTGGTGATTTCTTCATCCAGGTCCTTCAATTCTACACAAAAAATTAACATCAACATCAAGCATCTTGAATGCAGAATATATAACATACATGTAATTGTTTAACCAGTTTGTACACATTATAAGATATTCTGGAAAGATTTAAACAAGAGGCCCATGGGCCACATCGCTCACCTGAGTAACTTTGGCCATGCTGTTCTTTACCAGATTTCCCCCTTGTAATACTTATTGTGGCCCCGCCCTACCCCCAAAGGTCATGATTTTAATAATTTAGAATCTTCACTACCCAAGGATGCTTCCGCATAAGTTTCAGCTTTTTTGGCCTAGTTGTTCTTGAGAAGAAGATTTTTAAAGATTTTTCCTATATATTTCAATGTAAAACTTGGATTCCCTATTGTGGCCCCGCCCTACCCCTGGGGGTCATGATTTTAACAATTTAGAATCTACACTACCCCAGGATGCTTCCACATAAGTTTCAGTTTTTCTGGCCCAGTTGTTCTTGGGAAGATTTTTAAAGATTTTTCTTACATATTTCAATGTAAAACTTGGATTCCCTATTGTGGCCCCGCCTTACCCCCGGGGGTCATGATTTTAACAATTTAGAATCTACACTATCCCTGGATGCTTCTACATAAGTTTCAGCTTTTCTGGCCCAGTGGTTCTTGAGAAGAACATTTTTAAAGATTTTTCCTATATATTTCAATGTAAAATTTGGATTCCCTATTGTGGCCCCACCCGACCCCCGGGGTCATGATTTGGACAAAATTTGAATGTACACTATCTGAGGATGCTTCCATGTAAATATGATCAATCATGGCTTTGCTGTTCTTGAGAAGAAGATTTTTAAAGATTTTTCCTATATATTCCTATGTAAAACTTTGATCGCCCATTGTGGCCCCACCCGACCCCAGGGGGTCATGATTTGATCAAATTTTAATCTACATTACCTGAGGATGCTTCCATGTAAATATGACCAGACATGGCTTTGCTGTTCTTGAGAAGAAGATTTTTAAAGATTTTTCCTATATATTCCTATGTAAAACTTTGATCGCCCATTGTGGCCCCACCCGACCCCCGGGGGTCATGATTTGAACAAACTTGAATCTACACTACATGAAGATGCTTCCACATAAGTTTCATGTTTTCAAGCACAGTGGTTCTTAAGAAGAAGATTTTTTAATGATGCCATTAATTTTTCACGAATTCTTAATTATCTCCCCTTGAAAAAAGGCGTGGCCCTTCATTTGAACAAACTTGAATTTCCTTTACCCAAGGATACTTTGTGGCAAGTTTGGTTGAAATTGGCCCAGTGGTTCTGGAGAAGAAGTCAAAAATGTGAAAAGTTTACAGACGGACAGACAGACAGACAGACGGACTACAGACAAAATGTGATCAGAAAAGCTCACTTGAGCCTTCGGCTCAGGTGAGCTAAAAACTCCAGGGACCATAATTCATATGCTCCTAGGATAGACATTATAATAGGCATCTAAAGAGGCTATGGGATATTTGCTGATTATATTGCTTTCTACAGAGATATCTGCAAAGCCTACTTGATGGCAGTCTGCCAAGCAATAGATCTATGGGGAGTACAATGCTTACTTGTAAACAGATATTTATCTAACTAAGGAAAGAGATATCTGTCAAACTTATGGTCTGGAACAGTTTATCAAAAGAATTATTTACCCTCTCCAGGCTGGGCTTCCATCATCAATGCCGGATCTGTTTGTGTTTCCGCCGTCATAATGGATTCTGCAGCTATCGCCTCAGCTGTCGCCATGGCCTAAAATAAAATACAATTGTAAAGAAGTTGTCATCTAACTGATCATAACTACATGCTTTAAAGAATCTTGCATTTTTACACAATATTGGGTACTCATTCAGAACAAATCCTTTAAACCAACAATTCCCATGCAAGAAATATCTGAGAGTTTCGCAACCTTCTTTTACTCAGGAATATTTCTTGTCGCAAACCATTTGTGTTTAATCAATTGTGCATTTATGAAAATAAGTTTCCTCAGTCATGGAAAAAATTAGTTTTGAATGGATTTCAACCTGACCAATGGTGCATTAGTAATCACACAGTAAGTAATAGTTAGTTTACAGTCCCCTAACTAACCTTCTGTTCCTCCTCTGTGGGTGTGGGAACCTCTGCTCCTTTCCCTGATTCAGCCACCACCTTCTCCGGCTTTTCTCCCTCCTTAAGATACTCCTTATATTCCTCAAAGAACCTCTTGTGCTCCCTCTTATTTTCCTCACCAAGCTCGCGAATCAACTTCCAGATCTTTAGCACACGTTTCTTCGTAGCCTCTTTGTCATATTCATCCACTCTCTGTTTGAAGTCCGCCAGCTTGCTTTGTAATTTGGCTGCCAGACCTTTGACCCCTGTGGCCGGTTCCTCCACAGGAATTGGCACCTCCTCAGGGGCAGGAGGCACAGGAGGAACCTCTGGAACCTCAGCAACCACCTCAGGAACCACCTCAGGAATTCTTTCTTTCTCCGCCTTCTCTTTCTCTGCTTTCTCCTTCTCTTTCAGAGCCTGGGCTGCAGCAATCTTCTCTTTAGATGTCTACAAGGATTATAATAATTTTAAGTAGAAGTTAAGACAATCTACTACAATCTACTACAATATACACTTCATAATACACTGTATATCTCACACATCTTAGATTTTAGTTATTCCAGTCTCATTTTTAAACAGAAAAACATCCATGTCTAGTGTTGTTAAAGCAAAATATCTATGAAATGATATTTAAATATCTGACTACATAATAATATATTTGACTTTATAATAATTTGTCACTGAATGTAAACAGTGAAACTGTAAATGCATTGAATTCAGCATTTCAAAGAGTGTATCACTTTATATACATGTATGCATATAAATCATATATTATCAATGAGCAAATGAAAGAAATATGCAAGTTTATGCATATTAGCACCTAATCTTGAGCACTGATGACTTATTTTTAGAACTTTCCCCAGTACAAGTTAACCATTTACTGTTCCTTAAAACTTTCCCTGTACAAATTAACCATCAACTTACCATGGTCTCTGGTAGATTGATGATGGACTCCTTCAGTTGTTCTTCAGTTGACAGCGTCTCTGGTAAATACAGTGCCCTGGAAAACAGAAGAAGTGAAGAAGGAATGTTCTTTTCCAGATGGAGGTCCAACCACTGCTGTAACTGGCTCTTCAGGCGAGCTTCAGACACCCCAAGGGCCCGCATCCCCCGCTCACGATTAGCTGCCTGCAGTTCAGGGATGGTGAGGCTGTCAACTCCCTCCTGTTGAATCATCTGGAGAAAGAAAATCATGTGCTTTATTAGATTGTTATATTCAGTAAAGAAGACTCTCTATATTATCTACATAGAGAGACAGTCAACATAATTGATATTACCTCCTCCAAAAAATATTGATAGTCATTTTACTATTCACTGGCAAAGAGAATTTTCCCACAATATTATTGATTTTGACTAGTAGATTGATTTATTGTGATGTAATGATACCGTTGCGACTTCCAAAAAACATAACTTCACCATAAAAAGCTAATAACACAATCATGGCAACTTGAAGATTCGCTAGCACTACAATCTATGTGCAGGATAATGCATTGAATACAGATAAGTTGCTGAATTTCAATGAATGAAGTCAAAATACTATTTTATTGATTTGTTTTGTTTTTCATATAACAAAACAATTAATGACTGGGGTTGAGGACAACGCTGATTATATTAGCCTCCAAGGGATGAAATATTGCCCGACACAGAGCGGAGGGCAATATTTTCATCCCAAGGAGGCTAACATAATCAACGTTGTCCTCAACCCCAGTCTATAATTGTATAACATAGTTACTGGGATACTATCAGTAAATGTATGAAAGATATTTTCATGAATGGCATTGCTCTTTTACAGAATGCATGTTAATTGCATGATAAACATGATAACTTGATGATATATGTTTTTTCATCATCTAATCATACATGTACATGTAAATATATGAATACGAAAAGAATTGAATTTTCAAGTTCCTTTGCCTTATTTCTAATGAGAACGAGAATTTCTGTAAAACTACATATGGCTCAAGTTGTGTTTCATTTTATTAAAAACTTACTTTATCATCTAACTTGAGCCTTTTGAGTTTCATTCTGAGCGAAAACCTGAGAAAGCTGTCCATTCCCATGGGTGGAAGGTCAAGGATTCGACACATGGCCTGCAGCTGTTGTCGATTCAAATTCTCCAAGGTCAACTCGTCCTCGAAGAACTTTGAGTACTTCATGATCTCCTCTGTAGTTGGCTGAATGCCTTTGTTTCGAACCTGTGTGGTTAAACAGTAGTACATTCACATGTAAAACATTGCAAGAAATAAATACATGGACACAATATTGCACATGTATAATTTTTGAGAGGCAAAGAGATTTAACTTGTGATTTCAATACTTTCATATCCAAAATACTTTCACTGCACAGTAAGAAGTATACAAAGATTTCTTTCATGAGAAATGAATAGTTTGCTTGTTTTTCAAGGAAATTTATAATTACAGTAATTTATTCATCACATAACATTGTACCAATAATTACAAGTATGTGCCCTAGTATGACACGATAGTAAATTTTGCCTTTCTAAGCAAGTTCAAGTTATTAAAAAGAGGGATGTATTTACAGATTTTTCTTGTAAGAAAAATGAACAAAGATTATTAAAAGCCTCTTTCTTTGAAAATTTTCCTATACCAATCAAAAAGGTAAACAATTTGATCTGAATACCATTTTATCCTCAATAAACATGATAAATTCATAAATGACTCTTACATTAGCAACAAAATTAGCGAAATCCTCAGCTGTGTCAGTTTTCTTGCTAATTAAAGGGTGATTCTTGATGGTTTCCACCATGTTCTTTGTCATCTCAATCTTTGCCTTTAATACCTTCATTCTCATATCATCTGTCTGTAAAACATAAAAGGCTGAGTAGTTCTACGTCTTTATACATAAAGGTGTAACAATCAACCAGAGCCATAATGCTCACCTAAGCTACTTTACTTCGTCTGTCAGTCTGTCACAAAAACTTTAACTTTGGTCATGACTTTTGAATGAAAAGAGATAGGGTTTTCATATTTCACATACATACATTACCTGTGACAAGACCTTTCTAAATATACTATGATTTTTTGACCCTGTGACCTTGACCTTGCAGTTTGACCTACTTTTCCAAAAATTTTGACACTACTTTAAATTGGTCATAACTTTTGAATGAGAAGAGGTAGGGCTTTCATATTACACTTGTATATTACCTGTGACAAGACCTTTCAACATAGACTATGACTTTTGACTCCCTGACCTTGACCTTGAAGTTTGACCTGCTTTTCGAAAATTTCATCTTTGCTTATAACTTTTGATTATGAAGAGATAGGGCTTTCATATTTTACATATACATAACCTTGATTACCTGTGATAAGACCTTTCTAAATATGCTATGATTTTTTACCCTGTGACCTTGACCTTGAAGTTTGACCTACTTTTCAAAAATTTTAACATTACATGTACTTTAAATTGGTTATAAAATTTGAAAAAGGTAGGGCTTTCATATTAAACAAGTACATTACCTGTGACAAGACCTTTCTAAATTACTATGGTTTTTGACCCCTTGACCTTCAAGTTTAAACTACTTTTTAAAAATTTCATCTTTGCTTATAACTTTTGATTAAGATGGGATAGGGCTTTCATATTTGACATGTACTTACCTGTGGCAAGACCTTTCCAAATATACTATGATTTTTGACCCTTGACCTTGAACTTTGACCAAGACAGTTACAATATGCCATAAATAATGGCATCCCATCCACTAAGAAATGGAAAGCGGGGGACCACAATTCTTTGAATTTGCTTGTTTTGTCCTCTTATTTCAAGTATATACAACTAATATATGATTAAAACAAATACATATAGAAGCTTGGCTCCAAATGTGATAATTTATGATTACATTAATCAGTTAACTGAAAAAAAGCACTAAATTTTGAACACACTAATTTACAGTAAGTTAAAATGATGAACACAAACCTTTTTGGGTTGAAATGTACTGGGAAGGAGGCCCGGGAAGAATTTGATAACAAAAGGAATGGCAAACTCCATAAAAGGAATGACTATCATAATGATCATAGGTAAAATACGGAAAATGTCAAACGTTGAACGAATCACCTGCAAAATAAAGAACAGATAATGTACTGAAATTCCTAAAAAGAATATACAACCATGAATAATAATCAGATTAACAACCATGAATAATAATATAGAGTCCACGAGATCAGGAAATAAAGTCATCGTAAATTACTTTAGAGCCACAATACACCTTGCCTAAGATACATAAACTGAAGATGTTTGATGACTCCAGGTCTTTCAGCGTGTATGATATATGTACATGATTACTGTACGATCACGACATGATTTAACTATATGTTTGCAGCTTTTTATAAAAAAGTGAAGCTACAGATGCATACTTTTGAATCAAGAGCATATAATATGTCCTTAAGCAATGAATCATCACTGCTACTTTTTAGATCAATTTCTATCAAGGAGTGTGTAACACACACTTCACATACATCTCTTCTTATCATTTCAAATTTAAGTCACATATTTTCAATAATATTATGGAGGTTTTGGCGAATATCATGATTATTTCCAGAAAAATAACATTTTCCTGTTTCTGATTCAGTTTTACACATCAAGGCAATTAAATTATGAATAAAACTTGATCATTTACCCATTTAACAAGATTCTCATAGTTTGAACAAAATCAGGGGATTAGGGGGTGCATGTTAATAACAAGGAAAGACAACTCTTGACAGAATTTACACTGTATACCTGTTGGAATTCCCTCCTCTTGAGTGATTTCCTAAAGATAACAACATCAATCATGTATCTTGTGGACATTCTGAATTCTTTAAATAATAACTTGAATCCATGATAATAGTGTTTCAATTCATTCATTATTCTGGTTCCCAAACTCTTCTTAGCTGGTGGTCCCACCTCCTTTGCATTTTCCTTCTGCACTGACGCCTTTGAGGAGGCGCCTGTAGGTGTCTTTTCTCCCTTTGCTCCAGATTCCTTTGGTGAATCTTTGCTTTCAGTTGCTCCCTGATCATTTACACTTTTTATTTCTTTTTTATTCTCGTCTTTGAATAGTAAAGCAGATATGTGATAATTGCGGACATATGGCACATCATTTCCAAGCAGGTCTCTATAGGGAACACGGCGTATGATAAAATTTGTTTTGTAATTATCACAATGTTGAATTAATTGTTTGTTTTCACTTGGTAAGTGCCAGCGTGGCTTATGGGTAAGTTTAGAGTTTAATTTATGACTGGTGTAGTAGTGACGTTTATGTGTACGACTTCCACAGGGTCTGAAAAGAAATGGTTCTTAGTTAACATGTATTGTTCATAAAATCTATCAATAAATTCATCACTGAACATAATGGAGTTAATGTCATAACTCATTTGATGAGTTAATGGTATCCTAAATTTTCATTTTGAATTTTGTAATGTATTTTCCCATTTCATAGGCAAAAGGGGAATTTTATGAATAATTGTAATGAAGAGTATGTAATATAAATTAAAAGTAAAGTTACAATAATTTAAAATAAATTTAATTTGAATGAAAATACTGCTTGGACTGATTTTACCGTGCTTGTGACGTGTGACAACATCCCAATGGTACCAACTTTCTCAGAAGCTCTGTAATAGAGAATTCATTTATTAGTATGTGCATACTATTCATCATGACGTGCTCATTTACTGTATATCATTCATGACTTACATGTATGAGTTGCAAATTTTCAAACACTGACAAATAACACAGATTCAATTAACAGATATATATAGAAAAATTCCTCAGACACAAAAAAAAAACCTTTTTAAACTTTATTTAGAAAATTGTACCTTTGAATTATTATGGAACGGTGTTCCTTAGATGTTAGAAGTATAACTTGTGTTCAAGCTTTTTGCCTCTCTATACTTTGTCTATTAGACATTGTATAGTAATCATACACAGGGCTTTATTGACCTTTTTTGGTACAGGGTCCTCAATCCCCCAAATTTTAAATTAACAAAAAATCAACAGAATTTAGAATTTCTGATATCAATCAGAAATTCTAAATTCTGTTGATTTTTTGTTTATTTTTGTTAAATATTTTATGTTTTTCTGCAGAATAAAGACAGTAAGATTGTAGGCCTTTCATCTGATCACATATTAACCATTTAAGAGGGCTGGGGGTTGTGGCCATTTTCAGACTATATTGATCTCCTTTAGAAGAAGAGCTCCATATAAAGATATACAAAAATGATCAAATTTTAAAACTAAAATGTATGAAATTTTTCTTTACCAAATGATAGTTGAAAGCTTAATATATCATATCTAAAAAATTAAGTTATATTTGATGGTTAATTTGTTGACCCCCCAGCCTCCTTAATTATTATCATTTTATTGAAAATTTGAGAATTTTGATAAAAAATGCAGCAAAAATTTAATTTGCTTGTCATTTGTGAAATTTTAACTTAATTTGGGGGGAAAAAAAGAGACAATTTCCAGATGGGACTGGATCCCTTAACCAGAGCTGGTGGCTTGCATGCAAAGGATATTAAACCGTAATACATCATACTCTAGCTAATATAAAATGTAAAACTTCCAACAGGGCTCTTAAAATCTATCCTGTATTTGAAGTCATAGTCGATTTGTGTATAATATATGTATATGTGTTTTTGCATGCTTCATTTTATTATATATTTGTATTTCTGTAATATTTTTAGCTGTGATAGTCGGTTTAAGAGCTCTTTACAATTCATGTTAATTGTTTAATATGTCTTGTACAAAATGCCAACTTAAAAAAAAATTACTTACTTACTTATCACGTAAATGAGTATGAAAATGCAGATTTTTTCTTACTTAGCACAGCTTTGTAGGCTTGGACAAGATAAACTGGGAAAAGAAAGGGGAAATGGTACTAAAATTTACACTCTAGTATTTTTTGTTAAAATGTCTCTTATTACTTATTGCTTATTTTAGTGCCCATGGCTATTTGATAATCAACAAATTATGTAAATTGTTTTGACATGATAATTCATGTAAATAGTAGTAAGTTTAAAAAGCTGTGTCAAGTATCCTAACTATTATCATTGATTTCTAGGGCTCCATGCTTTATATACTGATTAATGATGAAATTTAGAACTCTTAGTGTAGTTACATAGATTTCTATCCTTCGGCTAAACGTAATGAATTTAATATTGGGTTTGTTTATATGGGCAGTAATACGTGTAGTTATGGTACTGAAACACAAATTGACATGTAAAAATAGTACTTTCGGTTTCCATTGAATACCAGACTCTGGATAATTATTACGCAAGGGGAATTACTAGCAGTGCAATTGACCCCCGAAAATGGTCGTTAACCGGCTAACGGTCAACAAACAGCTGATCTTGTTTTTGGACTTCCATCCTCTTGTCCAATGTGTGCATCACCTAATAAAACTTACCATTTGAGAAAGTTTTTGCTGGGGTGCATATTAGATAACGATATGGCATTGTTTTAGTCCGATTATTCCCTTGATGAAATCATTCTTCTACCCCATTCTCAAAGCATAAATACTTTGGTTCCCTTTATTTAAGTTGAAGGTCGGAGAACCAGCATAATCAGCATTCCGATCCCGATTGATTTCAACAGATAGGGAATGCTATCGGGCACGTAGCAGCTATTAAAATTAGATTTTTATTCTGCTCATGAACGATATGCTAAATTATTAACTATATACTTTCTTTGTATAGATATCGCATTGTAAGTGAGCGAAAGGATTTAATTTTGATTAGATTTGACACTTAGCATTATTTTGAAGGGGGGGGGGGGGGGGAGAGTAGGGCTGTGTCAATATATCGAATATTCAATACGTATCGATTTTCAGGAATGTATCGTATCGAAAAAATAACTTCCAATACGTATCGGACAGGCAGTTTTCCTTATAATTCTGTAAAAAGGTTGGGAATTTCAGTTTCCAAAGATTATTTTTAACTGTTTTGAATTAAAAATGATCAATAATGAAATAAACATTAAGGAGATAGCACATCTTAAATAACTATTACAAAATACATAGACAACTATATTTTAACATTTTATGTTAGACTCACCCAGTTTTTATCAAATTTATGCATTAAATGTCATTTACAAAACATTTGTAAAAGACTAAATAAATAATCCAATATATCGCATATCGCTTTAAAAAATATCGTATCGTATCGTATCGAAATATTTTGCTCAATACACAGCCCTAGGGGAGAGAGACACACAGCCGGTTGCACAAACATATACGGGGAACACCCCCACCCACCCACCTAAGGTACTATACATCTGGTTCTATCGCAATTTCTTAGAGATAGATGCTGTTCAAGGAAGGGCGAGAAAAATTGAACTGTTGAATAACCATTCTAAACTGCAGTCGGTATAAATTTTTATCTAGTGCAGGTTTCGCCAAAAGCTTCATTGTTACATGTTGTTAGTTCGAAGAAATTAATCGTTGTAACCAGCAAAAAAAAAGTTGCCAATTATGTAATGACTCATAAATGACTGAGACAATCTGGCGCTTTGATGAATCGACGTAACACGTTCATATGAGTCTATCTTCATCACTGGATATATAAATAATGGCCGGGATATGGAGTCTTGCTTCTTCCGAGGATATAGATAACGGGGTATTACAACAAGGTTTTGCTTCTTCAGAGGACAAAATAATGGCAAACTGGATCTTGTTTCATCACAGAATATAAATAATAGCGTACTATATCTTGAGTCAGATAGATATGGACCTCGCTTCATCATGTAATGGATAATAACGGGGTACTTGGCCTCGCTCCATCAAATGATATACATGTACATTTAAATAACAGAGCACTGGATCTTGCTTCATCTAGTTATATCTAAAGAGTGACTGCACTTAAGGACACATGACATTTCTTTCAAAGCAAGCTTTTTGTGATTACAGGTATGGTCAATATCTGAACTGCAGTTTTACTGAACTGTATTGCCTAGAAGTTACAAAGCGCGGAGCTGTTTCCATGGGGGTCATCAATATACATATATATTTCTTGAAACTCAATATGATAATAAAATGCACACTTTTTTATGACCTAATACATATTGAATTCAGCACATATTTGTCTGTTGTTCTCCTTTTTCATCGAGATATATATTATTTTCAATAAAAATGAAACTCGTAAATTTACTTACCTTGTCATCAGTCATTTGCAAAATTATTTTGTTAAAAACACTCTGATTGTACACACAAGTACTCTACAGTTGATAACAAAAAGATGCTTGAGTTTCTGATTGACAATATCTTTGTAGTTTTTGGAGACCAGGTCTTCCAACAATCTGTCGGAATTCCCATGGGTACCAATTGCGCCCCATTATTAGCAGACCTATTTTTGTAATCATATGAAGCAGAATTTTTTCAAAATCTAATACATGAGAAGAAGAAAAAACTTGCTGTGGCCTTCAACTCGACATTTAGATATACTGACGACGTATTGTCAATTAACAATGGTTATTTCCATTCTTATATCGATGCGATATATCCCGGTGAGCTTGAAATAAAAGATACCACAGAGTCTGACACATCTTTTTCATATTAGGATATTTTACTAGAAAAGGACTTTAAAACGTGATGACTTCAACTTTTTAATCGTCAACTTCCCTTACTTATGTAGCAATACACCATTATCACCTGTATATGGGGTTTATGTTTCTCAGTTGATTCGATACGCAAGAGCAAGCTCTCTAAGTACGAACAATTTCTAAAATGAGACAGGCTATTGACAAATAAGTTGATGAAACAAGAATATAAACAGTCTCGTTTAAAGTCATCATTTCGCAAGTTTTATGGTCGGTACAATGACCATGTCAGCAAATACAACTTATCATTCAGTCAAATGCTGACTGATGTTTTTCATACTAATAGTTAGGCCATTATTTTCACACTGAGTTGTCTACGAATTTTTCCGTGTTTTCCCGATCATGACAAGGAGCACATGGCGGCTGTGACCGGTCGACAGGGGATGCTCACTCCTCCATGGCACCTGATCCCACCTTTGATGGTTTAGAGGTCCATGTTTGCTCTGCTCCTGATTTGTATTGTTTGAATAGACTTATAAGCTTGAATACTGTTCGTTATTTCCATTATATATATATATATATATATATATATATATATATATATATATATATATATATATATATATATATATATATATATATATATATATATATATATATATATATATATTACTAGGTCTAATTGTAACGTTTATAAAGAATTTCAAATCTACTGATGAGCCCAAATGGGGCGAAAGCGCTATGGATTAAAATTTGAGTTTTTATGCCCCCGTAATCGAAGATTACATTATCACTTGTCGATTGCATACCGATAGTTTTTGCCCTGTCTGTTATGGCAAAGGTCTAATTCCAAGGTCAAGGTCAAAGGGTCAAAGTTATTGGTATCTAACGGAAGATCTTGTCACAAGGATTATATATGTGAAGTATGAACTGTTCAAAAGTTATGGCCAAGGTTAAAGGTTTTCAAAAGTAGGTCTAATTCCTAGGTCATGGTCAAAGGGTCAAAAGTGTCGGTATCCAAAGGAAGGTCTTGTCACAAGGATTACACTTGTGAAGTATGAAATCCCTAGCACCAGCCGTGCAAAAGTTATGGCCAAGGTTAAAGTTCTTGAAAAGTAGGTCAAGGTCAAGGGGTCAAAGTTGTTGGTATCCAAGTAGAGGTCTTGTCATAGGAATTACACAGGTAATGTGAAGTATGAAAGCCCTAGCACCAACTGTTCAAAGGTTATGGCCAAGGTTAAAGTTAGGTAAAATTTTGCAAAATTGGGTCAAACTCCAAGGTCAAGTTCAAAAGATCAAATATGATGGTACCCAAAGAAAGGTCTTGTCACAAGGAATACACATGTGAAATATAAAAGCCATAAATACAACCAATCAAAAGTTATGGGCAGTGTTAAAGTTTTTGCGGACAAACATACAAACAGACAGACGAATCTTCAATTACGGGGGCATAAAAATTACGTTGGACCCCCTAAGAAACACGGACCCCTTAAAAAAACGATAAGGAGAATCATGTATTGAAAGAAAATTTACTTAGTAGAGTGTCTTCTCTTATCCCCCCACCCCACCTACACACACAAGAAATAGGATTTTCAGATTTGGACAAGTTGTTTACGGGTTGTTTTTTTTTTTAGGAGTGTCAAAAAATTTCCGACTTTGGTTGTGTGGTATCCCTAGATGCAACATTTATGCAAGTTTGGTCTGGGTACTGGGCGTTTGCGAGAAGCACTGTTTTTAACAACGACAGCTTACATTTACACTAGGCCAGTGTATGGAGGCTCTTTTGCGATATACAAAATTAGCTTAACAGTTAATTAAACGATAATAATGGGCCATTTCCAAGCACATATTGCGTTGTCAAAGAAGGAAACGACAACCACCCTATCCTTAACCCCCTCCCTTCCCACCTTGACCAACTCCTGCCGTTAAGTTTTCCTTTCGGAATGTTTTTTTCTTCCTTGTTGATTCCTTCAGAAAATTGGATTGATAGGAGACACTATGCTCACGAATAAGATATTTTAAGTTATTTATTCCTGTCTCCCATCATCACTTGTCGATTGCATACCGATAAATCATGTTTCTGCCTCTAACACCATACCTACGACCAGTTGTAAGGTTTTCTTATCTATTATCAATTCCGAACCTCCGTAACACATGCATGTACAGGTTTTAATGTCAGAAGTAAGCCGTCGACTGTAAAAGTCAGTGCTTCTAGCAAATGTCCACTAGCTAGGATATTTAAAATGTAGGTCGGATTCAATATCTGCAGCAAGTCTGGTAGTGTGCATCTCTAGATGCATCAGCCTTGCAAATTTTGTCCGTTGGGCTTATAGTTACTTGGGAGTGAACCTGCTCAAAATCCTTACAAATAGTCACCCATCAACAAAATTTAGATCAGATCCAGTATCTGAAGCAAGTCCCTAGATGCACCACCTCTGCAAATTTGGTCCAGGGAGGGCTTATAGTTATTTAGGAATGGACCTGCTCCAAAAATTGTACATCTGGAAAATGTAGGCCAGATCCAGTATCTGATGCATAACTGGTAGTAAAAATGTCTAGATGCATCAACCCTGCAAATTTGGTTCAGGTAGGGCTTAACACTTGGGAATGGATCTGCTCCAAAAACTTTTACCTGTTTACTCATCTGGAAACTATAGGTCAGGTCCAGCATTCAATGCAAGTCTGGTGGTGTACATTCCTAGCCATGAATGCAACATACATGTAAGTTTGGTCAAGGTAGGACTTATATGGGAATGGACCTGGTCCAAAAACGTTCAATTATTCAGATCTACAATCCATTTGTAGCTTTCATCCCCATATGAATCATCCATGCATGTTTGCTCCAGCTTGGGCTTGCAGTTTTTTAGGAATGGATCTGCTTCAGAAACTTTCACCTGTTCACTCTTCTGAAAGATAGGTCAGATCCAGCATCAAAAGCATGCTGTGTAGTGTGCATCCCTAAATGCATCAAACATACATGTTTGGTCTACATAGGGCTTGTAGTTACTTTTGCATGAACCTGCTTCAAAAACTTTAACCTGGTCACTCATCCAAAAAATGTTGGTTGACCCAGAATCTGAAGCAAGTTTTGTAGTGTGCATCCCTAGATGCATTATCCCTGCAAATTTCTGGTTCAGGTTTCTTGGGAATGAGACCTGCTCCAAAAATTTGAACCTGGGATGCAAGCACCCATGCTGAGGGTACTGGAGTATTACATAAGCTACCCAAACTTCATGGAGGTGAGCTAAACATAGAAGTAATAATCAGTGTGGTTTCCCTGTAATTTTATTAAACCTTAACTGCAAGAAAATATAGTACTTTCAATGATATACATACGACATACATACAAAATATGTAATATGAAAAAAAATGTTTTAATGGCTTTTTGATACTGCAACAAAATGTTGTACAATTTGTACAACAAAACAATGAACATTCTAAAATTATTAATGCATAAAGCCACATACAATTCAAAATCACACCCGTGCAACATGAAAATAGTAAATAACATTAAAGAAGAATAAAAAGCTTTTAAGTCAGACAGAAATAATTTACACAGAAATATACCGGTATATCTTTTTTCTGACAAATGTTTGATTTTAAAGACACATACCACAACCCAATTTAAATTTTCTTATCTCCCACACAGAAGAGTTACATTGCTATACATTTCATAATACTTCTTTCAATTGTAATCTAATTAGGAAATTCTTAACAGGTAAAATGTAAAATTAAACTCTTGAAAATGTTCCCAAAAACTTTTCGGTTACAAAAATTTATAAATTTCTACAACCTTCTCAAAAATCATATTGCTCTAAAGTTATATTTTCCCCACTTTTTACCAATTTGAAATTACTTGGGTTGGTCAGACATAAAGTTATTTAACTTAACAGATATCACCTCTTTAGTGATAGAGGCGCCAATTTAAGGAAAGGTAATTATTTGTGTTTTTTTTCCATTTCAAAAGCAAATTTTTGGACTGGAAATTCCAAAACAAAAATTTTGAACTATTTTTGTGACTTTTATATAGAAAAGCTTTATACTACATACTAGATTTGATGAAAAAACTGTTTAATAACTTGAAAAAAATCTTATATTTATATGATATATGCATATTACTCAGCATGTAATATTTTTAGGTAAATATTGTAAGTCGTTTTAATTCCACAGTGTTAAAATTTCACGATTTCTAAAAAAGTACCAATCGCGATGGTTTTAATTTCACACTGCGAGAAATTAATTTAAATTTCGTATAAGCATTTAAACGTTTTTAAAAACTAATGATAGCATTCACGATGGATTTAATTTCGCAGAAAAATGATGAATTGCGAACATAGTGAAATTAAAACCATCGTGATTATTTGCCAATCTACAGTAAATGTAGTTCACTTCCTCACCTACCTTAGAATGCTATACCTGAATCAATACATGTGTGTTACAATGAGATAGAAATCAAACCTTTTCCAAATCTACGTAGTACATACATACTTAATAGTTACTCAATCTTAAGTGATGGAATCTGATATCATTAGTCAAAATCAATAGTAGTATCTGTACACATGCACTGTCATATTTTTATCACCATACATTAACAGGACTGCTAATTAGTGTAAGTATGGGGACTATATGTCTGATTTTGTCTACTTGAGGGTTGGGTTAGGGCAGTTACAATATGCTTCTGTGTATACAAACAAAAATTAAGTCTAAGAATTCAAAAAAATCAATAATGATTACATGTAATAAACCTACTGAATAAAAGGCACATGTGCATATATAAAAAAGCTTTAACAAAGGCTCTGATACGAACATATTTTTCAGTTTCTTATTTGTAGTATATTTAGCTTATTCTACAAATTACAGAAGAATACTAAGAAGTACAGAATAAAGCAACGTGTCTATAACCCAACAACATAGATAAAATTTTACAATTAAAACAAGGTAAAAGTCAAACTTAACAGCTCTTTTTTAAAAAATATCAATGACACATATATATAATTGCTATCGTACAATCATCATTTAGATATTGAGCAGAGAATTCACTACATTCAAAGTTTGTGATCTTTAAGCAAATAATACATATAACTTTCTTTAAATATTCAAAGATGATATTCTAACAGAGAAACACTAACTAGATGTATGGACAAGATGATTTTTTGAGCACTTAAAACAAATACAATAAACTACTAACAGGAAGAAAAAATCTTCCTGTCTCTATTTTAACCTTGACATTCCACCTATCATAAAGCTATGACACTGACATTTAACTTAATTACCAAGCTTAAAGTACTGTAAATATACTTGTTTCCATGGGGCCATAATTCCACAGAACCACAATTTCTGTTCAATCCATGAGAAGAAAATATGCAGATTTCTTGGATCGTCATTTTAAGTCTTTAAAAATTTGTGACCGCACGTACATAGCGTAAATTTATCCCGCGTGGAACAATGTAAATCTACAGTATCTCTGTCGCAATCATAAAGCTAAAAAATTATAAGCATTAGGCTAATTAACAATGTAAGTAACCAAGGTCTAAATTGCATGTGTACATACAGACATGGACAGTCATACCAAGAACAATATGTTCTCATCCTATAATGTCGAATCTCAGGGACAGAAAAAATCCCAATCTGATAAAATGGAAAATTCCCCTTATGTTCCTTCACCTAAAAGCTACAGAAACCCTAACCATATAAGCAAATGTCAGTCAAAAAAATGGTCAAAAAGGTCTTAACTGAACTGAATTTTAACATTTAAAATGGTATTAAATATTTGAAGAAGAAAAAGCATTAAAATCCAACTAAGGAACGCTGAGAATGATCCTCCAGTGTAACAAAGAATGAACCCCTTACCCTCCTTAACATGACTATAATCATCTAATTTCATGACCCTCCTACCCTCCCCCCACTTACAGTACTATCATCTGATTTCATGATGAGGTCCCAGAAAATTAATGAAAGGACTTCCAAGATGATGTTTTATGTACCAGTGAAACACTGAGGATTAAAATTTTAAGGTAAATCCACTGACATAAGGAAAAATCTAAACATTCTCCACTTCAATTAAAGCAAAGAATAATGGCACAAAGACAAATCACAATGACAGGGAATTCAATAGTCACAGTGTCTATATAATTTGTATAAACATGTATAATCAAATGTGTGCACCCACTTTTGATTGTCTGCACTGCCAATTAAAATTCTCTAAAATTGTTATATTTATCACTGCATGACATTCAGTGAAATGATTTGGATACATGCATTTACACCTTATATAATAATGATAACGTACAGTACAGAATGGTTCATGAAGTTATAAGGATTCTAATATAAGCATTTAGTACCTAGTTCTTCAACACATACACCAAGATCTACCCTAAAGTAATAATAATAAATATTATTTATGTCTGTGAATATTTGGATACCTAACACTTTTACGTGTACCTAAAATTTTTAAGTGTATACCTCAGTTATACATTAGAAATTTCAAGTTTTATGGTGTGTCCTCACGACAATCAAATGAATTAATAATTTTTAAACATAAGTGATAATCTGATAAAAATTTGTTTTGGTTTTTTCACAAAAATCTAGATTTTTTCTTTTATAAGGGGAGAGAATGAGGGTTCAATTCAGAAAAACATCATCAGTAAAAATCAATGTCTTCATGAAATAATTCACTCATTTCATACCAGAACAACATGTACATATTACTGTACATTTGAACCATTCAGAAAAACAAAAGATATCATTTGATTTTCTAACAGTTATTTTTGCTTTCCTCAATTTGTTTATTTTTTTTATTTCTAAGATTAATTTCAAATTACTAAAAGTAAATTTACAAGATCACTATGTGTTATTTGACCTTGACCTCAATTCAACAAAATAATCACTCATATAATTTACAAGACCACTCTGTGTTATTTGACCTCATTTCAACAAAAAATTTACATCACAATTACATCCAAATATATTATAAATATTATGTGTTTCAGTAAACAACATTATATAAATAAAAACATGCATGTATATAACATTATCTTTTATATTCATGACAGACATTTTAAATGTGAAAAATATCAATAATAATTCATATCTATCCAAGAGGGACAAATAAATAACAATAAATTTTGATAACATTTTTCATGTGAAATCATATAAAAATTATGCACTTAAATGGAAGTTTACATTTCTCAATGTAGCACTACTCAATCGTGGATATACAGGTACATGTAGCACAGTTAGTAAAATTGTACAGTCATCCAAATAAAAACTGGTATCATATGTCTACAAGGGAATTATTTTTGTATGTACATGTAAAATGTACTACAAAATTCAGTCATAAAATCTTGAATTCAGAGATAATTAAGTTTTTCAGTTGAGGTTTGTACACTGATGTACTTAGTGAGTTACACATAAATGAAATATTCTCTTGGTCAATACAGGCAACAGCCAACAAAATCTTGCATGAAAAACAAAAACTAGAACAAAAAGTGGTCAATCATCTTGATCTTAATTAAGGTGTAATCATTAAAAAATTGGAAAATGACTTTACTTTTAAATTTTTAAAAATGAAATATCATATTTCTTGCTTGGCCTTGTAGAAACATTACTCACTGAAATAAGAGTTGTATATGTAATGTAATAAATATATATGTATTAGTATCATTGAGAAAATCTGGATACATGAATATCCTTTTCAATAAAACTCAAAAGCTGCCATTTTTAAACCTATCTTGGAATGCTCTGTTAAATCTTTTTATAAACATCTTTTTTTCCCTTAATTATTAATAAAAATCCTTAATTTTTGTGAGTTTTATTGAAGGTTCAAAACCTCTAACATAAGGGGCTCGATTTTGTTGGAGTTGATTTGTAACAGAATCCGGGCATGGTCCTCCCCGAGGCCTTTCAGTTCCGATATCTTCTGTAAAATGTTTGAAAAAAACACCTGAGAGTGCATGAAAGAAACATCCGACTCTAGATAATGTCGAAGAAGCAGAATAAAATGCTCCTGAATATCGGATATAATCTGCCTGTTTTCTAAGTTCTGTCCGTCAGGATTAAAGACAGTAATTGTTTGTATCAGAGCCATGATATTGCTATCGTCCCTCGTCAGTTTTTTCAGCCCTGCGCAATAAGATGTGTGAGCATCATGGAGATCGTTAAACCCTGTTGCATGCTTTAACACACTAGTGGGAATGCTCCCGGTTGGAGTTTTCCAGGCATCATTTTCTGCGTCGTAAAAATTAACAGATCGTAACAGCAAGGCGTTCAGGACACAGGATTTAAGGCAGGCGACTTGATTCTCCTGACTCATGCCTCTGAATTGAGCAATTTTTTTCACAAATTTGATGAGTCTGCGAACAGCGATTTCGGAATTGTTAACCAATTCATCAGCGCTGGAGTAACTTTCTTCATTGTTGACATGAGTTTCGTTCGCATAGCCCCCTAAAGTTTCTAAATACGCCACAGATAATTCCTCCACCTGCATTTTCTCTTCCGGACTTAACATGCGATACATTCTTGGATCCTTGGGCACCGAGTCTGAAGACAACACTGGTAAAGTTAACGGCACAGAGCATCCAAAGGCAATGGTTGGATATGCTGTGGAATTCCTTTCATCTCCAACACTTTGTGTATCTGGCATGGAACTTGTGGCCTCACTCTCAATACTGCTTGGCTCATTTTTAATAATTACCTCCACTGCGGTTGAAGGTTTCTGTTTCATTTGTCTGTTCATAGCTACCTTCTGCATTCGGGCCTTTCTTTCCGTCTCGTCTACAAAAAACAAAAAAACAGTTAGGAGTTTGAACAATTTTGAAAGTCTGTATAAATATTTACATATACGAAATTAAATAATGTGAAAAATCCCATAATCTTCTCTTAATTCTAAGTCCTGGCTAATATTACTTGACATTCTCCATATAAAATAATCTTAACAATTTACTACAAGTGAAAGAATTTATCTGAAAGTTATACCAACTACAAAACCATTTAATTGTTATCATTTTAGTAGTATATATTTTTAGAACATGTGTGCTTGACTATATCATTTATGCTATTAGACACTGTTTTTTGCTCTTTTTAGACAGTTTTAAGTATGTAAACCTTGATGTCTTACAAATAACGGAACTTCTGATGTTGACACAAAAGAAAAAAATCCAAAACAGCAAGTGAAAAACATTATTAACCGCAGCTGTTCATGAAACAGGAAAAATTAGTTTACTGTTTAAGGATAATACAGATTTTTTTTAAATTGTTTCCTGCATTTGTTAATAGTGTATTTTTCATATTATCACCTAATATTTCATACAACCTTAGTGAATAAGGTACATACACAACAACACAAATATAATCAAAGCTTGCATGCTAACACTCAAATCATCCCATATTTTACAGCTCATTAACAACCTCAGAAATAAACCTGCGACGCATGACATGACTCGCTTTGGGATCCCTATCCTCTGCCTTTCTTTTGTTAATAAATGACAATACATAGATGAGGAATACAATGAATTTGGAAAGACTTATAATCACACACCTCTCCCCTCCCTTACTCCTGCTCTCTCTAAAATAGAAGTTTTATCATGATCCCCATTTTATTATACAGCCTGATTCCCACCCTGAACAAACCCTACTCTCTTTATAAATCTGGAAAAATTGAAAAATTTGGATACTTTTTCATCTCAAAAACATTTTCTAGTTGACAATCTGTTAGCTACTATACTATGTAAACAAATAAAATATTAATTTTTTTCTAAGCTCCAAGTAGTAACCATACCCAGAATCATCTCCTTCTTCATCCCCACTTCAAAACATCTCCTCAGCCGACAGTGGGGGCAGAACCGGCGAGTGCGCACATCAATCAGGCAGTCATTTTGAAAAAGACATTTTGGCTGCTGAAATAAAAGGATTAACTTGTAAGTTTGATTTAAAATCAGTCACTGAATTTAGCCTGTTCAAATCATTGTATTAGTTTCATACTTGAAGATGTTTTCTTAAAAACTCCAGTAATCACAATAATAAGTATTAGTATTTTAGATGAAAGGCTGAGTTTAAGTTATCTGGTCCAATGCTATCAGTTTTATTTTCTAGCAAATTTGCCAGGTAAAAGATTTTCAAGCATGTTTCCTCAAGTGGCCTACGAGGGTTGTCCGTAAAGTTCGTGGACAATCTAAAATTTAAATAAAAGTTGCGTCATAGATATTTATTATTAGCATATTTATAATCCTTTACAATATATGAATTACAAAATGAAAAATTTTATTCAATTTTAAGTGTGTAATTACAATTATGACTTCATTATTAAACTTGGGATGGTGACCCGGAGCACAACAAAGTTTTAATTAAAAAGTTATTAATCACTCTATACATTTCATTTGTATTTTAAAAAATTCTGCGGAAATTTGAATGGCTTTTACATTATAAGGTTGATAAAAGTTATAACGTCAAACCTGTAAAATTTGAACGTTCAAAGTTTCGGAATGGCAGAGAAATCGAGGTTAGAATCTATTAAGATGGGATCATCACTGTTCAAAAAAGGGACATTTTCGGAAAAAGGTGGAGCAGAGAGTAGTGATAAAATTTTGTGTAGACATCGGAAAAACACCAACAGAGACCCATAAATTCCTTAAACTAAACAGTCGGGAAATCATAGTAAAGTAATCTAGTCTTTAGTCTTTAGTGTTGAAGTGGCACAGAAGATTTTCGGACGGAAGAGACGGTTTACTGGATGACATGCGTGAAGGAAGACAATCTTTCAGAGGTTGTAGTGCTGTAAAAAATGAAGTTCGTAACGTGACTTTGCCGTATTTCCGTACATAAAGTCGTTTTACGTGGAGAGAGGTTTTATGATTTGCAGGATCTGAGACAGGAAGTGTTAAATATTATTTCTAGTATGAAACCAGAACAGTTTGTGCACATTTTTGATGACTGGTTGAAGCGACATAAGAAATGTGTTGAGTGAAACGGTGACTGCGTTGAGAAAACGTCCAGAAACGTCAAGGATTTTCGTTTTAGTGCTCCGGGTATGAATGTGTATCTTTTTTGTATCTGATAAAATATAACTTTTTGTGCTTTGTGATTAAAACTTGCATATTAATACACTGAAACATTAATTTAATGAAAATAATAGTTTCATATATTTTATCAATGTTTGTCAGTAATTATCAATGTTGTCCATGAACTTTACGGACAACCCTCATATCTGGACTTTAAACTTGCCAAGATGTTGCATCTAGTGATGCAATTTACTATATTGCTCAGGCTTAGATCCAGGATTTTGTGTTAGAGGGGGGCATTATATTAGATGACAAGGGGTCTGGATACTTTGATTGAGGTCCCAAGCAGGTCAAGGGCAATGTCCAGTTGGGGCCCTGGAGCAAAGCAGCATGAACTTCAGAGAAATTAACTGCAAGTAGTCGACCTTATTTTGACACGACTGTAATTTTACCTTTCTTGCATCTACGTATGACAGTGATATGTTTTTTCTGTTTCAGTGGGTGGTGCGTGGGGCGTGCCCCCTCATGAATCCGCGCTTGTTTCATCAGATGCTTCAAGTGACTAATCTATCTTTTCCAGATCAGGTAAGTGATCTATGCATATTTTTTCACACAAGTGACCTAGTTTGACCTAATCAGTCCTTATGCTGTAATCAAAATTACCAAGTAATTCAACTAGAAGAAGCTAGCTGATCGGATTGTTCAGATTTTTAAAAAATATGTCTACATTCATAAGATTTGAAGAACTGAAGTATACCTGGCCAATAAGATTTACCAATAATATTCTTACATAATGCTTATACAATTATCACTTCACTTGACCCATTTTTGTTTATCTACATACAGACATATCTAACATGTCTAATATTGAAGAAAATACAACAACAAAAAAACTTACATCTGATTTTAAGGCATTTCTTCTGAAGAAAGCTTTACAAGATTCACAGGTAATGGCATTGAAGTTGTACCCCAGAGCCTTATCCCCACACACCAGGCACATCTTATCTTCCTTACTGCGTTTGAATTTCTTAGATGCTCCTGCATCATTACTGCTGGAACTCGAGTCCTCATGTGGACCGGAAAAGGAGCTCACCCCTCGTCTTTGACTAAAATCCATCGAGTCAGAACCTGTACCTTGCAAAAAGCTGCCATCAATGGTACTACACATGTTGATGTCTTGTGCTGTGTCAGTGGTTGATGTCTGTACAAAAAAAGTAAAAACAAAACGTGTGAGAAAAACTCTGATGTATATCAACCATATCATAGAGATCCTGTCCTCAATTTGAGAATGTGAGAAAAATTCATTATCACTTCTTTCTTTTCAACATGATGAAATGGATATGACTGAAAATGTACCTAACAGGTGATGATTTTGTCAATCAATTCTAGACACTGAAGCATAACTTAAATACTTAAGCATTACCTTGTTACATGACTGTGTTTTGTATTTTATTATTTCATTTGTGTACGATACCTGCGTCAGTTACCGTGGAGACGTGTAATTTTTTTCCAATTATATACATTATTGTAGTTGTGATGAAAATGCACAGCAGCAATGATGCGTTAATTAAACAAAAAAACCTCATTACTTACTCTGGCCAGAGGAAAGCTGATCACTACATAAATGCATGATGCCTTAATGTGCAACTAAAAAAAATATGTTTACATTTTACAAAGATTTTCCAGAAAAAGACTGGATGTTTATGGTTATTTATGGTTAATAGAAGTAAATAACTGAACCCATATTTGGAAATTCTCAACCTCCTCTCTGTGAAAGACAGGTTATATAAAAATATTTTATAGATATCATTGTACAAATTTTTTTTAAAAATATTCATTTTTTGAAAGTTGAAGATGGATAAGAAGTGAGATGTGTAACAGAGGTGTACTGTATAAAGAGTATGGCATTCCCACAAAATATGTCAAAGCCAACTTCATGTTCCTTGTGAACTTCTTTTTAAAAAGTTGTTAAATCCATAAATGAATACATGTTTCTTGTACCTCGATTGAGGAAGTGAAATGAACACATCAATGAACATATGAATTAAAAGTAAAAAGCTTGAATTACCTGGATAAATATAGGTAATCACAGATTAAGAGGCTTACCAAGAGGAATATTATCTAGAAAGCAAAGTCTCAGATCAAATTAATGTTCTGCTAGTGTGCATCCCTCAATGCATCATCCATGCAAGTTTGGTCCAAGTAGAACTCATATTTACTCATTGTGAATGGACTTGCTCCAAAAAATTTACCTATTTATCACCCAGAAAATGTAGGTCAGTTCTAGCGTCTAAATCATGTTTGGAACTGGTAGTGTGCATCCCCAAATGCATTATCCATGCAATTTTGCAATTAACATAGGGTTTGTAGTTAGTACTTAGAGATGATTTGTTCCCAAAACTGAACCATGGTGTTAAACTGGTCAAATATCCAGATATTTAGGTCATCTGGCTGCATCTTAAGAAAGTCTTGTAGTGTGCATCCTTAGATGTATCATCCAAGTTTGGTCACAAGTGGCTTATACTTACTTATGAAAGCTCCTCAGACTGAACCAGGATAGACAGAAGATGTATATATAGCATACACTCATCTCAACTTTATCAAGGTGAGCTACAAACTGCACTCTCTGTCTGCACTATTCCTACAAGATTACACTTCTGCACTATACTTCTAACATTACTAATCACAGTAAAGTGCTCACATGCACAACACCTCATAAACATTTACTGCTCACAAAAAATCACTCCTGCACTCTTCTGCAAAAGTCTGCTGAATTTTGTCATAATCATGAATGGACCTATACATTTATATTGTTACATATTAAGAATTTTGACAAAATCAGCATACAAAAAACTGAACCAACTCAAATTAGGCAGAAAGTCTCAGCAACTCAAGATTATGGACAAAATCTTCTGTGTTTATCAGATTACTGTAATGAGGAGAAAACTACAAATCAAAGCAAATAAATAAATAACCAAATAAAGGTAAACAGTTATTCTACTGGTACTCAATGATCAAAGATCAACCACTTGTCATCATTATATAACTACATGTATATATTTTATAATGATATACACTTCAGTTTATTTATCTACATCAGTAATATTCATAATGTCAAGGCTTTGTTATATTGTTCCTATCATTCTGAGGATCAGTATCAGAAAACCTTGACATATTGTAAAGATGATTTATCTAGTTCAAGTATACGATAGGTAAGAATACCCTAATAGGATCAAAATGAATACAGCATTCACCTAAATGAATGTAATCTACAGGTGAAGCAAATATTCACTCCAAAATCAATCAATAGGATGCATTAGCTGATTTCATTACTAATATATCATGTCTTTTAAGTCAGTCAGGTAAAAATATTGGTCATTCAAAGTCTGGTTCTAAGCTTTTAAGGGCACGTGCCATTAATGCAAGTTAAGTAAATGGTGTTTTTTTTTTTTTTTTTTGGCTTGTTTGTTTTTCTTTTTTCCCCATAAAAAAATGCTTCAAAGTCTTGATGCTCATTAACAAAATGTAGTACATGTACTTATTTTCATCAAGATTACCCTAGCTGTGTTCTATCCCTAATTTAAAAATAGATTAATCATTCCTGTAAAACTGGTCCACGTATTGTAAGAATAGATGAATCATTTTCTGTATTTAACTGGTCCATGCATTGTAAGAATAGATAAATCATTTCCCATAAGACTACTCTATGTATTGAAAGAATAGATAAATCATTTTTCATAAGACTACTCCATGTATTGTAAGAATAGATAAATCATTTCCCATAAGACTACTCTATGTATTGGAAGAATAGATAAATTTATCATTTCCCATAAGACTACTCTATGAATTGTAAGAATAGATAAATCATTTCCCGTAAGACTACTCTATGAACTGTAAGAATAGATAAATCATTTCCCATAAGACTATGAATTGTAAGAATAGATAAAATAATTTCCCATAAGACTACTCTATGAATTGTAAGAATAGGTAAATCATTTCCCGTAAGACTACTCTATGAACTGTAAGAATAGATAAATCATTTCCCATAAGACTACTCTATGTATTGTATTGTAAGAAAAGATAAATCATTTCCCATAAGACTACTCTATGAGCTGTAAGAATAGATAAATCATTTCCCGTAAGACTACTCTATGTATTGGAAGAATAGATAAATCATTTCCCGTAAGATTACTCTATGTATTGGCAGAATAAATAAATCATTCCTTTAAGACTACTCTGTGTATTGTAAGAATAGATAAATCATTTTTCTTAAACTACTCTATGTATTGTAAGAATAGATAAATCATTCCTGCATGTAAGACTGCTCTCCAATTGTAAGAATAGAAAGATAAAATCATCCATGTAAGACTTTTCCATGTACGACTTTGGAATATAAATCCTCTTTTAAAGAATGCTATTAGAACAGAATAGAGAATTATTCCTGTAATTCTGATGAATGAAGAACTCTTGGAAACAGCCACAATTATTTCACAACTCTTTTATGCAACAATTTCTGCAAATGGCAGAGATTACACTTAGAGAAGTAGTAATAACATATGATTATCTTTAAGGACAGAAAATACAAACAAAAAAGAAAATGAATGTATGGATTGGTATATATTTTTGGACTTATTCTGGTTGTAAATGATGCATATATCAAATCTCTAGAAATTAAATATCATGATATTGTCGACTCTGTTTGATGTTCAAATTTCTTTCTTTTTGCCAGCACTCTTACAAATCTAAACAATTTTTTTATCACTGTAGTTTATATGAAATTTTTGAGAAACTTCGAATGAAAAGTTAAACTTTATGCAGCCAAACTTATTCATTTTACTTATATAAACACTGCAGATTTAGTTGTTATTTTCATGAATTATGAATTATGAAAAAAGTTTGTATCATCTGTCCTTAAAACTTTACATTTATAAGGGAAGAACTAATTCTGTCTTTTAATACCGTATATACTCACCTATAAGTCTGTCCGCCTATAAGTCGGTTGTATTTTTTGAGGTTATTTTAGAGGGATTTGCCATTGACCCACTTACAAGTTGGTACAAATTTCTGTTAGAATCAGTTGACAATTTCAAACCAATGCTCTGATGTTTTAATCTGGTTTCGGTTAATATTCTTAGAAATGACACCGATATTTAATTTTAAATCATTAAGAAAAATTCATTATGCACACTTTAAATAAAAATGAAGTTATTAAAATATGTAAATACTTGTACTTTAATCTTAGAATGCATAAATGATATGATATATCCATACTACATTTCGACGTCCAGATAATACTAATTTTTTTATGACTCGCCTATAAGTCGGACCTAGAGTTTTGGACCAAAATTTAACTCCCAAAAAAACGACTTATAGGCGAGTATATAAGGTAATTATTTACTCTGCATGTGTATAGACCTCAAATTTTACATAAATCTATCAAGAAGCATTCTCTCTGTCAGTCACCACAGTCATCTAAATGTTAGGTTAATCTTACAAAAAGAAATAAATCTAGGTACACAGAAAATGGACACTGAAATTCACCAGTGGATTCTGAAAAAAGGTGTTAAAAAAGTATGGTAAATTACAGGTAAATTGCTGACTGGACATGACAGTAAAGAGAACAAGTTTCCATAGAAACAACTGCAATTAATAGGAATTCTTGACAACTAGTATTACAGCATTCCTTTCTGGTAATATCTTTATGCAATGGATAAACACTCATGAATAAGACAATGCCTGATGATATCACATATATGTGTATAAACATTATCGATTTGAACTCGGATAAATATCCTAAATCTGACCTGAAATAACCAATACCTCAAAAGGAGCATTGACTGATTTTAGGGTACCGTAAAATCACATATTTTACAGGGGTCAAATTTTTATAGATAGATCTAGAGGAATTAAAAGATATTGGTTTGTGGGGATTTTATTACATGGTTAAAGGATTGTTGAGTTGTGAAATTTTACATTTCATGGAGGACATGAATTAATGGGTCACTTCATACATGTACCAAGAAAGCAACAAAAATTAAACCCCCTCGAAAACTATTGATTCCACAATACATTTCTGGTTGCTTGGATTCTACGTAATCATATGTTAGTTATACTTGCTGTTATTATAATGCTTGGTATGCTGAGTATTGAATAGCAATAATAATTGTGTGCTGGTTGATGCTGGTTGATGCTGGCTGCTGATGCCTTTGCTAGTGATTTACAAATAATGATTTATGTAATGGACAATAATCCCTGACACTACTTTACATTAATGCATATTCATGGCTTGCTGTTGGAGACTCCTAAATGATCAAATCCTACAGATATAAGGTTGGATGTTTGTGATCAAATCAGACAAAATAGAAGAGCTTCATAAATAGAATTTTAAGATTTTCTGTTTAGCAGGTCTACATGCATAATTCAGTCATACAGAATTTACTTGATAATCAGAGAGCAATCCCAAAGGTATTATAGTTAAAATTTTTTATATTAATTAATATATGCAAAACCAGCTATATCATGTATATTGAGAACATAATTATTATTTCCCACAAACTAACATGTTAATGCCCTGCACTAGTTATGAACTTGATCATTAAACAGAACAGATCTTTCTTTTTTTTTATTTTGCACAAAATGACATCAATTGTACAAAACAATAATAACCCAAAAACTAGGATTGCGTAGGACAATTTAAGCTTATATTTTGTTTATTCAAAGTTAATTTCATTTAATTATTCAATTCTCATTATGTATAGGTTAAACACTTATAGAGAGAACAATATTGTGTACGATAGTATCCTATGTACATGTATACATGGTAAAGAAGCTATCCACCTTTTTGCAAGAGTAGTTGCTTGTCCAAGTCACGTACACCCCTAAGATTTTAAAGTACGATGACATTATTATAACATGTCGTAAAAATTTCATTATAATAATAAGGATTTGATTTCTGATCAAAACACCAACTATTTAGATTTTTAAAGAATACCAACCAAGTACTAACGAACAAATCAAATGCAAGCAGTTCTACGCTGCCTACTTTATCAGTGACATAAATAACACGAGAAAATTGTATATTGTCTCTAAGTACTAACAATGTCAAAATGGCACTTGTAAAAGGAAACATTCTGGCTATAAAATATTAGCTTAGAACGTGGAAACACAGCGGGAATATATAACAAACTTGTTTATAAGATCACCCTTACCAACTCGGAAGCCATGTTTTCTAAAAAATGCACCGACGGACCTGATAATTCCGGAAACTGACCTACATTTGTAAATCGTGACGACAAAATGTGGTGGATCAAATTATATTTTTAGAAATAATAAAATTAGATTGAAAAAAATCAGAATACCCAGGGACTGATTAAAAATATCGAGTGTGTGTTTATTACGCTCGTGTGCAACGTTATGTGAAGGTGTGAGTGATTGTGAGTGCGGTTAGGACGAAGGGGGGGGGGTTAAGATTTTTAAAATATTTCTTTCTATAGACATGAGGTTTAATATGCTGTGGAAGAGTTAAAGCTGATCTACATCCAGTACTTATGGTTTTTAAAAACCATTTTTAACAAATCTTTTTTTTTTTCTGTCAGTTTTTAAAGGGGTTCTTAATTCCCCCTCCCACACCCTACTGTTCAAAGATCATTTTCAGCAAACGTTCGATGTGTATACATGTATATTATCCTGCAATAAAACTTTGGAGGGTTACAGAAGTAAGTGTCCTGTACAAACCATGAGAAAGACACGATATCTAGAATAAACTGAATGTATATGAATGTGATACAGATCAATCAAAATGAAACATATACTTGTTCAACCAAAATAAATGCAATTTAAAATAGAATGTTACATGTATTCTTTATTGTTGGATGTTGTTCCAGCTTAAATTGAACTAGGATCTTAGCTGCCATAGATTGAGTTTATGTATGCATGCTTTATGATATGTTATTTTTATAAATTGAAACTTCCAAAATTTGCTCATTTGACGCATTAAACAGAGAAAAATATTTCAAAGGTTAATGCAAAATTGTTATATTATTCTTAAGCAGAAATATTGAGATGATATCATGTGATAAATAATAATTATTGAAAATGACACTTTAAAAATGACGATGGGGACATAAAGTTCGACACTGATGGTATACAATTTACGTACAGCCCGTGGGCCATGGAAACCAAAAAAAAATCAAGGTAGGCCCTGCCGAAAATTCTCCTTTGATAAATTCAAACTGAAGAAGAAAATTTCTAATTGATTTTATACATGTGAGCAAGATGTAACTTTACTTTTAAAAATTCCTTCCCTTATTCACTTTGCAACTCTGCCAGGTGCCTGGACAAGTGACAAATAAAAAATACATAATATAATTAAAAAAAAAAAACGGGGGGAAAAAAATCATCCACAATGGACGACAAATCGAAAAGAAATTGTGCACCTCTGTAAAATAAAGTTAATATATCCAGTATGAAATTTAATGTATATCGTCAAAGTTTTAACGAAAAAACTTGTCGGATCCACCTTGCCCCTCCCCCTTTCCCTATTTCCCTAGCTGTCCCACCTTTTTAAGATTCTCAGGAAGCATGATATCCCCCACACAATCCGCTCAACAAACAAATACCTGAAAATTAAAACTGACAGAATCGCACCTTACCTTATTATCTTACTAAAGGCAAAGATTTCCAAATTCTGCGTGTGAAAAGTGTTCCTCTTTAATTGTTTAAACATGTTAAATGTACATGATTTGCAGAATCACACTTCGTAGCATGATGGGGTGAATTTTTCCAGTAATAATTATATAATGATTTACATTTCAGTGAATTAACAAAGTATATGATTTAATTATTAATGTACAATGCTTTGTAAACAGTGTGTCGTTAAGTACATCTTTTCAGAATTATAGTACATGTATCCCCCTTGACATTACGGTATATGGAATCACTCACAAGTGTAGATGCTGGGCAATGAAGAGTTTATAACAGAGGATTTTTACGATATGCTTGCCTGCAATATTCTCTAATTACGTAACTGAAGAGAAATGACAACAACCAAACATGTTCTCTTCCTAAACCCACAAGAAAAATCTCATTGAATTTAAGCTGATATAGTATCGGGGGGGGGGCACTTTTTTTCCCCCGAAACATCCAAGTAGTATGAAAATGCTCACTAAAATGGTGGACCCCAGGCACGTTTTGTTGCAGTAAGGATAAATCCTCCCATGTCTATGTATATATTTTCAAGTCGAAAAAAGATGCATTAAATATGTTCCTTGAAATCCTTACCTGTAATTACATGTAAGTAGAAATCAGTAACACACATTTTTAATTACTCATTTTAACGTAATGCGGAGAATTATACATAAATATGCATACACTGTATGTACATGTACTTGTCGTTATCATGTATATGTTATACAGTTACTTCAGAAAATCTAAAACATAAAAATAGACAAGGAAATGATCTATTGAATATTATAAAAAAAAAAAATGGGGAAAAATTTTTACCCACTTTTTATAATCCAGTCAGCAGCAAATGAATTAATCCTATACAGATGTACACCCATAGATACTTGTAAACAGAAGATGGGAAACTGCGTATATACATGTAAAATACAAACATTTGCTAAATCTCATAATTTAGTAGAAAGTGTCTGTGCATGCAATTTTGTATCCGGATCATTCAGTGCACGTGAACCGTGATGACGAATTTCAGTGTAAAAAGAGACATTTCCCCGCCAACGCATTATTTAGTCAGTCTTTCTCCTATTACAACATGCCTTATGAAGTGTGTCGAGATCATGAAAAGGAAAGAGATTTTAAGTGCAGGAGTTTTGAAATGTTTCTGACACAACGAATTTCATTGTTCCATCAGAGGGGTGAAGATTTGCCTAGGGCAAATAAGTGACGGGGTTTTCTACAGAAAGTGCACACAACATGTATCTGATGTCAATGATTTTTACAGTAACATTTAATTTAATTGAAATGCTAATACCTCGTGATGTAATTCATATCTTACGTTAGCTGCAGAACTGTAGCTCTCTGGGAAAGAAAATTCGGATAGACAGACTCTGTTATGTAAGTTTGAAATTTCTGTCCAGAGAGCTACAGTTCTGCAGCTAATATTGCCACGCTTAACTCATTAAACATTAACTCATTAATTCAATATGTTGAATTTTAACTTTATCAAAATGCATGTAAAATACATAATACAGAGGATTCATGGCGGGGGTGACCGGTTGACAGGGGATGCATACTCCTCCAACATAGGTACCTGATCCCAATTCTGATATTCCAAGGGGTCCGTGTGTTTTGCCTAGTTCACAGTTTGTATTTAGATCCTGGTTGCCCCTCCCCCTCTCCCCATTGTTTGTTGCTGTAAGGTCGAGCACTGGAAAATTCTGGGATTTGGACAATTAATTTGTGTGTTTGTGTGTGTGTGTGTGTGTGTTTTTTTTTTTTTTTTTTTTTTTTTTTTTTTTTTTTTTGCTTGTCAGATTATTTTTGGGAAGTTGCCCCCCCCCTACTTTTGAAACCGTTGCTACGGGCCTGGTATTGTGTAACGGATTTATGAGATGGATCACTGTTCGTTTTCACCTTTCTTCATGTACAAATGTAGATCGTTGTATAGGAAAATAAAAATTCTTTACACTTTGTAGTGCTTTTACAAAGCATGTTCTTTATTAAGCTGGAAGTTGAATTTTTATTTTAGTAGAAAAAGGGAGTGTTCATCTTTTTCTTGAGGGGGGGGGGGGAGGAAAACATTGCTTGTATTAATGACAGACATCACCACTAATTTGGTCAAATGACCAAATCTATCATAATGCAAGCAAAAAAGGAAATAGCACAGTGTGTAACTAGATTGCGAATTTTGATAGCAAGATAATTACTTGTACGAAATAAATCACCAATTCATATCCATGACCTTGGATTTAAAATTCTAAATGAGATGAAAGAACACCTCCGAAGAATGGCGAAAATGTCGAACGTCAAATATTCCCCCTGTTCAATAGTAATTAAACAGAGCGTGTCTTCACAGATTTAAAAGCAATAAAAGTATGCTCTATAATGCACCTGAGTGCACAGAACCTCGCATTGTGTACACGGATGTGAGATTTCAAATTGATTGAATTAAATGCTTAAAACATATCCCATGTCTACAGTATTTGAAGGAAGATGCAATATCGATGCATAACTGCATTTGTCTGTCTTTTTTTACCCAAGCCCTAGAGGCGGCTAGAGACCAGAAGAGTTCATAAATAAATGCATTAGTAACGTGTCCGTCCTCCGTCTGTCTAACTTTTTGAAAATGAAATTTTTTTCAAAACTTTACTTATGCTGCCCTCTTCTTTTATTCACAGTAATGAGTTCGCGAAAGAAACCAGGAGGCTTGCCGGAAATGTCATATACATGTATGGGATTTCTTAAATACTAATATATTCTAATGTTAAAGGATTGTACATGTACATACAGGCCAGTAGCAACAGTTTCAAAAGTGGAGGGGGGACCTCCCCAAAAAATCTGACAAGCAAAAAAAAAAAATGTCCAAAAGGAGGTGGGGCAAATTCCCAAAATAATCTGATAAGCAATAAAACCAAAAAACCTCCTTAACTGCCCAAAATCCTAGAATTTGCAAGTCCTCGAGCTCGACCTTACAGCAACAAAAAATGGGAGGGGGGGGGGGGGGCAACCAGCATCTAAATGAAAAATAATATACTCAGAAAAAAGTGGGGGAGGGCCCTCTAACCCACCTACCCCCCCCCCCCTCTCCGGCATTCTACGAGCCTGACATGTACGTCTTCGAATGGTTGATTACACGTAAATTGATATTTTATAATGTTAAGATTTTTGTATGTAACTACTCTCGGGATGAGAGTTATCCTTCTTTGCGTGGAAAAGGCACAAAATTAATGCCTGTGAGTTTTGAAATACATGGTTCTAATGTATCGACACCATCAACAGAAAATGATGGTCCAAAGGAGGTGTGTTCGAGCATTTAAGTTGCTCACCATCTGTTCTTGAATTTCTGCGAAGTCGCTTTTAAAAATGTTATGAAACAGTGGTTTAATTTTATAACTAAGGAAAGAAATCCTTTTGCTCTAGAATCCAGTAACAATTACTTCTGATGCGTGCCTCCGTGAATATTCCCCCCTGGTATTAGATTTGTTCAAGGTAATGTTGAGAAGCCTTGATAAGTGCTTGTGAAGCAAAACTGAACTCTGGTCGCTTT